TTTCTAGGTCACCGTTTTCTAGGTCGTCGTTTTCTAGGTCGTTGTTTTCTAGGTCATCGTTTTTCTAGGTCGTCGTTTTCTAGGTCGTTGTTTTCTAGGTCATCGTTTTCTAGGTCGTCGTTTTCTAGGTCGTTGTTTTCTAGGTCATCGTTTTCTAGGTCGTCGTTTTCTAGGTCGTCGCTTTCTAGGTCGTCGTTTTCTAGGTCGTCGTTTTCTAGGTCGTCGTTTTCTAGGTCGTCGTTTTTCTAGGTCGTCGTTTTCTAGGTCGTCGTTTTCTAGGTCGTCGCTATCTAGGTCGTCGTTTTCTAGGTCGTTGTTTTCTAGGTCGTCGTTTTCTAGGTCGTCGCTATCTAGGTCGTCGTTTTCTAGGTCGTTGTTTTCTAGGTCGTCGTTTTCTAGACACCCATTCATCGCCCGCCATTTTAACTCATGCAAGAACCGCCTATGGTGCAATAATCACCCAGATCTCTGTCCTGGTTGGAAACTTGTACGAGCAATGTGGTTGCATGTGTAGAGGCCTGGGCCAAGCGTGGCGTTGTTTGTCAGCAGCGAAAGGCATCGAGGAAAGCAAGTCGAAAATAAAGAACGGCATTTCGTAAAAGTAGCAAAGGGCAAATACGCAAGGACCCATGCTTGTCTCAGAATGAAAACCACGGATTTCAAACATTTTATGCTTCGCTTCATTTAAAATGACTATGGAGACAACCATCACCTTCGGACCAGAGACATATCACCTGAGAACAACGGTAGCTTTATAACTAAGTGTTACTCGTGTTGTTTCTAATTGTTTTCACTCTTCAGTTGTGACTTTTCTTGCATGCAAAGTAACATATAAAATCGTGTTCTTGTGTAAGTTATACATAAAATAAGTTGGCAACCAAAATTTACGATCTGGCGACCCAAATTTTTCCATTAGTCGCCAGCTGGTTAATTTCGAGCCCTGAATAGATCTGTACAACGATTGAAAAGCCTTGTCATTGGATCCCCTACCAATTTCATCATAGATTAACTGTCAGAAATTGTTTAATCATTGGCCATGAAGTCTAAAGTCTTAAAAATATTAACTTAGCTTACTCATTTTACTGTGTTTTGTGTGGCACAATGTACTGACCTGTTTCGACAGGAGTGCACAAATAAATAGTACCACACTGGCACAATACCGTGAAGGATGTTCTTTTACCGAATACAGTTAGCAAAAAGGATGAAAAACTGCATACCACAGGGCCAGATGATGCCGTAATGCCGCATATTAAAATCAAAGTTACCGAATAATCAATTACTGCTTGAAAAAACATGTGTGGCCCGTTTCTTGATAGACTTGATGTGGTTGTGGTTCTAGTTGTGCACAACCACTACACCTAGGTAATTTTAAGTCCTGAAAGTGAGAGAGACACTAATCCATGCTTTTATCACTCCTAACCCTTTGCTGATGGCCATTTAGTAGCAGAGGAAAAGGGAATTTTAACTAAATCTTCCGTTTTGATCGTTTTTTAGCCAGTTAGCATGGTAATGGTTCAAAAAGAGATTTCCAACACCAAGAGTATAGAAAGGATAATATGCATGGGTCCATGTGGACCCATGCATATGTTGACTTATTGCATTGATATCATATACCTGCCAACTTATTGACTTGGGTCAAGGTTGTGAGGTTTTTTTTTCACAGATGACCTTTTAAAGACTCGCGAAAGAATTTTGAAGAGTTTTGAAGTTCTTAAAGAAATAACCTTTCCCAATGTCTAAATTGTGTTTGTTAAAGCTTAAAGACCTCAAATGTTTCACTATTTTAATTTTGTAGTCTAAAGGAGTGTATGAATGTGAGATTGAAGTCTTTGATCTACAGGTGTGAGAATCATAGCTAAGGGGCGATGGTTGGCAGGTGTATTTTTAGCAAATTATTAAAGCCAAGAAAGGTGTTTAAAGGTATGTTCCCGTCCTGGGGGAACATGCCTTATATTTCTGGACATTGACTACTCACTTAATTTTGAAGACAATGTGAACTGTGGAAATACAAATTTTAGGTGACAATATGATCGTCGCATTGGTACTTGCAATTTAAGCAATTGCAAATAAACCCCCCCCCGAAAATTTTGGGACTTCAATAGGATTCGAACCCATGGCCTCTGCGTTCGCACTGCAGTGCTCTACCATTTGAGCTATGAAGACCCATACATATGGAGCCGGCCAATTTGTTGAATTCATCTTAACCCATGAAATGAATGAGACAGGAAGGTGATGTGAACTGCGGAAATACAATTTTTAATTTATATGATCATGGCAGTGGTATTTGCAATTTAAGTGAACTGAGTGCAATAATGTTTTATCATCCAGACAGTGTACTTTTTTTTGTGATACCTCATTCACTGTCATCGTGAAATAATGCCCCAGGGTGTTCAACAAGTTAAAGATTTGAAAGAGTCATCTTCCTTGCTTTAAACTGATAATGCATCAGTTATATAGAAAACATAACCATTTTTCAAAAGAAGGAGACCCTCTTACAGGGTCTGGAAGGGCTCCAAGCACCTGAAAAGTTTGCAATATTTACAAGAAAACTAAAATTAAAAGTGCAATTGTAACAGTTGTAGTTGCATACTGCAAAACAAGTTTTTTTTTCCTCCACTGAGTACACAAGCAGACCTTGTTGTGTAGGCAGTTATCAACTGGTGATGTAATGGTCTTAAGGCCAAACAAATGTAGGAAAAAAAATCATTATTTGAAATCATATGCATGATAGTAATAGTTATCTCTATATATTAGTTTCTAGAATACGTTTGTATTGTATGTAGTAACTTTACTATAAAATAATATGCATGTAATTTTAGAAAATTTGACAACAGTATTAATACAACTTAATTGCAATAGCTTTATACAGTTTCATTTCAAGTGTTACTTATCACCTTCAGTTATTTTATAGTTTTTATAGTTGTTTTATAGTTATATATTTTATAGTTATTCTAAATAGAATTTCTTTGTTGTTTGATTTAAATGTTGACATGTGCATATGGACATTAATTTTCACAATTTGAAATAATAGAAAATTAATATTACTTATATTAAATTATTCACCCTCAGCAGGGGCGTAGCCAGCTTTTTTACTAGTTGTAGGCCTGGCTGACTCGTTCATTTACACAAATCCTGAAAATTGCAGGCATGACTAGTAGGCACTGACCTCACCAACACTTTGACCTCTCAAGCTTTTTAGCTCACTCCAACAATGCGTTGTTTTTTACAAGCGGAAAACCTGGTAAAGTGATCAAACCAAAAATTTGTAGGCCCGGGTCTACAGATCTAGACGAACTAACTACACCCCTGCTCAGTGTAAGAACCTGTAATATTCTTAGCTAGAACAAAAACAAGAAGGTAAACACAACAAAGCCAAGGAAACTAATAGCTACCAAATAGGTAGGTTATAAATAAAAAGTAAAATGTACTAGTTAAATAACATAGGGACAAAACTTTTCAAACTTAAGTGTACTAAAGTACCAAGTCTAAAAGGAAACACTACTGATAAAATTATTACTCCTTGTAAAACGTATTAATAATTCACTAAAGTTAAGATGAAGCGAGTCCGGTGTTCTGATTGGCCACCCAAGCGGGCAAGATGGGCCTTTCTGCCCGCTTTGGCTTTCCCGCGTTTGTTCCGCAAGCAAAAGTTCTCTTTCTCTATTAGAAATCCTTTATGTTTGACCAAGCTGGATATTGACCTTTTTTTTTGCGTTTTTTATGGGCCGAGACGAACAGCGAGGCCAGTGTCTAGCTAGCCTGCGCCAGGCGAGTGCAGCGCAATGGAGAGCGGAGGAAAAAAGGAGGAAGAGGGGGAGAGGAGGTCAGGGAACAGGTTCCCTCGACCACGCCCCGATCTTCCTTTTCTTTTTTCTCTCGGTTTTTTTTTTTGCCGACGCTCACTTTTCCAAACTGGAATAGGCAAATATCCCCGATCTCATCGTCGGATACCCAGGGGCGGTCAGTCGGGCTTGAAAACTTTCGTCGCGCCTTTTTTCCCAGCCCGACTGACCGCCCCTGGGTCTCCGAGGATGTCCTGATCTAAACTCACGCTAGGTCGATAACGCATAAGTCCCAAACTCACTCTTGCTCAATACTAAAGCCTATCTTTGATCGTAAATATATCATCGTGAATATCGTTTAAATTCTGCGGAAAAAGTGAGAGTTGAGCTTCAGTGAGCCTGGGAACATAAAGGATCGTCGCGTCGTTAACAATTCAGAAATTCGATCTGCTTGTTTACCTGCAGATCTTATTACAGCCATCTTTTTTGTAAGTTAGCTGTTATTTTCTGTCCGCACGCCGGGTCAGCGGTAATAAAAAGTGGACAAAAAAAGTAGCTAAAAGTGGTCTCGGCTAGACTAGGGCTTTCCACAAGTTGCTCGAGATTTTCTGTTTTTATTGCAGAAACTCCTAGCGACGCCCCCAAAAAACTAGACTGCCTCACTGGAATTTAGGCTTCTGCTTGCCAAGTCACGCCATCGACACTGTCACTCTTTTCATTCACCAAGAGCAACAACCACAACAACAGCATAGATGACAATAACCACAACATTTAATATTCTACATCAGTTATTTTTTATCGAATCTTTTCTAACAGGGATTACTATCGGTTAGTGAGGTCATTTGCAAATTGGTCCGCCATTTGTGATATTTAGCGGGAAAGGCAGCGGGAAACGTTTGCGCATCACGTATGCACATGTGAAAGATCCTGGGATTTTCCGTGACGCTTAAACAATATGTTGAGCCATAAAATCGTGTCCGCTGGATACCCCTAATACTCCGCCCGGGAGTTAATTTTCTCCCCTTGCCCCTTTCCGCCTAGCCTGAATTTCATCCGATTACTTCGAGTCGTTATTGCTGAGAAGAGAAAACGACTCGAAACTCGAAGCCCTGCTACTTCTCGCCTCGGTTCTTTTGAACGCAAAAAGTGATCGTGAGCGACTGGGGACAAGGCAGCTGCATTGAGGGCTTGGTTACCTGGGTATTGCACCATATGTGATGCGGGCAGGTGAAATGGCGGGCAACGAATTGTCTTACTGTGAGTATCTGAAGTGTAAAAATGCTTGCGTGAAGGTCACCATCAACAGATGTAGTCGACAGTGTTCAGAGGTTTTAGCAGCACTGTTTGGTCGCATCCTCGAAAATCCTTATTTTCGTCCTTTTTATTCAGTCTTTCTGCACAAGTCAATTTTCCAGGCTGAGACAATCGACCACGGTTCTGGCTTTCTGATTGCTGATAACTTTGTAATAACCAGTTGGCATGTCATCGAAGAAGCTATGAGGGACCAAACCTTAGTGATTCGTATTCTGAACGAAACCATCGGTGAACTGTTTTGTGTGGTGGTTCATTGTGATCCATCTAATGACTTGGCATTACTTTACTGCCATGATCTGGATTTGAAGCGACATGAAATTTGTCCATTTGCGTTGTCTGAAGAAGCTCTGTGGCCAAGCGTGTCAGTTTTTTCTTTTGGTTATCCATTAACCCATACAGAGGAAAGTGCACTCTTTGTCAAGGGTTATGTTTCTGGCCTCAAGAACCGATATGGCGATAATCGTAAACCTTTTTGGGTATTAAACTGTGATTTGAATAATGGTAATTCAGGTGGCCCAGTGTTACGTAGAGTTGGTGATGATATCAAAGTGGTTGGTGTGATCGCACAAAAGCACAAGAAACAAATTCTGACTTTAGAGGAGCTCAACATTTTAGAAGAAGAGCGTTCTACATTGCAAACGAACTCTGCATCTGATTCAAGGGATCAGTTCTGGAAATCAGTGTCATTAAAAATGTATGATGCCTTAAATGAGACACATTGTCAGTTTGGTTATGGCAATGTGGTGCCAGGTCATTTGGTTGTTGAGTTTTTAAGTGATCCATCAGTAACGTCTCTGATGGGTAGTTTGAAAGAAATGGCAATGTTCTTTGAGATAGGGCTACGTAGGGGATATCTTGACTCTATATTACCTAGCGAGTTCTTGAAAAGATAAGTACAGTGATTGAAAAGCCTGGTAATTCGATCCCCTACCAATTTCATCATAGATTAACTGTCAGAAATTCTTTAATCATTTACCATGAAGTCTAAAGTCTTAAAAATATTAACTTTTACTAAACTGTATAGCTTACTCATTTTACTGTGTTTTTTGTTGCACAATGTACCAACCTATTTAGACAGGGGAGCACAAGAAAATGGTATTGCAATACTCTTACCGAATACCATTAGCAAAAAGGATGAAAAACCGCATACCACAGGGCCATATGATACCGCAATACCGCACATTAAAATCAAAGTTACCAAAATACTGCTTGAGAAACATGTTTGGCATGTTTCTTGATAGACTTGAAGAGGTTGAGGTTCTGGTTGTGCGCAACCACCACAACCAGGTAATTTTAAGTCCTGAAAGTGAGAGAGACACTAATCCATGCTTTTATCACTCCTAACCCTTTGCTGATGGGCAATTAGTAGCAGAGAAAAAAGGAATTTTAACCAAATCTCTCTTTTTGGACAGTTTTTTGGCCAGTTAGCATGGTAATGGTTCAAAAAGAGATTTCCAACACCAAGGGTATAGAAAGGATAATATGCATGGGTCCATATGGACCCAAAACATTAAAGAGTTTAAAATTATTGATGTACCACATTGATTTCATATACCTGCCAACTTATCGACTTAAGTCAAGGTTGTGAGATTTTTTTCCAATTCAGGGTGCCAGGATTTTTCACAGAGGACATTTTAAAGACTTGCAAAAGATTTTTGAATAGTTTTGAAGTTCTTGAAAAAGTGACTATTCGATAATGTCTAAAATGTGTCAGTTAGAGCTCAAAGACCTTAAATTTTTCACCATTTTTGTGGTCTACAGGACTGTATGGATGTGAGATTGAAGTCTTTGATCTACAGGTGTGAGAATCATAGCCAAGGGGTGACAGTTGGCAACATAAACTTTAAAAAAATTCAGAATATAGCAAATCAAAGCCAAAAAAGGTGTTCCCGTCCTGTGGGAACTTTAAACAATTGCAAATAAACCTGAAAAAAATTTTGGTACTTCAATGGGATTTGAACCTTGCACTGCAGTGCTCTACTATTTGAGCTATGGCCAATTTGTTGAGTTCATGTTAACCTGTGAAAGGAATGAAACATGAAGATAATGTGAACTGTGGAAATACAAATTTTAAATGAAGATATAAATTATTGTTGCAGTGGTAATTTCAATTTAAGTGAGCTGAGTGCTATAATGTTTTATCATCCAGCCAGTGTGCTTTTTTCTGTAATATCTCATTCACTGTCATTATGAAATAACGCCTCAGGGTTTTCAACAAGTTAAAGATTTGAAAAAGTCATCTTCTTTGCTTAAACTGATAATGCATCAGTTATATATAAAAGGTCAACAGTTTTCAAAAGCAAAAAACCCTCTTACAGGGTCTGGAAGTGCTCCAAACACAAAAAAAGTTTGCAATATTTCAAGCAAGCTAAAATTAAAAGTGCAATTGTAACATGCTGCAAAACAAGTTTTTTTCCCTCTACACTGTACATGAGCACACCATGTTGTATAGGCAGTTATCAACAGGTGATGTATTGGTCTTAAGGCCAAACAAACGTTGGAAAAACTTAATTGTTTGAAATCATAGTAATAGTTATATTATTTTCTAGAATACCTTTGTGTTGTATTTATTAACTTTACTATAAATATATATAATTTTAGAAAATTTCACTACAGTATTAATACAAGTTAATCGCAATAGCTTTATACAATTTCATTTTTAAGTGTTACTTATCACCTTCAGTTATTTTATAGTTCTAAATAGAATTTGATTGTTGTTTGATCAAAATGTTGTTATGTGCTTATGGACATTAATTTGCACAATATAAAATAATAGAAAATTAATATTAAATAATTATCCATCTTCAGCAGGGGTGTAGCCAGCCTTTCAATTAGTTGGAGGCCTGGCTGACTCATTCATTTACACAAATCCTGAGAATTGCATGCATGACTAGTATGCACTGACCTCACCAACACTTTGACCTCTTAACCCATTCGCCCCTGAACCGCCCGTAACCGCCCGTGCGGATCCAGGTCCTTTCTACCCTTTGTGACGTCATCAGTTTTAACGGTCAAGGACAACTTTCTTCGCTAACTTGTGCAGAGTGAAGAGATCTTTCAAACCATACCAGAATGAGCACAATTCAGTCAAGGACACCGGAGAAAGAAGCAAAAAACCACGTGACAAGGACCTGAAAATCTCCATGAAAATCTTGTTCCATTACCCACCTACCTTTCCTTTCACCTAATCCTAAGATCCTAAAAGCTTTCCTAAAAACTCTTCCCACCAAAATGAAGCCTACTAAATGCCCAGCAAGAGAAAAAAAAATGAGGCAAGAAAAGCGAAAAAAGAAGGGAGGAGAGAAAGCGAAAAGTAAAAGTCAAGACTGCTGTGTCACTTTTAAACCCAAAAACTGTGTCGAAATTTTGCTTTCTGCGCATGCCCGAACTTCGCAAGCTGATATTTTGCATCTGGATCAGAAGGCCGCCAAGTGTACGACCCGTAAACCGGTTTGTGGTAAGTTTTAGCTCTTTATAGCACGACAGTGACCAGAAAACCACTCGACTAGCTTCAAAACGCGTTTTTCGGCAAAATCTCCAGGAGCGAATGGGTTAAGCTTTTTAGCTCACACCAACAATGCATTATTTATTACAAGCGGTAAACCTGGTAAAGTGATCAAACCAAAAATTTTTAGGCCCGGGCGTACAGGTCTATGAGCTAACTAAGCCCCTGCTCAGTGTAAGATCCAGTAATGTTCTTAGGTAGAACAAAAACAAGGAAGTTAACACAATAGAGCCATGGGGCAAGAAAAGGAAACTAATAGCTACCAAACATTAATAATGGTAATTGAACTGAGTGGAGTGCAATTTGGTCTGAAATCATACGCGTGATTTCAAAATCGAACGAGCGCAGCGCGAGTTCAATTTGAAATCACAAGTATGATTTCAGACCAAAATTGTACAACACGAAGTTGAATTACCACTTTATTACTTCCATTTTGAAATCGCAGAATTTAGTCAGTACTAATATTTTATTGATCAAGTAGCCGGTTTATTGAAAAGCCGAAACGAAAAGGCTTTTACATCTCATTTTGTATTCCAAACAGAAATGATGCAATATAGAACAAAAATGGTGCGATTTAAAACAGAATTAATGCGATTTAGAGCAAAAAAAATGGTGCGATTTAGGAATAAATCACACCGCTGAGAGCCAATCAGATTGCACGGATAGCCAGTGATTTCAAAGTGGATGTAATAAAGTAGGTAATGAATAAAAAGTAAAATATATTAGCTGAATAGCATTGTAATTTAAGGGAAGGTAAGCTATTATAACTGGTACAAAAATTTCCAACCTAAAGTACCAAGGCTGAAAAGCAACACCACTGATAAAATTGTTACTACTTGTAAAATGTATTAATAATTCATTAAAGTTAAGATGAAGCGAATCCTGTGTTCTGATTGGCGTTTGTTCCGCAAGCAAAAGTTCTCTTTTTCTATTAGAAATGCTTTATGATTGACCAAGCTTGTTCGGTCAAGATAGCTGGATATTGACCCCGTTTTTGCGAGGCCATACCAAACACAGTTCCATTAAAATGACTCCTAGCATAGTTTTCCTAATTTTATACTTAGCCATGCGCAATGGAGAGCGGAGGGAAAAAGGAGAGGGAAAGAGGAGGTCAGGGAACAGGTTCCTTCGACCACGCCCCGATCTTCTTTTTCTTTTTTCTCTCGGTCTATTTTTTGCCCACGCTCACCTTTCTGAACTGGAATAGGCAAATATTCCGCCTGATCTAAACTCACGCTAGGTTAATAACGCATAAATCCCAAACTCACGCTTGCTCAACACTAAAGCCTATCTTTAATCGTGAACATCGTTTAAATTCAGAGAAAAAAGTGAGAGATAAGCTTCAGTGAGCCCGGGAACTTAAAGGATCGTCGCGTCGTTAGCAAATTAGAAATTCGATTGCAAGTTTAAGACATCTTGCCTCATCCTCAGTGTAGGAACCTGTTTAATTCAATGGCGACGTAGAACAAAGATATCAAAGAGGTCAACACAAAAGAACCTAGAAAAACAAAAGGTGCGTAACGAAGAAAAAGTTCACAGGTTCTTATACCGAAGAACACCCGAAATCTTGGTGTTTAATGACTATTCCAGCTTATAAATTGGCTTATAACGCAACCTACCTTAACAAGAACTGCAGGCACTCCAGGATAATTCATTTTTCGTATGCCGAACGTCTGCACGTTAAACGCTGCAAGCTTCAAGTTTGATGAATAAGTAGGGTTCACATTTCGGGTCCCGTGCAGGTGTCTCGATAAGATCCGTTCTTCTTGTTTCTGATTTACATATTGGTGAGTATTGACGAAGCAAAACAGCATAGTATAAAGAAAGATAAACCCCACCATCGTCGATCCTTCAATGAGCACAGCTATGCCAGCCACGTTACTGATTCTTGTCATCAGTGTACTTCTTTAGAACGTCATTTCCAAGGAGTTTTCACTCCTATCTACATAAAGAACTCAGCTGTACATCCATAATGGTGTTTAGTAAAACGCTTTACAATCTAAATTTGTCGTTCATTATCGGCGGTAAGATAAGTATCAAGTGTATGAAGAAGCAATATTTACATATGTAACGAGGTAATGTGTTTGAGGCGTGTCAAGGACCAATAAGTTACGAATAAAATACAAATAAGATTGACTATTGTTTGTGGATCAGTGAGAGAGTGAAAAGCTTTCGATGGTTTCAGAAGCTGCGCTTTTAACTCGTTCAAATGTATTTTAATGTATTTATCTTTTGTTGGAGTATTCCTCTTAAAACGGAGATTTTAAATACTGTTTAAAAGGAAGCTAAGATGAAAAAGTAGACAACTTTCGAGGGTATCAAGAAAAAATGTAACTAACTGGTTAAAAATAATGTGTTCCAGTTATACAGTTAAGTGACAGAAACGACAGCTTTCCGGGATCTTTTAACAGGCTAAAATGTCTGGTGACGGTTTAGAGATAATTCTTTGATAATAATACTACACGCAGATTTTGCTTTCTATAAAATTCATTGTGTTAATTAACGCCGGTTGCAAGACGTTCTGAATCCGGTGTCTGAGCTCAAAAACTCGGTGTTTAGTTAACCAAATAATGCAAAATGTGACGAGGTTTTCAGTTTAAAAAAAAATGTCTCTCCAACATCACACCAAAAAAATAGTAGTTGCGGGAATGAAAATAATAAAAATCAAACAATTTCGATCGTGTCGTCTTCAATACGATGCCAGCAAGAGGAAAACTTCACACATTTTTCTAATTATCATTTTAATCTCAGAACTAAATACCGAATAAAAAAGCTTGGAGCATTGCGCTCTCTTTTTCTAAAAAGGAATTGTCCGCTAAAAACTAGATTTTTTCTAAGATTCTAATGGGAATCCTTTTTTAGGGAATCAGATATCACCATTTGTTTTCAGTCAACTAATTTTTCTGTTTCTCTGTTGATGACGGACTAAAGATAACAAGGACTGATAGGTGAATCAATAGGAAAATTATTACGGCGATATGATGAAGATGACGGGGAAGAAGATGGGAAGAAGAGGCAGGTTGAGGGTCATTTTAAATTATCTAATGTATGAAACTTTAAACAAGACTTGGGATACGAAAACGAACGACAGTCGTGCAAATCAGTCTTCACTTAGATTTCCCGAGCTAAACTCAACTCGACGCGCAACGATTTTGTCCAAAATTGGCATTCTATGGGAGCTCAAACAGTGAAACAGACTGCCAAATGATAGCCTCTTTCATTTTTCTTGTATCATCTGTACAAAAATCTTCTCTACTGTGCAAAAGCAACCGAAGATACCAATTTCAGATTAGCTATTTACGTCAGTAAACCTTATTACAGTCTGCTTTACTATCTTGGTAAAGATCTTTAAACAAAGTTTTAGAGAGGTATATCTTTCAAAATAGAACATAATCATGCTGGGAAGCAATTTTTACGTCCAGCAAGGAAAGGATTAAATCTCCTGAGATTGTCACATGATATTATAAAACACAGAAGGGGAAAAAGTCCACTTTCATCAACTTGAAGAGAAGTGTGACGTCACGTTTCTATGGTAGCAACATTTCTGCATTTCAACAATCGTTTTTGACAGAGACAGCCATTTTCATTGTCGAGCTACCGTTTTGTTCCTGAGTGTAATCTGTCATGCACAGGAAAGTCCCTCATGTCAATTTTTTTCCTGCAGTATTTGCAGGACCACGGTTTGTGAGACTCAGAAATGGATACCATGGCAACGTGACGCAACGACTCTTCTCCTCTTTATTGTGCCTTGTCTATGCTTATAAAGCAAAATGCAATGTATGACGTCAGCAAAAAAAATCGCCTTTGCTGAAATACCATAATATTCTTTAGCGTTTACGTTTAGCCTCATGTCACCTGGGAGTAACCATCCCGCCCTTGTTGAGGGCGCGCTTGGTTCCAAGCCTCCTCTGGAGGACTTAACCAGACTTAAAGCTGATTTCTGACTGAAATCAAACGGCGAACAGGTCTCCGGGCCTATGAATCCAACCCGGAACGACAACTTAACTCCGTTTAGAACAGTGGAAACATATCTTCTTAAAGGCGCGGTTAAACCTGCATTTTAAAGAACATTATGGTATTTCTCAAAAAGCCTAAACCTGAAAACGGCCTAAAGAAAAAACCTTACGTTAACTGCCTTTAGGAAAACTGATAGGAAAGCTTAAGTAGTGCTTTACCAAAAACCCAAAAATGAAAATTACGCATCTTGATATAAATATATCCTCATTTATGCAAAGTTCCATTTAATGCCAAACCCTTAATGTGAACTTATTACGAGAACAACGACATAGAATTCTTGTTTCAAGTTGTCAAATGCACTCACAGTTTTTACTGAAACAGACCTAAAAAAGGCTTACTAAGTCCCGATATCTGAACTCTGATTTCCTACCTATTCTCAAATAACCCTTATACAATTGAATACAACTCTAACTGAGTTAAACTCAGATTCAAAAAAATTACATCTGATTACCCGTCTAAATCTTATGCATTATCAAAAAAACTATATCTCTGTGTAAAATAACAGTTAGCTATCACGGAATCCAACAATAATGCTAACTATAAATTACATTATAACGAATGGGTCCGCTCCCAAGTCAATCCTATAACGTATGTGGCCCAACTGTGCTGCGCTCAAAATTAAGGTAAAAATCTGAATTCCTCTCACGAGTGCAATCGAAATCGTATGGGGAAGGGAGTGGAGAATATTCATGCTGATATTTAAGGAGAGAATTGACTAGTACTGTTTTTGCTGTTGATGTTGTTGTTGTTGTTGTTGTTATTGTTGTTGTATTGCTCTTAAGCCTCAGGTGCCGATTCATATATAGCTGTTCTACAGATGTTTAATACATTGATGGTCAGTAGTAGCTTTTTAACTAGGAGATACCTTTCTGTGATCAGTCACTTGAGGGCTACTGCGCAGCGCCGTGTTAAAGGATTGAAATTCTTGGGAGCGAAATTATTAAATTATTTGTATTGTTTCTTTCATCCTGCTGAAAGTGAATGAAAATTCGAGGACTAAAATACATCTTCCTATCGTTAACTGAATATCCCTCACATATTCCACTTGAATTCGAGCCCTTACATTCCACAGGAGATGAAGAGGACCAAGTATGTAAAGATCCGCATGAATTACGCACTTGACGATGTCGAAGAAGCAGCAGGCTAATGCAACGAAATCTATTTTTCATTTGGTTTTTACAGGAATTTTATTTGATAACCTCTTCACTAGCGGCTTGTCGTAGACCCAGTTTTCTCCAACTTCATGGAACAGCTATCAACAAAACGCAAACAATTGCTAGTGTTACTATGGGCTGACCACTGCTCGCCTCGACCAGCTAAGCTGCTAACTGCGGGCAGTGGATATTGCTTGCTGTAAAATTTGCAATATTTAATAAACAGTTGAACAGTTGCAAGGTTACATCTAAACAACAGAAGTAAGTTCAACACCGATCACAGAGTTGGTTAGTAGCTTTAAAGCTCGTACTTTGGGGTATTTATTTGTTCTTTACGCTAATTTGGATAAACTAGCAAAACATAGATATATATTCGCTGGCAACACACAACAAAAATGATCAAAACACCTGGGCAAATTTTACTTTCAGTTCAAAGTAACGCAACAGTGCCCAGAGTAGACCTAGGAAATCCCTCCGTTGAAAAAGATAATTTACGACCCACCTTCGTTTCCCAAGAAGTTCCTTTCTCTTTTCTTTCTCGGGCCTCTGCACGCTGACGTTCTTCCAACTACGTTACAAAACAAACAAACAAACAAAAACAGGTAAGAACAGTTTCGCGATTTTTGTATTAATTATTAAGTACATACATATTTTATTTGTTAACGCGGGTTGGGGTTGGCAGCCAGAGGCTGATGTGGACCTGTCTCCTAACACTAAAAAAAGTGAGTTTGGCTAGAAAAAGAGTGCATTTAAAAAGTGTAAGTCTCTTTAGAGCAGTTTTCAACTGAGTATTGAAAAGAGCAATTTAGTGACGATATTGGCTTCGCATTCCTTCGCTTTGTGATTGGCTAATTGAAACGTTATATGCTACTTCTCGCTCACTTTTTCCCGCCATTGGTACCCGCTACAAGTATTTGCTTCAAAATTTGATTGGTTCGTTAGAATTTCTGTGCGTATTGTGGTTGGCTAAATGAACTATCTTGACGTTGTGAAAATACCTTGTGTTTAAAGCCGGTAGCAGATTCCACGTCGTCCTCTTTCAAACATTTTGTGACATCTTTCCATAGCCTGAGAAGATAAACAAGACACTTATCCTTGCGTGAAGCACACAGAGTATCTAGATCAATTCACGATATGATCAATTCAGAATGTGGGGACTCCAAACAACCGAATTCAGAATCTCAGTTCTCTAAACATTTGAAATATTCAGAACATCAGAACTCCAAACTATTAAATTCACTATGTCGGAACTCTAAACAGCTATTTTATTTGAATGTAGGAACTCCAATTGAATTTCCAAACTCCTGAATTCAGAATGTCAGCGGAGGCCGAGGAAGAACATTAAGCGAGCGGGACTCGCTTGCAGCTTTGTCGTACATTCTTTGCGTTCTCAAAAAACACAGATTCAAAAGGTGAGCTTACCGTCTGGATTCAAATTCTTCCTGTTTAGACGTTTTCTTGACCGTCTTAACAACTGTTGGCATAGTCAGTGTGTCAATAAATAATTCAGCTTCCTAAAAATAAACAAAATGCAAAAGAAAAAGGATAAAAATTGTAGATTCATATGCAAACAGATCTACGTCGCAATGTCTGGCGATCATTCTCCACCTTGAGAAATGACTCCTTTTACTATCTACTTTATCAAAGTAAACTTTTTCTGTATCTTACACAGTAGCACGGAGTCATGAAGTTTTCCGGCTCAAGTGTGATACCATCAATCCACTGTACCCTCTTCACTTTGACTCTAATGATGACATCTGCACAAGTTGTCAAAACGTCAGTTACGGCTAACACAGTCAGTCGGGACAGTCCGATTTTAGCAAGCCAACACAAATATTCAGTTGATGTCATACTTTAAGCCTGTGTTCTCCTGGCTACCACAAGCTTGTCAATCAATGAGAACGCTGTCTCCATCCCACAATTCACGCAACTATGCCAAGAATTAGTCAACCGAGGACGCCACGGAAAGCTATCCGCAATACTGTGAACACCTGTCCGATATGTGACTCAGGGGCGGATCCAGGATTGTTTTTAGGAGGGGGTGCACTCGTCTCTTGCTCTACTTCAACACCAATAAACCAAATAGTTTTATAAACCAAATAGTTTTTTTTTTTGCAGAATACCAGTTGTATCAGAAAACCGCAGGTCATCTCGGGGGGGTGCGCACCCCCTGAACCCTCCCCCTAGATCCGCCCCTGGTGTCTCCACTTTGGAGATCAGCGCAGCGCAGCTTCGCTCCGTCACAGAAATCGCTCCGCCGCAACCGTTCTTTTGAGTGACCAGAAGCCCTATCGAGTAATAGTTTCGTGGTGGCGCGAAAGGTTTCCGGTATGGTGTGAAGATAGCCTTAATACGACGTAAATCAGATCATGTTCGACAGTTTAGTACCTCTTTATCTGCATATTTGGCAAACATTTGTCCATTCCACTCTCCTGTGATGGTCAGAAAGCACTTTTTGTCTGGAGACCTACATTAGGAAGATAATGTAAAACCAGCATTGTTGTTGATAACAGGCTGATTTTGTAACAGAACGGAAACGTCATTTGACGACGGAAAAGCGCGAGAAAAGGACTAAACTAGACTTGCGGTCCCCAATTTCTCGCTTTGCCATTGGTCATGCCATTTGTTTGATTTGCGCGCGCCGTCGTCAAATGACGTTCCCGTTCTATTGCTAAATCAGCTTAACATGATGCGAACAACGTTGCGCTTATAACTGCGAAGATCTTCTTTCATATAATTCTCCACCCCGCAGTTTTCATATATGATTTTCATATATTCATAACCTCATCATCATCCTTTCACGCGTTAATAACGAACCAATTCAACGACCTGCTCACAATTGGCTTATTAGCTTAATTGGTAGAGCGCTGCACCGGTATCGCAGAGGCAAAGGGTTCGAATCCCGTACAATCCTAAATTTTTTCAGGCTTTCTTTTCCCAACTGCAAAAGTTGCGCTTATAACTGCGATGATCTTTTTCATATAATTCTTCACCCCGCAGTTCTCATATCATTTTCATTATTCATAACTTCATATATGATTTCATACACTCATAACTTCATAATGCTAACATATGAGAATTCTTTGTTTCTTGAAAATTTACAAAGTTACTTACATTACTTCACAAGTTATTCGGTGCTTCTTTCCACCGTAAAAAGGCTGCGAAAAGGTTAAAAGAAATACACAGTTACAAAACGAGGTTCCACAACTTTGGTAACTTCCATGTTTCATGCAAGCAACATTAGCGAGGGAATCAGAGAGGAAAAGCTCGTCTTTATAGCGTGGGTTGCCTGTGCTTTAAGGGCGAACAGATCACCTACCCGACAATGGAACTGAACTGTGGCCTGATACCCAGTCTTTGCGCAAGTAATGTTGGTTTTTCCACCAATTTCAATCCACGGAACTGTTAAAATAGACCTGCAAACCAGTCATAGCAGTTAGTTAAAGTTATTAGACATAGCCTCATTTGAACTATACAAAAAAGCACTCTAAGAGACTAAAAAAGTAGGCGGGTCTTTCACAGTGCGTCTGTTCTGAAATATTTTCAATATCTTTCACATGCTCCCAAGCTCGGTATGGATGATAAATCTCACCCGCAACAACGCTGCAAGATTTTACTGTAATACTGGCAGTAGCACTCTCTACTTTACAACATCTGTAGCCTGCGCAGCAGACTGAATTAAACTTGTGGGCCCGGTTCCTGAAAGGCCGATTAGTGCGAATCCAGGATTAAAACTTTGTTGCACTTTTTGTATTTACCGTATTTATTCGATTAACCGCCCTGGGCGCTTATTAAATTTTTGGACCTTGAGAATGGGCGCTTATTCGAGGTGGGCGCTTTTTAAATTTTCACCATTTTCAGCAAGTGAAGTATGTTTATTTTGCAACAAATGCTAATAACAAAACGCGAAGAAGTAACAAAGCAAGGTTTCTGTAAAATACTCTGAAGAAAACTCCGTCCTCGGGAAAGTCTCTTATTAAAATTTATTCACTCAAGTGGGTGGGGTGGGGGTGAGCGCCTATTTGAGTTTGATTGGGAGGAGGAGGGGGTGGGCGCTATTCGAAGTTGGGCGCTTTTTCGAATAAATACGGTACCTTCCTATGCATTGCTTAGAGTAACAATTTGTGTTATCATTACTGTATCTCAGAGTAAAGACTCGACAGTTATTTGAACGCTTGAGTTACATGTTCTTAGCGGAGAAAACCTTGCTTCAAAATTTTGCTTAATCTGAGGATTAACCTTAATCATCTTTCGAAGAACCGGGCCCTGGTTAAGTCCGTCTGCGAAACAGCTGCTGAAATTCTTGTTCTGGGCCCTCACCTGTTTACCAGGATATGAGTTCACGCCATGATCTCTCCACTCAAGAGATCAGCGAGGAGCAGCTTCGCTCAGTCAAAGAAATCGCGCTGAAATCACCTACCGTTAAATTCCGAAAATAAGCCCCTCTATGTATAAGCCCCCCAAACTCGTAACGCAAAAAACCCTCCATTAGATCGCCCCTCCATATATAAGTTCCCTGGGGGGCTTGTCCTTGGAAATTGCCCTCAAATACAAAGTAAAACAAAGCAAAAACGGTAAATTTCCTTCCAACTATAAGGCTAGCCCAATCGGTTTTGAGAAGCAAATTTCCTTCCGTAGATAAGCCCGTCCGAATATAAGCCAGCGCCGTAGCTAGTATGAGGCCAACCGAGGCACTCGCCTCGGTAAAATTTTGACGAATTTCGCCGATCATTTTTATTTTACATAAGCCATCATCGGATATTTTTAACGCATCATGATATTACAAAGAATTAAGCAATTCAGTCAATATACTATGAAAAAATTACCATATCATCGATCTCAAGGGGCTACGTACGTTAACTCAAATTTTTTTTGAACAAATACTGATCAAAACCATTGGCGAGGTTAACGGTCACCCAGATTATGTAGCTTGTTTCTGATTATTGCTTTTTAAATTCCACTTAAATGAACTCGAAAAAAAGTTACCGAAAGGCCCAAAAAACGCTGCAAATCGCATTTCCGAGAGACTAAAGTTCAAAATTTCTCGGGGGGGTGGCATGCCCCCGAACCACCCTAGCAACTCCCGCCTGCCTCGGTTGACCGTTTGGTCTGGCTACGGCACTGTAAGCCCCTCCAAAAATAAGCCCCTCAAAAGGGCCTTTGAAATATATAAGCCTCGGGGATTATTTTCGGAATTTTACGGTATCCTATGTGTGAAGAGAAGCCCTATTCGGTATGTTTTCGTACCGGCGCAAAAGCTCTTCGGTAAAGTGTGAACATATACTAAAATAATACTTGGAACTACAATGGAGGACAAAAGAACTTGGGACTGTGTGAAAAAGCCCTTGCAAGCAATAATTCCGTAGGATTCTGCTCCTAAGGACATTTTTGGTTCGGCTTTGGGTTCATTGCGTCGTCCCCCCCCCCACTTCCCCTAGCAATGTTGTGGTAAAAAAAAGCACTCAGTTTCACCCATTTTGCTCCAAATTCAACTTTGTTTGGGGTGGGAGGGGAGGGGTCGTTAGTTTCAGTAATATCACTGGAAAGGTCCCAACACTTTTGACCTCCATTGTGGTTCATGTTCGGACACACGATAGAATCTAGCCACACTGTGATACAATGCAACATGTGTCCCGTATTAGATGTACACCGGTTGCGGCAAACCAGCTGACCAACAACGAGACCGTTACCTTCCATAGCCATTTGGGAAAGTTAAAACATAGTCCTCATCGTACGGTAAAACGGACACGCACCCTGCAGATAAAGAAGGACAATAACTTCAATGAATACTAAAGTAAACATGCTCGAAACGAGATTTTAGAAAGTTGAAAGCATATCTCGTGGAGAGTAAAAAGAACCTTAAGATGGAATCCACCAGGAAATTGAGTAATTTTAATTCTCAGGGGACAAAAACCTTGTACCAGAATAATTTAAACAATATCGTATTCTGTTTTACATTTTTCAAGGGCTATAAATTACTCAATTTCCTGATGGATTCCGTCTTAGTTTCGTACTTCCTATCCTCACGAACTGTTACTGAATTTTCGAAATAAAATGTTTCCCTTCCCCAAGATTTTCCAACCTTGATGTTCGGCTCTGGTAAATGTATTTCTGTTACCTTGCCCAATGTTTTCAACTCCAACAGAGAGCCCCAGGAACTTGGACTTGGTCCATATATGTGCGTTGAATGAAATCTGTTTACTAAAGTTCTCAGCGTAAAATGCTGAAACTGGAAAGCGAAAAAAGAAAGAATTAATTAGGTGCAGGGGTAAGTAATGTTCCCCTCTTTTTTATCAAAACATTTTGCACTGTAAAACAAAACAGTCTATGGTTGTAACACTTAACACGTTTACGAATTCTACACCTGCAAGTAGGTCAAGCCACCTCTTGCCCGCGAGCAAGCTCTCTTTTTGGGCGATTATCGTGAAGTCACGCGGCAGTAGCACAAGAGAGGAGATAACAGAGCCAGGGGAGGTCTTCGCAGCTTCGCCACACGCTCGCGGTTTTAGAAAGTACTTTTTCTTTCAATTTGTTTGCCAATTTTGTTGCAAGAGAAGCTGAAAAACAAGAACCTACAATAGCATAACACTCCCTGGAAAGTAGAATCAGAATCTCGCAACGGAGGAAAAGATTAGGATGATAAGAGAGTTGCAGATGTTTGATCAATTGACACGTAGACAGAAGAAGGGATCCGTTAAGCTGTGTTCAGCTATCCCGGATAGTTTTTGCGCCGGCACGACAACCATAACGGATAGGGTTTCTGTTCGCCACACCGATTTCTACTGTAGAGAGTCACATATCGGATAAGTGTTCATAGCGATAACGGATAATTTTCGGGCCGGCACGAAAAGCTATCTGGGTAGTCTGTCTGGTATAGAGTGAATACGCATAACAGGGACTTTAGGATCCAACGACGCGACGACAACGAAAACGTCGCTTAAAAAGTGAATTGCGTTCTTTCAGGCCTTATCGCAATTATTCCTACCCACTTACTTTGCCAAATGTAGGCGAACCCTCCTGAAGTTGAATTCCTAGGCATATGGTTCGTACAACGTCAGAGAAACAAAATTCAACGACTTTTCAAGGACAAATTACAGTTTTCAAGGTCTAAGATTTATTCAATACATTGGCATTCTTTGACCCCCTTTTGAAGACCTTACTGGCTAAAACACTCAATGAAATCATTTACGATTCTTATATCTTCAGTCATGGTTGATCATCGCTCACATTATGCTGTACTACTTTCCGTAACAACACTACTTTGCAAAATGACAGCAGTCACTGGGTATGACTTGCAGTCTGAGATAGAGAAATAGCATTTGAAATCAAGAAACACAGATAAAATATTGTTGCTTCTGGTTTTATACTGAGCATTTATTTTCCTTTAACTCTGTTGAACTTTTTCTCTGTTTTGTACCTATTGTTTTTCCAATGCTCTAGAATCTAATCTGAAAGAAAATGATAAGGCGTAAACAAAGTAGTGAATTTCAAGGAATTTTCAAGACCATATAAAGAAATCAATTACTTTTCAAGGACCTTATATGAATTCAAAGACTTTTCAAGACGACTACTAATATTCAAGACCTTTTCAAGATTGGAAGAACCATTTAGATCGGTGGATGTTAAGACCAATGGATATGTACATCGATGGATTTTTAGATCGATGGATCGGTAGATTGGTTGATCTGTAGATCCACGGATCTCTAGAGCGGTGGATCTTAAGATCGATGGATCTGTAGATCGGTAGATCGCTAGATCGATGGATCGCTGAATCGCTGGATCCCTAGAACGATGGATCGCTACATCGCTGGATCTGTGGATCGGTAGATCGCTAGATCGATGGATCTGTGAATCGATGAATCGCTAGCTTGATGGATCTGTGGATTGGTGGATCGATGGATCGTTGGATCGCTGGATCGATGGATCTGTGGATCGCTAGATCGATGGATAGCTGTATCGTTGGATCGCTAGATCGATAGATCTGTTGATCGATGGATCACTAGATCAATGGATCTGTGGATCGGTGGATCGCAAGATCAATGGATCGCTAGATCAATGAATCCGTGCATCGGTGGATCGGTAAATCAATGGACCTATGGATCGCTAGATCGATGAATCGTGGATCGCTAGATCGATGGATCTGTGGATCGCTGGATCACAAGATCGATGGATCACTAAATCGTTGGATCGCTAGATCTATAGATCGATGGATCGGTGGATTGCCAGATCGATGGATTTGTGGATGGCTAGACCGATGGATCTGAGGATCGTTGGATACCTAGATAACTACAACGATGGATTGTTGGATCGCTAGATCGACGGGTCTGTAGATCGCTGGATCGTTGGATCGCCAGATCGATAGATCTGTGGATCGATTGATCACCAGATCGATGGTTGTTGGATCGCTGGATCTTTAGATCAATGGATCGTTGGATCGCTAAATAGATGGATCTGTGGATCGGTGGTTCGCTAGATCGATCGATCTGTGGATCGCAGAATCGCTACATCGCTAGATCGCTAGATCGATGGACCTGTGGATAGCTGGATCCCTTCATCGATGGATCGCTGGAACGACGGATCCATCGATCTAGCGATGCATCGATCTAGGGATCCAGCCATCCAGCGATCCTCAGATCCATTGATCTAGCCATCCACCCATCCAAAAATTCATAGATCTAGCGATCCACACATCCACCGATCTAGCGACACCCCGATCCACAGAGCTATCGATCTAGCGATCCAACGATTCATTGATCTAGGGACCCATCTGTCGATCCACAAATGCATCGATCTAGCGATCCAACGATCCATCGATCTAGCGATTCACCGATCCACAGATCCAGCGATCCATCGATCTAGGGATCCAGCGATCCACAGATCCATCGATCTAGCGATCTAGGATTCCCGATCCACAGATCCATCGATCTAGCGATCCATCGATCTACCGATCCACCGATCCACAGATCCATCGATCTAAGGATCCAGAGATCCAGCGATCTAGCGATCCACCGATCTAGCGATCCACCGATCCACAAACCCATCCATCTAGCGATCCACCGATCCACAAATCCATCGATCTAGCGATCCACAGATCCATCGATCCAGCGATCTAGGGATCCAGCAATCCACCGATCCACAACTCCATCCATCTAGCGATCCACCGATCCAACAATCCATCGATCTAGCGATCCAGTGATCCATCGATCTAGCGATCCAAAGATCTATCGATCTAGCGATCCAACGATCCATTGATCTAGCGATCTAGCGATCCAGCGATCCACCAATCCAGCGATCCACAGATCCATCGCTTTGGCGATCCACCGATTCAACAATCCATCGATCTAGGGATCCAATGGATCCTTAGATGGTTGGATCCATCGATCTAGCGATCCAACGATTTACGGTCGTTTCGCCTACGGGTCGTTTCGCCTACGGTCTGTTCGCCTACGACTAGAGTCGATTCGCCAACGTCTCATATGTCAGATCTAGCGATCTAACAATCTAGCGATCTAACAATCTAACGATCCATCGATCTAGCGATCTAACGATCTAGCGTTCTAACGATCCATTGATCTAGGGATCTACCGATGTAGCGATCTAGCGATCTAACTATGTAACGATCCATCGATCTAACGATCTACCGATCCATCGATCTAGCGATCTAACGATCTACCGATCTAACAATATAACGATCCTTCGATCTAGCGATCTAACGATCCAGCGATCAAGCGATCTGACGATCTAGCGATCTAACGATCTATCGCTCTAACGATCGAGCGATCTAACAATCTAACGATCCATCGATCTAGCGATCTAACGATATAACGATCCATCGATCAAGCGATCTGACGATCTCGCGATCTAACGATCTATCGATCTAACGATCCAGCGATCTAACAATCTAACGATCCAATGATCTTGAGATCTAGCGATCTAACGATATAACGATCTATCGATCTAGCGATCTAACGATCTATTGATCTAAGGATCTCTCGATCCATCGATCTAACGATCCATCGATCTACAGATCTAACGATCCATCGATCTAGCCATCTAACAATCTAGCGATCTAACGATCCATCGATCTAGCGATCTAACGATATAACGATCCATCGATCTAGCGATCTAACGATTCAGCGATCTAAGAGTCTAGTGATCTAACGATGTAACGATCTAGCGATCCATCGATCTAGGGATCTAGCGATCAAACGAGCTTGCGATCCATCGATCTAGCGGTCGAACGATCTAGCCATGTAACGATCTAGCGATCTACCGATCTAGCAATCTAGCGATCTAACCATCCATCTATCTAGCGACCTAACGAACTAACGAGCCATCGATGTAGCGATCTAACGATGTAGCGATCTAACGATCTAGCGATCTAACGGTATAACCATCCATCGATCTACCGATCTAACGATTCAGCGATCTAACGATCTAGCGATCTAACGATATAACGATCCATCGATCTAGCGATCTAACGATCTAGTGAACTAACGATCTAACGATCTAACGATCTAGCGATCTAACGATCCATCGATCTAGCGATCTAGCGATCTAGCGATCCAACGATCTATTGATCTAAGGATCTATCGATCTAGCGATCTAATGATCCATCGATCTAGAGATCTAACGACCCATTGATCTAGCGATCTGACGACCCATCGATCTAACGACCCATCGATCTAGCGATCTAACGATCTAGCGATCTAACGATCCAGTGATCTAACGATCTAACGATCCATCGATCTAGCGATCTAGCGATCTAGCGATCTAACGATCTAGCGAACTATTGATCTAAGGATCTATCGATCTAGCGATCTAATGATCCATCGATCTAGAGATCTAACGACCCATTGATCTAGCGATCTGACGACCCATCGATCTAACGACCCATCGATCTAGCAATCTAACGATCCAGCGATCTAACGATCTAGCGATCTAACGATATAACGATCCATCGATCTAGCGATCTAACAATTCAGCGATCTAACGATCCAGTGATCTAACGATCTAACGATCTAACGATCCATCGATCTAGCGATCTAGCGATCTAGTGATCTAGCGATCTAGCGATCAAACGATCTAGCGATCTAGCGATCCAACGATCTAGCGATCTATTCATCTAAGGATCTATCGATCTAGCGATCTAATGATCCATCGATCTAGAGATCTAACGACCCATTCATCTAGCGAAGTGACGACCCATCGATCTAACGACCCATCGATCTAGCGATCTAACGATCTAGCGATCTAACGATCCAGCGATCTAACGATATAACGATCCATCGATCTAGCGATCTAACAATTAAGCGATATAACGATCCAGTGATCTAACGATCTAACGATCTGACAATCCAGCGATCAAACGATCCATCGATCTAGCGATCTAACGATCTAAAAATCTAGCGATCTAGCGATCCAACGATCTATTGATCTAAGGATCTATCGATCTAGCGATCTAATGATCCATCGATCTAGAGATCTAACGACCCATTGATCTAGCGATCTGACGACCCATCGATCTAACGACCCATCGATCTAGCCATCTAACGATCTAGCGATCTAACGATCCAACGATCTAGCGATCTATTGATCTAAGCATCTATCGATCTAGCGATCTAAGGATCCATCGATCTAGAGATCTAACGACCCATTGATCTAGCGATCTAACCATCTAGCGATCTAACAATCCATCGATCTAGCGATCTAACGATCTAGCGACCTAGCGATCTAACGATCCATCGATCTAGCGATCTAATGATACAACGATCCATCGATCTAGCGATCTAACGATCTAGCCATCCAACAATCTTACGATCAATCGATTTAGCGATGTAACGATCCATCGATCTAGCAATTTAACGATTCAGCGATCTAACGACCTAGTGATCTAACAATCCATCGATCTAGCGATCTAAAGATCTTGCAATCCATCGATCTAGCGATCTAACGATCTAGCGATCTAACGATATAACGATCCATCGATCTAGCGATCTAACAATTCAGCGATCTAACGATCCAGTCATCTAACGATCTAACGATCTGACAATCCAGCGATCTAACGATCCATCGATCTACCGATCTAGCGATCTAACGATCCATCGATCTAACGATATAACGATCCATAGATCTAGCGATCTAACGATCTAGCAATCTAGCGATCTAACAATCCATCGATCTAGCGATCTAACGAAGTAACGAGCCATGGATCTAGCGATCTAACGATGTAGGGATCTAACCATCTAACGATCCATCGCCCTAGCGATCTAACGATATAACGATCCATCGACTAGCGATCTAACGATCTAGCGATGTAACTATCTAACGACCTAACGATCTTGCGATCTAGTGATCTACCGATCCATGGATCTAGCGAACTAACGATCTTGCGAACTAACGATCCATCGATCTAGCGATCCAACGATCTAGCGATCTATTGATCTTTCGATCTATCGATCTAGCGATCTAACGATCCATCGATCTAGCGATCTAGCGATCTAACGATCTAGCGATCTAGCGATCCAACGATCTAGCGATCTATTGATCTAAGGTTCTATCGATCTAGCGATCTAATGATCCATCCATCTAGAGATCTAACGACCCATTGATCTAGCGATCTGACGACCCATCGATCTAACGACCCATCGATCTAGCGATCTAACGATCCAGTGATCTAACGATCTAACGATCTGACGATCTAGCGATCTAACGATCCATCGATCTAGCGATCTAGCGATCTAACGATCTAGCGATCCAACGATCTAGCATCTAAAAATCTAACGATTCATCGATCTAGAGATCTAACGATCTAACGATCCATCGATCTAACGATATAACGGTCCATAGATCTAGCGATCTAACGATCTAGCAATCTAGCGATCTAACAATCCATCGATCTAGCGATCTAACGAAGTAACGAGCCATGGATCTAGCGATCTAACGATGTAGGGATCTAACCATGTAACGATCCATCGCCCTAGCGATCTAACGATATAACGATCCATCGACTAGCGATCTAACGATCTAGCGATGTAACTATCTAACGACCTAACGATCTTGCGATCTAGTGATCTAACGATCCATGGATCTAGCGAACTAACGACCTTGCGAACTAACGATCCATCGATCTAGCGATCCAACGATCTAGCGATCTATTGATCTTTCGATCTATCGATCTAGCGATCTAACGATCCATCGATCTAGCGATCTAACGATCTAGCGATCTAGCGATCCAACGATCTAGCGATCTATTGATCTAAGGATCTATCGATCTAGCGATCTAATGATCCATCGATCTAGAGATCTAACGACCCATTGATCTAGCGATCTGACGACCAATCGATCTAACGACCCATCGATCTAGCGATCTAACGATCTAGCGATCTAACGATCCAGTGATCTAACGATCTAACGATCTGACGATCTAGCGATCTAACGATCCATCGATCTAGCGATCTAGCGATCTAACGATCTAGCGATCTAGCGATCCAACGATCTAGGGAACTATTGATCTAAGGATCTATCGATCTAGCGATCTAATGATCCATCGATTTAGAGATCTAACGACCCATTGATCTAGCGATCTGACGACCCATCGATCTAACGACCCATCGATCTAGCAATCTAACGATCTAGCGATCTAGCGATCTAACGATCTAGCGATCTAACGATATAACGATCCATCGATCTAGCGATCTAACAATTCAGCGGTCTAACGATCCAGTGATCTAACGATCTAACGATCTAGCGATCTAGCGATCTAGCGATTTAGCGATCTTGCGATCTGACGATCTAGCGATCTAGCGATCCAACGATCTAGCGATCTATTGATCTAAAGATCTATCGATCTAGCGATCTTATGATCCATCGATCTAGAGATCTAATGACCCATTCATCTAGCGAACTGACGACCCATCGATCTAACGACCCATCGATCTAGCGATCTAACGATCTAGCGATCTAACGATCTAGCGATCTAGCGATCTAACGATCCAGCGATCTAACGATATAACGATCCATCGATCTAGCGATCTAACAATTCAGCGATCTAACGATCCAGTGATCTAACGATCTAACGATCTGACAATCCAGCGATCAAACGATCCATCGATCTAGCGATCTAGCGATCTAACGATCTAGCGATCTAGCGATCTAGCGATCTAGCGATCTAGCGATTCAACGATGTAGCGATCTATTGATCTAAGGATCTATCGATCTAATGATCCATTAAACTAGAGATCTAACGACCCATTGATCTAGCGATCTGACAACCCATCGATCTAACGACCCATCGATCTAGCGATCTAACGATCTAGCGATCTAACGATCCAACGATCTAGCGATCTATTGATCTAAGCATCTATCGATCTAGCGATCTACCGATCCATCGATCTAGAGATCTAACGACCCATTGATCTAGCGATCTAACGATCTAGCGATCTAACAATCCATCGATCTAGCGATCTAACGATCTAGCGACCTAGGGATCTAACGATATAACGACCCATCGATCTAACGATCCATCGATCTAGCGATCTAATGATACAACGATCCATCGATCTAACGATCTAACGATCTAGCCATCCAACAATCTAACGATCAATCGATTTAGCGATCTAACGATCCATCGATCTAGCAATTTAACGATTCAGCGATCTAACGATCTAACAATTCAGCGATCTAACGATCTAACGATCTGACAATCCAGCGATCTAACGATCCATCGATGTAGCGATCTAGCGATCTAACGATCTAGCGATCTAGCGATCTAGCGATCTAGCGATCCAACGATCTAGCGATCTATTGATCTAAGGATGTATCGATCTAGCGATCTAATGATCCATCGATCTAGAGATCTAACGACCCAGTGATCTAGCGATCTGACGACCCATTGATCTAACGACCCATCGATCTAGCGATCTAACGATCTAGCGACCTAGCGATCTAACGATATAACGACCCATCGATCTAGCGATCTAATGATACAACGATCCATCGATCTAGCGATCTAACGATCTAGGCATCCAACAATCTAACGATCAATCGATTTAGCGATCTAACGATCCATCGATCTAGCGATTTAACGATTCAGCAATCTAACGATCTAGTGATCTAACAATCCATCGATCTAGCGATCTAAAGATCTTGCAATCCATCGATCTAGCGATCTAACGATATAACGATCCATCGATCTAGCGATCTAACAATTCAGCGATCTAACGATCCAGTGATCTAACGATCTAACAATCCAGCGATCTAACGATCCATCGATCTAGCGATCTAACGATCTAACGATCTAGCGATCTAGCGATCCAACGATCTAGCGATCTATTGATCTAAGGATCTATCGATCTAATGATCCATCGATCTAGAAATCTAACGACCCATTGATCTAGCGATCTGACGACCCATCGATCTAACGACCCATCGATCTAGCGATCTAACGATCAAGCGATCTAACGATCCAACGATCTAGCGATCTATTGATCTAAGCATATATCGATCTAGCGATGTAACGATCCATCGATCTAGAGATCTAACGACCTATTGATCTAGCGATCTAACGATCTAGCGATCTAACAATCCAACGATCTAGCGATCTAACGATCTAGCGACCTAGCGATCTAACGATATAACGACCCATCGATCTAACGATCCATCGATCTAGCGATCTAATGATACAACGATTCATCGATCTAACGATCTAGCCATCCAACAATCTAACGATCAATCGATTTCGCGATCTAACGATCCATCGATCTAGCGATTTAACGATTCAGCGATCTAACGATCTAGTGATCTAACAATCCATCGATCTAGCGATCTAAAGATGTTGCAATCCATCGATGTAGCGATCTAACGATCTACCAATCTAGCGATCTAACAATCCATCGATCTAGCGATCTAACGAACAAACGAGCCATCGATCTAGCGATCTAACAATGTAGCCATCTAACGATCTAACGACCCATCGCCCTAGCGATCTAGCGATCTAACGATCTAGCGATGTAACTATCTAACGACCTAACGTTCTACCGATCTACCGATCTAACGATCCATGGATCTAACGAACTAACGATATAGCGATCCATCAATCTAGCGATCTAACAAGTCAGCCATCTAACGATCTAGTGATCTAACGATCTAACGATCTGACGATCTAGCGATCTAATGATCTAACAATCTAACGATCCAACGATCTAGCGATATAGCGATCTAACGATACTAACGACCCATCGATCTAATGATCCATCGATCTAGCGATCTAACGATCTAGCGATCCAACGATTCAGCTATTGATCTAAGGATCTATCGATCTAGCGATCTAACGATCCATCGATCGAGAGATCTAGCGATCCATTGATCTAGCGATCTAACGATCTAGCAATCTAACGATCTAATGATCTATCGATCTACCGACCTAACGATCTAACGATCTATTGATCTAGCGATCTAACGATCTAGCGATCTAGCGATCTAGCGATCTAACGATATAACGACCCATCGATCTAACGATCCATCGATCTAGCGATCTAACAATCTAACGATCAATCGATTTAGCGATGTAACGATCCATCGATCTAGCGATTTAACGATTCAGCGATCTAACGATCTAGTGATCTAACAATCCATCGCCCTAGCGATCTAACGATATAACGATCCATCGATCTAGCGATCTAACGACCTAGCGATGTAACTATCTAACGCCCTAACGATCTAGCGATCTAGCGATCTAACGATCTATGGATCAGGCGAACTAACGATCTTGCGAAGTAACGATCCATCGATCTAGCGATCCAACGATCTAGCGATCTATTGATCTTACGATCTATCGATCTAGCATTCTAACGATATAACGATCCATCGATCTAACGATATAACGGTCCATAGATCTAGCGATCTAACGATCCATCGATCTAGCGATCCAACGAGCTAGCGATCTATTGATCTTACGATCTATCGATCTAGCGATCCAACGATCTAGCGATCTAACGATCCATGGATCTAGAGATCTAACTACCTAACGATCCATCGATTTTGCGATGTAACGATCTAGCGATCTAACGATCCATCGATGTAGCGCTCTAACGATCTAGCCATCTAACGATTCCTCGATCTAGCGATCTAACGAACTAATGATCCAACGATCTAGCATCTAACCATCTCGCGATCTAACGATATAACGATCCATCGATCTAACGATATAACGGTCTATAGATCTAGCGATCTAACGATTCATCGAGCTAGCGATCTAACGATCTAGCGATCTAACGACCCATCGATCTAGCGATCTAACGAACTAACGAGCCATCGATCTAGCGATCAAACGATGTAGCGATCTAGCGATCTAACGACCCATGGATCTAGCGAACTAACGATATAACGATCAATCGATCTAGCGATCTAACAATTCAGCGATCTAACGATCTAGTGATCTAACGATCTGACGATCTAGCGATCTAACGATATAACGACGCATCGATGTAACGATGCATCGATTTTGCGATCTAACGATCTACCGATCTAGCGATCCAACGATCTAGCGATCTATTTATCAAAGGATCTATCGATCTAGCGATCTAACGATCCATCGATCTAGAGATCTAACGATCCATTGATCTACCGATCTAACGATCTAGCGATCTAACTATCCATCGATCTAGCGATCTAACGATCTAGCGATCTAACAATATAACGACCCATCGATCTAGCGATCTAACGATCTAGCGATCTAATATTACAACAATCAATCTATCTTGCGATCTAACGATCTAGCGATCTCACAATTTAACGATCAATCGATTTAGCGATGTAACGATCCATCGATCTAGCGATTTAACGATTCAGCGATCTAACGATCTAGTGATCTAACAATCCATCGATCTAGCGATCTAGCGATCTAACGATCTTGCGATCCATCGATCTAGCGATCTAACGATCTAGCAATCTAGCGATCTAACAATCCATCTATCTAGAGATCTAACGATCCATCGATCTTGCGATCTAACGATCTAACGATCCATCGATGTAGGGCTCTAACGATCTAGCAATCTAACGATCCATCGATCTAGAGATCTAACGATCGAACGATCCACCGATCTAACGATCCATCGATCTACCGATGTAACGATCTAGCGATCTAACGATCCATCGATATAGCGCTCTAACGATCTAGCGATCTAACAATTCCTCGATCTAGCGATCTAACGATATAACGATCCAACGATCTAGCATCTAACAATCCAACGATACATCGATCTAGCGATCTAACGATCTACCGATCTAACGATATAACGATCAATCGATCTAACGATATAATGGTCCATAGATCTAGCGATCTAACGATCCATCGAGCTAGCGATCTAACGATCTAGCGATCTAACGACCCATCGATCTAGCGATCTAACAAACTAACGAGCCATCGATCTAGCGATCAAACGATGTAGCGATGTAGCGATCTAACGATCCACGGATCTAGCGAACTAACGATATAACGATCAATCGATCTAGCGATCTAACAATTCAGCGATCTAACGATCTAGTGATCTAACGATCTGACGATCTAGCGATCTAGCGATCTAACCATATAACGACGCATCGATGTAATAATCCATCGATCTTGCGATCTAACGATCTAGCGATCTAGCGATCTAGCGATCTAGCGATCCAACGATCTAGCGATCTATTGATCAACGGATCTATCGATCTAGCGATCTAACGATCCATCGATCTTGCGATCTAACGATCTAGCGATCTAGCGATCCAACGATCTAGCGATCTATTGATCAACGGATCTATCGATCTAGCGATCTAACGATCCATCGATCTAGAGATCTAACGATCCATTGATCTAACGATCTAGCGATCTAACGATCCATCGATCTAGCGATCTAACGATCTAGCGATCTAACGATATAACGACCCATCGATCTAACGATCCATCGATCTAGCGATCTAACGATCTAGCGATCTAACGATCTAGCGATCTAATATTGCAACGATCCATCTATCTCGCGATCTAACGATCTAGCGATCTAACAATTTAACGATCAATCGATTTAGCGATGTAACGATCCATCGATCTAGCGATTTAACGATTCAGCGATCTAACGTTCTAGTGATCTAACAATCCATCGATCTAGAGATCTAACGATCCATCGATCTTGCGATCTAACGATCTGACGATCCATCGATGTAGGACTCTAACGATCTAGCGATCTAACGATTCATCGATGTAGCGATCTAACGATCTAACGATATAACGATCCAAAGATCTAGAATCTAAAAACCTAACGATACATCGATCTAGAGATCTAACGATCCATTGATCTACCGATCTAACGATCTAGCGATCTAACGATCCATCGATCTAGCGATCTAACGATCCATCGATCTAGAGATCTAACGATCGAACGATCCATCGATCTACCGATGTAACGATCTAGCGATCTAACGATCCATCGATATAGCGCTCTAACAATCTAACGATTCATCGATGTAGCGATCTAACGATCTAACGATATAACGATCCAACGATCTAGCATCTAAAAATCTAACGATCCATCGATCTAGAGATCTAACGATCTAACGATCCATCGATCTAACGATATAACGGTCCATAGATCTAGCGATCTAACGATCTAGCAATCTAGCGATCTAACAATCCATCGATCTAGCGATCTAACGAATTAACGAGCCATGGATCTAGCGATCTAACGATGTAGGGATCTAACCATCTAACGATCCATCGCCCTAGCGATCTAACGATATAACGATCCATCGACTAGCGATCTAACGATCTAGCGATGTAACTATCTAACGACCTAACGATCTTGCGATCTAGTGATCTAACGATCCATGGATCTAGCGAACTAACGATCTTGCGAACTAACGATCCATCGATCTAGCGATCCAACGATCTAGCGATCTATTGATCTTTCGATCTATCGATGTAGCGATCTAACGATCCATCGATCTAGAGATCTAACGATCTAACGATTCATCGATCTTGCGATCTAACGATCCATCGATGTAGCGCTCTAACGATCTAGAGATCTAACGATTCCCCGATCGAGCGATGTAACGATCTAACGACATAACGATCCAACGATCTAGCATCTAACAATCTAAGGATACATCGATCTAGCGATCTAACGATCTAGCGTTCTAACGATATAACGATCCATCGATCTAACAATATAACGGTCCATAGATCTAGCAATCTAACGATCCATCGATCTAGCGATCCAACGATCTAGCGATCTATTGATCTTACGATCTATCGATCTAGAGATCTAACGATCTAACGATCCATCGATCTTGCGATCTAACGATCTAGCGATCCATCGATGTAGCGCTCTAACGATCTAGCTATCTAACAATTCCTCGATCTAACGATCTGTAAATCTTTATTTAAACACGGGAAATCATCAGTTAAGCTTAAGTTAAAAACTAAAACTAATTACAACTGCTTTACATGATTGCCGTGTGGGAATCCGATATATCAGCTACCTTCTTGATATTTCGCTTAAAATGCTCAACGGATGCAGCGTTTTTTAAGTTTTTGGGCAAGTTATTCCATAACATGGCCCCGCTGTAAGAGAAGCTTCGTTTCAAATAATTGGTGCTTGGTTTGGACAAGGTCAGCCTTCCCTCAGAGTTTCTTAAGTTGTAAGCAGAGTGACGCTGAGAGAAAAGACTTTGCAGATATTCTGGAGCAAGGTCATTCATGGTTTTATACATCATTACGGCTTTTTGTTTCTTTCGTCGAAGAGATAGCCTCTCCCAGCTGAGGGTGGAGAGAAGGTGGTTTGAGCTCGCATCAAAGGGTGATTTAGTAATAACTCTGGCTGCACGATTCTGTAATTTTTGGAGCTTATCACTCAAGTAACCACTCAAACAGTCCCAGACGGGGCTGCAGTAATCAAAATGAGGCATAATTAAAGCGTTATAAATTTGAATTGCAGTTTCTTTGGATATAAAGGGCCGCACACGTTTTAGGGCGCCTATAGCTGAAGAGACTTTCTTGCAAATCTCTTCAACGTGTTTACCCCAAGAGAGTTGAGCATCTATGGTAAGACCCAAGGATTTGGTATGATCGACTCTCTTAATAATTTGGTCATCAATTCTGATTTCTACATCGTCACATTGGGCATATAGTCTTTGTCTTGATCCAATAATCATTAGCTCTGTTTTAGCAACATTTAGACTGAGCTTGTTAGCTTTCAGCCAACAGCTAAGGTTATTTAATTCAGGGGTTAGAGCTAGCTTAAGCTCTGTTAACGTCTTAGCAGATAACGTAAGGTTGGTGTCGTCGGCAAACATTCTTGGTATGACGCCCCGCAGGGAGTTGGGAAGATCATTAATGTAAATTAAAAATAGCAAAGGACCCAATATGCTACCCTGCGGCACGCCGCAACTGAGGGTACGAGCAGATGATAGTTTGTATATCTAACGATATAACGATCAGACGATCTAGCATCTAACAATCTAACGATACATAGATCTAGCGCTCTAACGATCTAGCTATCTAACAATTCCTCGATCTAGCGATCTAACGATCTAACGATCAGACGATCTAGAATCTAACAATCTAACGATACATAGATCTAACGATCTAACGATCTAGCGATCTAACGATATAACGATCCATCGATCTAACGATTTAATGGTCTATAGATCTAGCGATCTAACGATCCATCGAGCTAGCGATCTAACAACCCATCGATCTAGCGATCTAACAATCCATCGATCTAGTGATCTAACAAACTAACGAGACATCGATCTAGCGATCTAACGATCTAACGATCCATCGCCCAAGCGATCTAGCGATCTAACCATCCATCGATCTACCGATATCACGAACTAACGATCCATCGATCTAGCGATCTAATGATCCAGCGATCTAACGATCCTCCAATCTACCGATCTAACCATCCATCTATCTAACTATCTAGCGATCTAACGATCCATCGATCTGGCGATTTAACGATCTAGCGATCTAACGATATAACGATCCATCGATCTAGCGATCTAGCGATCTAACCATTCTGCGATCTAACGATCTAGTGATCTAACGATCTAACGATCTAACGATCCATCGATCAAGCGATCTGACGTTCGAGCGATCTAGCGATCTAGCGATCTAACGATCCATCGATCTAACAATCTAAGGATCAATAGATCTAGCGATCTAACGATCGAAGGATCTAGCGATCTAACGATCTAACAATCTAAGGATCAATAGATCTAGCGATCTAACGATCGAAGGATCTAGCGATCTAACGATCTAGCGATGTAACTATCTAACGACTTAACGATCTAGCGATCTAACGATCCATGGATCAAGCGATCTAACGATCTAACGATCCATCGATCTAGCGATCGAAGGATCTAGAGATCTAACGATCAAGCGATGTAACTATCTAACGACTTAACGATCTAGCGATCTAACGATCCATGGATCAAGCGATCTAACGATCTAACGATCCATCGATCTAGCGATCGAAGGATCTAGCGATCTAACGATCTAGCGATGTAACTATCTAACGACTTAACGATCTAGCGATCTAACGATCCATGGATCAAGCGATCTAACGATCTAACGATCCATCGATCTAGCGATCGAAGGATCTAGCGATCTAACGATCTAGCGATGTAACTATCTAACGACTTAACGATCTAGCGATCTAACGATCCATGGATCAAGCGATCTAACGATCTAACGATCCATCGATCTAGCGATCGAAGGATCTAGCGATCTAACGATCTAGCGATGTAACTATCTAACGACTTAACGATCTAGCGATCTAACGATCCATGGATCAAGCGATCTAACGATCTAACGATCCATCGATCTAGCGATCGAAGGATCTAGCGATCTATTGATCTTACGATCTATTGATCTTACGATCTATCGATCTAGCGATCTAACGATCCATGGATCTAGAGATCTAACGATCTAACGATCCATCCATCTAACGATCCATCGATCTACCGATGTAACGATCTAGCGATCTAACGATCCATCGATATAGCGCTCTAACGACCTAGCGATCTAACGATCTCACGAAATAAAGATGTAGCATTTAACAATCTAACGATAGATCGATCTAGCGAACTAACGATCTAGCGATCTAACGATATAACGATCCATCGATCTAACGATATAACGATCCATAGATCTAGCGATCTAACGATCCATCGAGCCAGCGATCTAACGATCCATCGATCTAGCGATCTAACGATCCATCGATCTAACGAGATAACCATCCATCGATCTAGCGATCTAACCATCCATCAATCTAGTGATGTAACGATCTAGGGATCTAACGATCCATCGATCTAGCGATTTAACGATCTAACGATCAAACAATCTAGCCATCTAACAATCTAACGATCCATCGATCTAGCGATCTAACGATCCAGCGATGTAACGATCTAGCGATCAAACAATCTAGCGACCTAACAATCTAACGATCCATCAATCTAGCGATCTAACGATCCAGCGATGTAAAGATCTAATGATCTTTCGATCTAACGATCTAACGATCCATCGATCAAGCGATCTGACGACCTAGCGATCTAACGATCTAACGATCTAAGGATCCATGGATCTAACGATCTAACGATCCAGCGATCTAACAAATCTAACGATCCATCGATCTATCGATCTAGCGATCTAACGATTTAACGATCTATCGATCTAGCGATCTAACGACCGAACGATCTTGCGATCTAACGATCCATCGATGATCTAACGATCCATCGACCTAGGATTCTAGGCATCCAACGATCTATTGATCTAAGGATGTATCGATCTAGCGATCTAACGATCCATCCATCTAGGGATCTAACGATCCATCGATCTAGCGATCTAACGATCTAGAGATCTAACGATCGATCGATCTAGCGATCCAACAATCTAGCGATCTGACAATCTAGCGATCTAGCGATCTGACGATCTAACGATCCATCGATCAAGCGATCTGACGACCTAGCGATCTAACGATCTAAGGATCCATCGATCTAACGATCTAACGATGCAGCGATCTAACAAATCTAACGATCCATCGATCTATCCATCTAGCGATCTAACGATTTAACGATCTATCGATCTAGCGATCTAACGATCTAACGACCTAACGATCTTGCGATCTAACGATCCATCGATGATCTAACGATCCATCGACCTAGGATTCTAGGCATCCAACGATCTATTGATCTAAGGATGTATCGATCTAGCGATCTAACGATCCATCCATCTAGAGATCTAGCGATCTAACGATCTAGAGATCTAACGATCGATCGATCTAGCGATCTGACAATCTACCGATCTAGCGATCTAATGATCTAACGATCTAGCGATGTAACGATCTAATGATCTAGCGATCTAACGATCTAACGAACCATTGATCTACCGATCTAGCGATCCATCGATAAGCGATCTAACGATCTAGCGATCTAACGATCTAACGATACATCGATCAAGCGATCTGACGATCTAGCGATCTAGCGATCAAACGGTCTTGCGATCCATCGATCTAACGATCTAGCCAAGTAACGATCTAGCGATCTAAGGATCTAGCAATCTAGCGATCTAACCATTCATCTATCTAGCAATCTAACGAACTAACGAGCCATCGATCTACCGATCTAACGATGTAGCGAGCTAACGATCTAGGGATCTAACGATATAACGAACCATTGATCTAGCGATCTAACGATCTAGTCATCTAACGATCTAACGATCCATCGATCAAGCGATCTGACGATGTAGTGATCTAACGACCTAGCGATCTAACGATCTAGCGATCTAACGATACATCGATCTCGCGATCTAACGATCTAGCCGCCTAACGATATAACCACCCATCGAATTAACGATCCATCGTTCTAGCGATCTAACGATATAACGATCCATCGATCTAGCGATCTAACGATCCATGCGTCTAGCGATCCATGCGTCTAGCGATCCAACGATCTAGCGATCTATTGATCTAAGGATTTACAGATCTAGCGATCTAACGATCCATCGATCTAGAGATCTAACGATCCATTGATCTTTCGATCGAAAGATCTAGCGATCTAACGATCCATCGATCTGACCATGGAACGAAATGACCGGATATCAACGATAGATAGATAGATAGATAGATAAGATAGATAATCTTTATTTATCCACGGTACAAAATTCGTCAGCTTTAAAAATGCCTAATACTAATACAATAAAAATATTTAAATAAAAAAGCTGCTTTCCACGAATGCCGTGCCTTACAGATCTAACGAACTAGCGATCTAACAATCTAACGATCAATCGAATTAGCGATCTAACAATCCATCGATCTAGCGATTTAACGATTCAGCGATCTAACGATGTATTCATCTAACGATCCATCGATCAAGCGATCATACGATCTAGCGATCTAACGATCCATCGATCTAAGGATCCAGCGATCTAACAATCTAACGATCCATCGATCTATCAATCTAGCCATCTAACGATATAACGATCCATCGATTTAGCGATCTAACGATCTAACGACCTAACGATCTAGCGATCTAGCGATCCATCGATGATCTAACGATCCATCGACCTAGGATTCTAGGGATCCAACGATCTATTGATCTAAGGATCTATCGATCTAGCGATCTAACGATCCATCCATCTAGAGATCTAACGATCCATCGATCTAGCGGTATAACGATCTAGAGATCTAGCGATCCAACGATCTAGCGATCTAACGATCCAGCGATGTAACGATCTAATGATCTAGCAATCTAACAATCTAACGATCCATGGATCAAGCGATCTGACAATCTAGCGATGTAACGATCTAACGATCTAACGATCAATCGATCTAACGATCCATCGATCTTACGATCCAACAATCTATTAATCTAAGGATCTATCGATCTAACAATCTAACGATCGATCGATTTAGCGATCTAACGATCCATCGATCTTGCGATTTAACGATTCAGCGATCTAACGATCTAGTGATCTAACGATCCATCGACCTAGCGATCTAACGATCCAGCGATCTAACGATCTTGCGATCCATCGATCTAGCGATCTAACGATCTAACAATCTAGCGATCTAACAATCCATCGATCTAGCGATCTAACGAACTAACGAGCCATCGATCTAGCGATCTAACGATCCATCGCCCTAGCGAACTAGCGATCTAACCATCCATCGATCTACCGATCTAACGATCCATCGATCTAGCGATCCAACGATCTATTGATCTAAGGATCTATCGATCTAGCAGGATCGATTTCTAACGATCTAGCGATCTAACGATCCATCGATCTAGAGATCTAACGATCCATCGATCTAGCGATCTAACGATCTAGAGATCTAACGATCGATCGATCTAGCGATCCAACGATCTAGCGATCTAACGTTCCATCGATCTAGCGATCTAACGTTCCATCGATCTAGCGATCTAGCGATCTAATGATCTAACGATCTAGCGATGTCACGAGCTAATGATCTAGCAATCTAACGATCTAACGAACCATCGATCTAGCCATCTAACGATCCACCGATTAGCGATCTAACGATATAACGATCCATCGATCTAGCGATCTAACGATCTAGCGATGTAACGATCTAATGATCCAGCGATCTAACGATCTAACGATCCATCGATCAAGCGATCTGAAGATCTAGCGATCTAAGAATCTAACGATCCAGCGATCTAAGAATCTAACGATCCATCGATCAAGCGATCTAGGGATCTAACGATATAACGATCCATCGATCTAGCGATCTAACGACCTAACGATCTAGCGATCTAACGATCCATCGATCTAACGATCCATCGATCTAGCGATCCAACGATCTATTGATCTAAGAATCTATCGATCTAGCGATCTAATCGAGCGATCCAGCGATCTAGGGATCCAGCGATTCAGCGATCCACAGATCCATCGATCTAGCGATCCATCGATCCAACAATCAATCGATCTAGCGATGCAATGGATCCTTAGATAGCTGGATCCATTGATCTAGCGATCCAACAATCCATCGATCTAGCGATCCATCGATCTAGCGATCCAACGATCCATCCATCTACCGATCCACAGGGGAATCGGGACGTTTCGTACCCAGACGATTCGTACCCAAAGTTGAGATGATCGAGCGATCCACAGATGTCATCGATCTAGTGATGCAACGATCCATCGATCTTGCGATCCACCGATCCACAGATCACTCGATCCAGCGATCCATCGATCTAGGGATTCAGCGATCCACAGATCCATCGATTAAGTTATCCAACGGTTGTTGGCTGGATCGCTAGATCGATGGATCGTTGGATCGCTAGATCGATGGATATGTGGATCGCTAGATCCTTAGATGGCTGGATCCATCGATCTAGCGATGCAACAATCCATCGATCTAGCGATCCACAGATCCATCGATCTAGCGATCCAACGATCCATCGATCTAGGGATCCACCGATCCACAGATCCATCGATCCATCGATCTAGGGATCCAGCGATCCAGCGATCCACAGATCCATCGATCTAGCGATCCACAAATCTAGCTATCCACCGATCCACAAATCCATCGATCTAGCGACCCACAGATCGATCGATCTAGCGATTCAACGATCCAAGATTCAACCGATCCACCGATCCACAGATCTATCGATCCAGGGATCCATCGATCAAAGGAACCAGCGATCCACAGATCCATCGATCAAGCGATCCAACGGTGGTTGGCTGGATCGCTAGATCGATGGATTGTTGCATCGTTGTATCGTTAGATCGATGGATATGTTGATCGGTGGATCGTTAGATTGATGGTTCGTTGGATCGCTAGATCGATGACATCTGTGGATCGCTAGATCGCTAGATCGATGGATTGTTGGATCGCTGGATCGCTAGATCGATGGATCCTTAGATCGCTGGATCGTTGGTTCACTAGATCGAGGGATCTGTGGATGGATAGATCGGTGGATCGCTAGATCGATGGATCTGTGGATCAATAGGGATTTTCACGTCGTAGTCGTGGAAAAACGGGGAAATAAAAGGCAACTTTGTTGTTTTGCTCATAAAACCTATTGTTTTTTTGACGTTCTCGTTGCTGTCCGCGTCATTGGGTCCTAAAGTCCCTACTACATAATACAAAAGAAAAGACCTATCAGGAGCTTAAACAAAAGAAATTTGAGTGACGCACGTCCACCGGAAGTGAGGTCTTTTTTTTATTTTAAAGCACTTGAGCGCTACGAAATTTGTATTTCTAAGTGCCTTTACTAGACCACTTCCGGTTGACGTGTGTCGCTCAAAAACGTCGCAGCTTGAGCTCAATATAGCAAAACGTTCCCCTGCACTCACTTGGCGGATGATGGGAGACTTGCTCGGCAACAAAGGTTAGGTCATCCTCAGAGGCCCAGGCTACCGGTCCATCTCTCTGTGATCTCTGCAATCAACGAGGTGAGGTGTTTGTTAGCGCCGTTCTGTCCCGTACCCGGCCGCGTTCTAGCGGACTCGATATGAAGAGCGAAAGGAGCGATTTTGGTTCCGCACAAAGGATTGTGGGAAAGAGGTACCCTTCCCAGCATCCTTTGCGCCAACGCCTAACGTTCCTATGGTCCATTCCGCGATACTCCTTGATCGCTTACAGTCGCGTATTCTATCAAACACTTGAGACGCCTAGGAACGAGGCAAAGTGCCGTAAAAGGACATGGACAGCAGTTAAATTAAAACTTGACTAAAAAACTTTACAGAGACAGCGCGACGTCAAAAGACAACCCAAATGCGCGCGAATAGGACTGAAATCAATTTGTCGCTCTGTCAATGGTCAAGTTAGAACATACGTGCGCGACCTTCGTGCGACCAAGTCATGACCGGTTCCTCTCCTGATTGGTCGTGAAAGTGGCGTGAGATTTTATAGCCAATCAATCAATCACTACAAAGACGAACGCAACAGCGAAAGAAATGAAAGCTATTTTGATGCTCACTGTTTTCCAATTGAATATCACATGTAGCTCACCTCTGTTCTGGAAGACTCGCACTCGGGTAAGACCCAAAAACAGCGAAAGGTCTCTCCAAGGATGGGATTATAAGGTTTCTTTGCCACCGAACTCTGGGGAAAAAATAACATTTTTTACTGGCATTCTTCTAATCACATTTTTGAAATGAATGGCTTCTAGTTATGTTACTAAAGAAACCCTACCTTACGACCTGCATGGAATGCAGATAAATACCATTTAACGACTGCTACGATACGATTTCTTGGGTCATTATGGTTCACAATACTGCAAAACCAAAAACCGAGACAGTTAGTATGAAACATGATAGAACTGGGGGTCGCTAGTCTTCCACAGAGCCGTTTTTAGTGTCGTCACGCAACTCTCCTCCCCAGGAAGGTTGCGTGACGACACTAAAAACGGCTGTGTAGCAGACTAGGAGGTCGCCCCATGTAAGGCAATCCAAGACAGTTTACTCTTAAATTCTGGATTCCATGCCATGGACTATGGATTTCAGGTACTGATTCCAGATTCTTCGTCAGTGGAACTTTAGACTACGAGTAGTCCCCAAAATCTCCCCACCGCGTCTCGCCTCTCTCGCGTGGGTGATTTTCACGCGCGCTCGCGTTTCGCTCGCTCTACTATCCCTGAGGACAAATGGGCGACTACTCGTAGTCTAGTGGAACTTGAATTCTGGATTCCAATCGTTAGTGGGATTCTGGACTCCTTGAACTGTATTCCGGATTCCTCAAGCAAAAATTTCCCAGATCCCGAAATCCGGATACCCTTACATGGGCGACGACCCCGGGGACGTAGGGAACGTAGATCCTGGTGGTGCTGCCAACCTTTACGGCTTGTGTGATTGGGTACGGATGGCACCTCGCATGGGACCTATGAGTCCCGTTCGGGCCCATTCCGACTGGGCAAACCTGTGTCGAGATAAGCTGGTAAAATAAAATAAAGCTAGTAAAATGAAGGAGGGTGGAAAACTAAAATCTACTTTATCTTAACACAATAAACTAAGCGCATCCCAAAGAGTTGAACGCTCTTGGCATTGACTTTTTTATTGAAGTTAAGAAATTCAGTATAACTCAGGCCAGTTTACTGTGACTGCAAATGGCAGTGTTATATTCAGTTATGTTTACTGTGTAACACGGACTAACTACAGCACTGTAACAAGGGAAATTCCACAGACGTCTTCGTCAAAACCGATTATAATTTAAAATGCATACAATTATTTCAAGTGGAAAATGAATTATTGAGCAAAATGACTAAAAACGGTTTAAATAGCGGCAATTTACCATTTACAAGTAAGACATCTTTTTACTGATGGAAATATTTACTTACTCAACAAAAAGATCAGGATGGGCGAAGAAATCAGCGTACATTTCTAGAAGAGATCGTCTCTCAAGAATAAAGGTTGGTAACACGACCTACATTAATGATTGGAAATCACCAAATTAATAGGATAATAATAAAAAGAATAAAGTTGTATTTGCTCCAAGGCTCTCGCAGTTTGAAAAATTACAGTCATCACTTGTACTGTTCTCGAAATCATAAGAATTAATCCAATATTTTCAAAGGTACATACTTGAGGAAATCTCCACAAACCTTCTCCCCCCTCCCCCCACTCCCCAAATCACTCTCGGAAATCTTCGGGAGTCTACGAAAAACACGGAGTCAACTTCGGATATCAATGATGACAAGTACCTCGCACGGGGTACCGCTTGTTATAATGCACACTACACGAATTGTAACAACGCGTTCACTCTTACCTTTGTCAAGTCCATTCCAAGTCGCACTTGCGATAGTAGATGTGTAATAATGCTACTGTGTTTGTCGATAGCATCAACTGTAATGGGAAAAGTAACAGGGTTTAAGACTCAGAAAGGTCGCGAGAAATAACTGCACGACCATCCAGGATTAATTCTTGTGATACCGTAAAATTCCGAAAATAAGCCCCGGACCTTATATTTTTCAAAGGCTCTTTTTGAGGGGCTTATTTTTGGAGGGGCTTATATTCGGAGGGGCTTATCTACGGAGGGAAATTTGCGTCTCAAAATCGATTGGGCTAGCCTTATAGTTGGAAGTAAATTTACCGTTTTTGCTTTGTTTTACTTTGTATTTGAGGGCAATTTTCCAATTACAAGCCCCGATTTTACGGAGGGTTTTATACGTTACCGGTTTGGGGGGGCTTATATTTGGAGGGGCTTATACATGGAGGGGCTTAATTTCGGAATTTTACGGTATTTTCACAATTTCTGCCCGAATTTTTTTATAATAAACGTATAAAAAGGCTTGTTTATAGTGGAAATTGCACTTAGCTAGTCAGCTAGTTTACAGGCACTCCACTCAAATATTTAGAAACAAATAATTCAAATACAACATAACAGGATTAAAAACCCCAACTGGCAGAAGGCAACCAGTTGGCTTTTTACAAGCGTGGCCGAGGATTTGAACTCGGGACGACCGAGCACAAATCCAGCAAGTGGCCAGAGCGGGACTCGAACCCGGGACTGCCGGATTGCGAGTCCGACGCGCTGACCACTCGGCCACGCTGCCTCCCTTTAAGAGATAAGAGGCTCCTCCTCTCTTATGAGATAAGAGAGGAGAATCTACATTTCATTATTGGAAATTTAAGGGTTCAAGACTCACGGTCCCCTCCAACGGTGTCCTCATCTTCAATTTCAAATTCATCTATGACAGAGAATAGGAGAAACCGTTAGAACTGTAACCCTCACCATCACAATTACTACGTTGATGGGCCGGTTTGAAACTGAGATTCAAAAATGACACTAGCCGCAGAGTCCAATAACTTTTGAAGATGGCTGCCCACAATGATACAGTCAGAGAAACCTAGTGTATGGTCTCGTAACCCTGGAAATTAGAATGTTTGGTCTGAATGTACCTAAAGATGTAGTGAGAGTATAATATTCCACAAGGGTCATATGTAAAATATTGTTCTCATATGAAAAACTTTATACCACATTTCTTAATATCTCAAAAACTTTGTTGCAGATTTTAATGGTCATCAACTGCCACAAAAATAATGTATTAAAGCAAAGTTTGCCCCACTTCAAAATGTCAGACAATTCGCTTGTCATGTATATTTTCTTACCGCGATCCGTCCACGCTTTTGTTGCCGAGAAAGGATTTGTCCTTGGAGGAGAACTGTGAAGACAAAATGAAATAAAAGTTATCACAATCAACATTCCTTTACAAGTAACATGAGCCAACCAAACCCGAGACAATTCTTACCTAAAAGTTATAAAAAACGCTGCACTGACACAAAATTTACGATGCCTACTAAATTGACGACACTATTCTCTACAACGAGAGAAAAGAATTAAATTAACAGCTATGGTGACTATAATGATGATGATAATTATATTAATAATGATGATAGCTATGTAATTAATACGATGGCCAAGGTGCTGATGGTGCTGATGATATTTTGCACATAAAGTCTTGTTGCTTCTTGCTTTTTGAGTCTACATAAAATTCTACGGTAAGTCAAACCTCACACTGACCTTGAATGGGCTGATTCTGACTCATGAAACTCATCAGCGTCAAAAAACTCTGCTTCATCTTCATCTTCGCTACTCGAGTAAGACGTAAATGGCACAACACTGCCATCCCGAGTAGGTGATACTTTGTAACTCACTTGGGGTTGTAGGATGGAATTTTCAACCGCTAAATGGGTGGGGACAGTTCTCCTTTTTGAGAACAGTTCATTGTTAGATCTTGACGTTGCCTTCGATGACGGTAAATCGTGACCTTCATCGCTAGAGAGAGAAGAGGTTTTGTCTCTGGTGTTGAGTGAAGGGTCACTTTTACTTGGTTTAAGTGTGTTTTGCTCCCCTGGGCTTTCAGAATCTATATTTGGTATATCATCTGTGGTTTGACTGTTATGTTCCAGAGAAACGTTTGACATGTTGGCAGAGAAGTGGTCACTATCCACTGGCATCAAAGGATGATTATCCGGTAACACTGAATTCTTTATAGCCTTCTCACATTCTGCCTGAAATGAGAAAAGTGCAAAGGGATCTAGACTGAATGTACTAAATAACTGCCTTGCAAAGTGGAGGCTGGCTTTCCTAGATATCCAGGAGCTTCCGCTATCATCAGCCAGCTGCTACCAGGTTCTATCTAGGGTATTTTAGGGGTAGAAGCTTCCCCCCCAAAATGCCCAGCTTGCCCCGCCCAAAAAGATTGTTATCATTACAATATATAAGTAACTATATCAGAAAAAATCATCTCGACGCGACGAGGTCAGTGCACACATTGTAACATTTCTCAAAATTGTGTCTCAAAATGCACCAAATTGCATCTCAGCGCATATTCATTTCAAAAAAATTTCCGGAGGGCATGCCCCCCGACCCCCCTAGGAAACTCGTAAGCTTCAGCCACTCTGGACTTCTCCCCCCAACGATAAATCCTTGACCACTCCCATGCCTTTCAAATCAGGGCAACTAAGCCAAGAGCCCCCACATGGGAGTGGAAGGGCAAAGGCACCCTCACACTGATAAAACAGTGGAAAGACAGAGGGGAATTGATGGGGAGGAACAGCCTATGACAAAAGCCCAAACACTCAAGAAAAAGTCCTACTACTTATGAAACACTCCTTATGCTACAACACACTAGGGTTCAAGTGCATGTACAAGTCCTAGAGCATGCGCACGTACCCAAGTGTCTCTGAACCCAAAGGAAAGTCAAGCGCTTCTACATGTTAACTCCGTTAAATTGTCTTACGCTCATTGTATACCCAACACGGCCTGACATGTAAGTTGGCAAACAATGAAAAGCCGTCAGAAAAATACAATAGATTATTCAGGAGTCATTCTGGCCTTCAAACGTATCATTGCCAAGGAGAGTGTGTCCTAAGTTTTATTAACATTAATTTGACTTATTTCTTCCATCCTTTTAGTTATTGTCAGCATGAAGAAAAGATCAGATGATGATGATGATGATGATGATGATGATGATATTGATGATGATTGTATTACTTAGTTACCTTAACTGTGTGCATCTGGTTTAAACAATGATTCATTGACTCCAGCATTTTCTGTCGCAATGAAAGATAAAGTGGATTCTATTAGAATAACAATGGCTGCGTTCATATCAGATTTTTAGTGACTCTAAGATGCCACGACAGTGACGAAAACGAGAATGTCAAAAAAGCAAAAGGTTGACAAGGTAAAGCGACAACTCTGCAAGCAAATCACGCTTTTTTGTACATTTCGTTGCCGTCACTGCACGACTGCGACGTGAAAATGCCTAATTTCACGTTTTATGGTGAACGTAAACAAGCGATGACGAAATTTTCTTTCTCTTCCTGAATTGGATATGGTTCTTAGAAATTCGGCTTCAAAAGAGTCCGCTCACATTTTACAAAGTAGGCGAGTTGGAATAATCGCGATAGAGATTAAAAGAAGGCTAATTCACTTTCTAAGAGTCGTTTTCGTGGCCGTCGCCATCGTGGTATCTAAAACTCCCTACTATCTGTAGCTAAGGACAGTGCTTCCTTTTCAGTGCCCCATTCTGTTATCAAGCATACTTTCAGTGTAAAACAGGAAGGTCGCTCCATGGTCCCCGATTTGACAGGGACTGTGATGCTCCGCAAAAATTCAGAATTAACCCTGTAAGTCCCAGAAGTGGCCAACATCAATTTTCTCCTAACAATATCCATACATTGTCAGGAGATAAGGTTGTGAGAATTAATAAAATGATCACCAAAGAGAAAACGACTTGATCTTTTATTAAATTCTCTCAAGTAATTCTTACAGGAAATGTCAGGAGATCAGTTTGGAGAATTTGTATGTGGATATTGGGGCTTAAAGGCTTAAACCCTGAAAGAAACCAATTTGGGCGTGGTTCTGGCTTTTTTGATCCTTAACAGAGACCATACACCAACACCTACTATGACTTTGTAAAATTACTAAAGCCCTGCTAAAGCCCAAGACCACCCCACATATGATTAGTGGTGGAGACCGCTGGCCAGCATTGTCTCGTGTTTAACCTCGCCTAATTTGCATTTAGCCACATACAAAAAGTCTCAACATTGATCTCCAAATACTTCCTTGAAGAACTATTTAGAGAAACTATTTGAAGATCAAATTCTTTTCTTTGATATTCTCATAACCTTTTTTCTTGATTGTGTATTGATATCGTAAGGAGAAAATCGATGGTGATCACTTCTAGGGCCTAAAGGTTTAATGCCAGATGATAGCAGTGACACCTGAAATTAAGGTTTAAGCAACTGGCCCTGCCCCTGTAGGCCTTAAAATCCATGAAACACGTCATTAAGATGTGACCAATTTTCCTAAGGAGTTATTACATTATTTAAAGGCTTACAATAGTTTAAGACTGGTAAAGAAGCTACATAAAAAAAAAAACAAGTAAAGGCAGACATGGCAAAAACAGCACTGAAACACAGACAAAGACTAGCCTCTATTGCTTAGTTCCTAGTTCCTTACAATGGTTAACTGCTGTGGTCTTATGACATCTGGAAATTGGCAATAAGCTTTAGTCAATAAAAAAAATCGGGTTTGCTTTTTAAAAAGTAACTGTTCCCACTGCTTAATTCTACTGGACTCTAATGTAAAAAAAAGCATTTCTTAAACAAACACATGGGCATGAAACAGAGATTATACTAACACTTGCCTTTCAGTTCTCACTCCAAACAGCCAGGTAGTCTTTTGTTGCTAATACTACCTTATATAAAACACTTCTGACGTTTTAAGATAAAGGATTCTACGTTTTGTGAGTTAACACCCGTTATATCTTGTGATAACTTAATCTAGAACTACATGCAATGGCAAATGCACATGCCTAATGTACACTAACTTAAAACAACTGCTAAATGAATTTTAAAAAAAGCCACAAAACTATATGCACAAATTATGCAAGAACAGGTACCTGTTGAGAAACTTATTAAAATAAAATTCATAAATAAATAATTATTGATTTAATGATTCCGAGGAAATTCAACTAATTTAGCTTGCAAAGCAGTGTTAATAGTATTACTGGATTCTACTGACATACTCCACAGAATCAACAAAAGAAGAAAACTATCAGAAAAACTTACATGAGAAGTGTCCTTAAGGATGGCATATCTCTGAAATACAAAACAGTAGGCATTAACAATTAATTGTTTGAAATATAATATACCACATAAAGTTTAAGAAAAAGTGTATCTAAATAAGTGTAGAAGGGCGTAGCTAAGAGTTTGTAAAGGGGACCCAGGGTCACACCGTGTCACACCCAGGGTATGTACCAGATTGGCATGTTGATTGGCATGGTTTACTAAAACTGACATTTTTTTTCAGATGAGCAGTGAGCATGGTGGGAGGGACGAGCCAAAAAAATAGCTGCATAGATGAATTAATTTCCAACATAAATTACTCTATTTTAGTCTCACAGCTCATCAAGTCAAAATGTCTTTTAGCAAGAGGCGGCATGAATGGTGAGTATCATAAATTTTATGTTATCTCACTGGCACCCCAGGACCCCCCTTGGTATGCCCCTGTGTAGGGAAGATCGAAAATAATATGTCATGTTCACATACCTCTGAATCCTGAGCTCCACCATCAGCATTCATTTGGGAGTTTAAAATCTAAAATCAAATTAAGAAGGAGAATTCTAATACCAAAAAGCTCAGAAAAAATTCTGAGCTCCATGTGAGAATTGAACTCATGACCCTCTGAGTTCTAGTTCGGACACTCTAACCACTGAGCTACTGAAGGCTCTATGGTGAGCAGGGTCAAAATTTAATAAAACTACACCAGTCGTAGAGGACTGTGTATATTAGCGTTACATGAAGTAATACACAAGCCTCTATAAAATTGGACATGCTGTTCTAAGACCCACATAAGGTGTCAACCCTCAATTACACATACCTTCCATTCCCCATTCCCCCGGTTCTCTGGTGCCCCAGTTCCCCGGTTGCCCCGTTCCCCCCATTCCACGACTCCCCATTGCCTGCTCCATTCTTTTCCGTTCGTCCATCCATCCGTCCATCCAATCCGTCTATCGGTCCGTCTTATAAATATATTGTAAAAATTGTCATTTGATGGTAAATTTTACTTTACGTTGACTTTTTTGCCACTTGGGTATAACAAAAGTTTGCTATATTGAAAAAAAATCTATCTGTCCGGTGCCTCTGTCAGTATGTCTTATAAATATATTGATAACATTGAGATACGATTTTAAATTTTAAATTTATATTGACTTTTTGGCCATTGAATATTCTGGCCTTTAGGTATAACACGAGTTTGCTGTACAAGAAGAAAGAAAAAACATCCAGGAGTCCAGTCCATCTACCCGTCCATCCATTCCCGTTTCTGTCCATCTTATAAATATATTGTAAACATTGAGATATCATATGATTTTTAAATTTTTACTCTATGTTCACTTTTTTGCGACTGAAAATTCTAGCCATTGGGTATAACACAAGTTTGCTATATTGTAAAAAAGAAAAACTATCCACTTGTCCAGTCTGTCTATCTGCTTGTATGTCTTAGAAATATATTGTAAACATTGAGTTGTGTTTTTAAATTTCTTTTTGTTGACTTTTTAATGACTGAAATTTCTAGCATTTGGATGGAGAAAACATCCGTCCATCTCTTCAGTCTGTCTGTCCAGCCCTTCCATCTAATCCCATTTTTGGATATTTTAGCCGGTCCATAAAAATTCATTTGCAAAAGTGAGACAAGTCCCAACCAGGGAATTAGTTCCCTGATTGGGACTTTTCTGCCTCCAAGCAAGATAACTCCATGATTATTCTTTAAATTAAAAGGGAACTGAATGCCAGTGGATGATCCGTCGGTCCATCCATTTGTCTGTCTGTTAGTCTGCCCACCTGCCTGCACGAGGTATTCCAATGTGCAAAGGATACACTTCATTCCCAAATGCCTTGCATATGCAAATTAAATACGCCTTGCCTATGCAAATATGGATTCTCAAGTTTACAAAATTAATGTTGTAGCTCAGTGGGGTTTTATCTATGATCCTAAGTATATAAAAAATACAACCTTGATCTGCTGCTCAAGGATCTTTTGATATGCCTCAGCTTCTGCCAAACGCATTTCCAAGTTTTCTTGAGATGGGTCAAAGACTGTCTGAAAGCCAGGCATTGGTCGCTGAATCAAACATAAAACAAATAGACTGATCTTAATTAAACAAGTAAAAGAAACTACATGTGCTCAGACAAAAGAAATTTCATCTACAGGGTTCATAAAGATCACAGAAATCCTGGAAATAGATGGAATTTTAATTTTAGACATGGAAATATTTTAAAAATCTGGGCAAAAAATAGAAGGCCCTGTTATACTTTTGTTGTCTGATAAATTGGGGCAAATCGTGCACAGTCTGTCAATTCATATTTTAAAATTTGCAATAATAGTTTTGTAAGGGTAATGGCAGATACACCAACTCTTCCAGCTTATCAGGAGTCTACTGGATTTGGCACAAAAGTCTCCCTGTCTCCGGCGCAGGTCACCCAACTCCTGGATTTTGGAACTTAGCCCATTTATCCCAAAGTTCAAAAATGTTTTCAATTCATATTATGTTTTCTGCACTGGTATTTTCGCACATCAGGGCTAAAAATTTCTAAAGTTGATACACTGGCTTTAAAAACTTAATTTACAACGAACCTTTCTTGATTGGGAATGTCTTTTGATGGTGTCTTCCAATGCTCTGATCCATTGTTCTCTTTCTTCCGAGTCACGAGCTGACAAAATCAATATCAGTTACTATATAGGTAAATGTACATAATTATGCTATAAAGTTTATGTAAACATCAGCAGTAAAATTGCCATTTGTCTGAATCAAGAAAGATCTACATGTATGGAACTGATTGGTTATTTAACCTATTCGCCCCTCAACTGCCCCTAACCACCCGTGAGGATCACATGTCCCTTCTACAGCTTGTGATGTCATCAGTTTTAACGTTTAAGAACAACTTTGTCAGCTAACTTGCGCAGGGTGAAGAGATCTTTCAAATCATACCAGAGTGAGCATGATTCAGTCAAGGAGGCCAGAGTAAAAGGCAAAAAAAAAACATATAACACATTGACCTGAAAATTCCCCAGAAAAATCTGGTTTCACTACCCACCTACCTTTTCTTCCATCTAATCCTAAGATCCTAAAAGTTTTCCCAACAACCTAAATGAAGCCTATTTCATGCCCAGCAAAAGAAAAAAAAAATTAGACAAGAAAAGCAAAAGAAGAGGGAAGGAGAAAGAAAATGTCAAGTCTGCTGTGTCACCGTTAACCCCAACAGCTATCTCAAAATTTTGCTTTCTGCACATGCCCGAACTTCGGAAACTAATATTTTGCATCTGGATCAGAACGTTGCCTAATGCATGACATGTCAACAGTGTTTTGGTATGTTTTAGCTCTTTAAAGCAAGACAGTGACCCGAAAATGACTCAACTACAGTCTCAGTCAAAATTGAACATGGGACACTTTGCTGTCTTCATGCCCTCCCAAAGTTGGTGCACAAGATTTGGTGAGTTAACTGTGATAAATAACATTTGGGAGGGTGAGGAGACGGGCAGAAGGTAAAAAACAGCATTGGGTGGAAGTGTCCCAGCTACTTTTGTCTGAGACTGTAGCTTAAAAACCTGATTTTCAGGAAAATTCCCAGGAGCAAATAGGTTAAGGAGCTGAAGATAGTCCACATGCCTTAACTAAATACTATGTTAAAAGAAAAATAAGATTGATCAATTTCTTCAGCAATGAGAATGCATGGCATTGCACAACTGCTGTAATCTTGAATATAATTTTCATTTCCACAGTTCTTATCATACATAACCTTACACCACTATCAGTAAACATACCTTGAAAGTGAAATGTTTTTTGATCACAGTTGATGGTAAAAGTGCTATCATCTTCATCATCAATACCAATGTTTGCCCCCTAAAATAAATATTTGAGTCAAAAACAGGGATCATGCAGGAGGGAGGAGGGAGAGCAGAGGGCCTTACCCTCTCCCCTCCACCACCACTTCTTTGTGTGAAAAATGAAAGAAAAAAGACACTTCCTCAGGGTTGTCATTAAGAGCCGGGGGCCGGGGATTTTCCCCGGCTACTAAGAGAGTGGTCCCTGGCTACTTTTATTGGAAAATAGAAGAAAAATAGAACCAAAAGAAATCCCTAGCCGTTTGATTCCCCGCCTACTTCTTGTATTTACCCGGCAACTTGAAATCTTAGTGACAACCCTGCTTCCTAAAGTTCTTTCACTAGGTAAGTGTTGTGACACTAGATCAAGTTTTGGGGTTTTCATTCGTTACCATCTCTAACAGAGACAGAGGACTGGAGGTGCATTTGTGAAGACCTATAAATATACAGGAGACCATTTAGATGAAAGCTACTGAGCAGTGATTTGTTTTTTAAATTTTTAACAGAATAATGGAATATTTTGGTATATTAATTGAGAAAATTTATTACCAGTAATAGCAATATCAAAATTCAGACCTTTCTGCCAGTTGTGGAAAGAACTGTTAAAATATCAAGAGCATTGACTTTGCAATACAATATGTTGAATTATTGTGAGGCATGTGTAGCCGAGTGGTTAACACCTTGATCTCCGGATCTGCAGGTCCAAGGGTCAGGCCTCGCCAGTTGCATTGTGTCCTTAGACAAGTAACTTTACTCCACTTTATCTCTCTTCACCCAAGTGTATTCAAATGGGTACCAGCAACATACTGCTGGGAAAAAACTTGCAAAGGACTAGTATCCCATGTAGGGGGGACTAGCAGGACTCTTAGGCATGCTTCATGCTAAGGAAACTGGGATAAGCCCCGAATATTTGGGCCTCGGCCGTGGGGGGTGCGCCTGTACCTTTTTTTTTTTAGCTTTTGTGGTTGATTCCGCTTTCACAGTACAAGGTAAAAGCTTGGGTTGATAAATTCTGTGAGTAATTAATAAAAAACCTGACAAAACTCTCACTTAATTATGCAAGTAGACAATTCAAAAGAAATTTCAAAATGTCTGGCTCTTTTTGGCCAAATGGTGACCAGGAAAGGGCTCAACTAGCTGCAAAAATGTTTGCAAAATCTTCAAGGGTGAATGGGGTAATAATATTATCAAAAAGTACCCTCGTTACAATTTACGTACTTTCAAACGCAGGCATCCTCTTCTTGTACCTCTCATCATTTTGTCCTTGGACTGCAAAATTTATGAAAAGGAAATAATTGTTAGGACTAAAAATTCCAAGTATAAAAATACAAACCAAGACCTTCTTGTTCAAACAATGATTATCGTAAATCCAAGGTAGGCCTCGCCAACTTAATCGCCCCATAAAAATCATGGAGACTTTACGCATTGCAAATTTTCAAAAACACCTGTAAAAAGGGACCAGAACCTTGTTTTGTAAGGTATGGCTCATAAAACACTGACCCCCAGTCCATGGACTACCCCCATGGACTATCCTAAAATGGACTATGCTGCTGAAAGTAAGTATTAAGGGTTAGGAAACTAAGTGAATCAAGTTTCAGGTCAGTTTTCCTAATGTAATGACACCAAATAGAAACTGATTCACTCAGTTTCCTAAAAATCAATTAACTTCAGCAGCATAGTCCATATAGTTAGTCTATGGCAGTAGTCCATCAGGGGCACCCAACGTCAATTTTCGGAAAATATCTGTTCAGAAGACAATTCGAGATCTAGAATTTTCGCAACATTTGATGTAAAATTTTTTGCTTGCCTGCCTCTCCTAGGATTTTCGAAAACCTAAAAAATGGTATAATTGCCCATTTTTAACAGATTTTTACCCTAAAAAGATCACCTAGAATTTTCAGGAGCCTTTTTTCTGGCTGAAATTTTCGAAAAGGTAAGTTTTGATCCCTGTGATTTTTGGATCACTAGACTTTCAGCTAGAAAATCCGAACAGATGAAAAATTTTTAGGGGATAACAATATGTCTATATCTACCATTTAAATACTAAAATACATTTAACAATGTTATGTTTAAGTAGTTTTGAACTATATTCTCATTGGGTGCCCCTGGTCCATGGACTGAGAGTCAGTGTTTTGTCCACCACTAAACAAACGACCATTCACCTCTGGGAGGTACAAATTTCAAAACAACAAGAAGCTGGTTTTAACAATTCATATCAGAGATAATTCAGTCATGTTATGTTTTCAGGGCACTATTTCATTAAATGATGGATTTGGAAATGAATTCTAACGGGTTTTTAGAGGTTAAGAATGTTTTGAGTTCAAAACTGAATGTCTGTAATAAAATGTATTGATATATTCATTTTTAGTGCCAAAAACCTTTTATGTCATTTTCCTTTATAAATGTAACTAATGTACGCTGTACAGCAACACAGCATATTTTTGGTGTGCTGTTTGCCGGGTCATGACTAAGCTAAGATCAGGTGACTTAAAAACAAGTGATGACATGAACTATTTATTATAATAAAAGATCAGACATATGTTAAAATATTGCTCTTCATTTGGGTAGCCTTGAAAGCACACAACAATATTGTTCCCTAAATTTAACGGTTAAATCGATTATACTTTCTGATATGACTCTTGCATTGCATGGTTTCGCTTGATGGACGAAACATTTTAGAAAAGTCGAGGACAATTTCAAGGGAGAACATTCTTAAGATGCGTTTTCTTCCTGCAATTTCTGTCCAACTTAAGCAAAATGCTTAAAGAAATAACACTAACCGTGTAGTAGGACAAAAGCCCCGTATTGTCGTCTAAAACAAACCACCGGTACTGCCATCCTTTCACGACATTTGTCCATTTTGAGAGAGGACCTTCCATCACCACCGCCATTTTGATTTCGTCCTAGGGCCCATTCCTTTACGGCCATTTATATATTTTCGTTCCCAGGTCTCAGTGTCGAAAAATAAACAGAAAGGAAGGGAAGTGGATGGAATAATAATCATGACACAGAACATGACGGAAATAGAGGAAACACAAAATGAACAAAATTCATCATATTTTATGGTATGTTGTTAAACAAAAATTTTATATTTGATTTTTGTGGCCACATTTTTGTTCTGAAAAGCAGAAGAGAGGTTAGAGGCCTGGAGGGAGGGGGGGGGTACTTTGGGAATTTTTGGGTGGGGATGTGCTGCTGGGACACTGGAACCCTTAGCCTACATCATAGCTACTTCAGCTGAATTTTGCTACCCTATTCTAGACTTAACTCCCCAAATTCACCCTATCCTAGAGTAGATGTTTTCCAGAAACAACTGAGGTCACTAGCACAGTCCAGCCAAAACAAAAGCGATTTGACGTTTTTATATTCTTGAGTGGTAATAATTTCCCAGTTTCCCTAGTCTAGACTAAAAGCTTCAGTCAATTCATCAGTTTAAATGGAAAATGATACTCTCTTCTAGACCCAAACTCTCTGATTTATATACCCTATCCCAAAGTAAACTGCTTGAAAACCATACCCTTCACAGCGGCACATACCTATATAGCCCATATATGGCAGTAACCCCCCCACCGGTTAGAGGTTATAAAAGGCGCGCAAAAATATGAGCGCATGATTTGGGAAAAAGGGGCAGTAGCGGTGTCCTTCTTCTTCCCAGTTTCCTCCCATTTTATTTTTGTGTCTCCTCTTTCTTGCACACCCAACTATTTAGAAGCTTGTAACAGGTTAGGAATCAGATAGTGCTATGTATTGCTTATCAGCTTAAAAATGGAGTGTATAGGCATTTATCTTGAATACATGCACCCTCGTAATATGGGAACATTTGCACAGTTATATTATATCCTGAATCCCTTCTGGGTGACACATTCAAAATTCACATTGACTTGAATTTGAATTTTTGAATTTTCATATTTTTTGAATTTTAAATAAGTTTACACATGATGGTTTAGATAAACAAGTCAGCAAAAATGTATGTACACTTAAAAGAATCTGCCAAGACAAACTATCAACACTGCAGCAGCCAAAAAAAGGATCCTGATAAACTAACCTAACCAGAAGATAATTTTAAATCCCTTTACTTCCATGGCCAATAAATATGAAAACCTGCAAGGCAGTTCTCACTTTGGAGTCCATAGACAAAATCCTATGGTGTAACTATGGGCCATTCGCATGACGGTATCTACTACTACTACCAGAATTCACTTCGTTTTTTGTTTATTCATGTTTAAATTTGAGAACCCAGCAAGATTTTAATAAAAATAGCCCTAATTTGCGTATTGGGGTGGGGGGAGGACTCTCCATATTAAAGGGGTGGGGATGCTCGTCGGAAATTTTGAATTAAACCCCTAAAGGAGACCTATTTGGGTGTGCCCGAAGCTTTTTTTGGCCCCTAAAAGAGACCAAAAAATATACATATCAAATATATATTGTTATATTCTTTCGCGTGCAACCCTAAACGAGACCTTCATGGCTAAATATGATGGCGTTTTGCCCAGAACACCCTAAGTGAGACCAAAATTAGAAATTGACACCCCTAAGAGAGATGATGAACATCCCCACCCCTTTCATATGCCGAGTCTCCCCCCCCCTGGGATTTGCGTAACTAAAGCAAAACCCTGAAGGATTCTAGTAGTAGATGTCAAGAGATGTCATCTTTCAAATTGCCTATTCAGATCCTCTCCAGCAGTATCTTCATCTAAAGCTCTGTTTTAAACATAGCATTTTAATTTGCGGCATTGTTGGTAGAGAGGGTTATGGGTTGTGATTGTACTGTACACAAGCTATAAGCCTGTAAACAGGTCACAAAATCTATTTTGGGAGAAAAGGGCCAGTTAAAAATCTTGAGGGGATGCATGGTGAAGAAAAAAATATGGAGTGGGGGACTGGGAGAATTGAGGCTTTCCCTCTCATTGTCATTGCTCAACCCACTCCGCTCACCATTTTTTTCCGTTTTACCCCTCCAAGGAGCCTGGTCCCAGCTTACTAAGCTATCCACTTATTTAATATACATTTTTTGTCCAAAATTACTGTCAAAATGCATATACACAGATGCATAAACATTATATTCAACTCTTTCAATCATATGTACTCAAAACCCCTTTGAGGTACAAGGATCTGGCCAATTTAAACTTTGATCATTAAGTACAGGTACACGCTCATAAAAAACAAAGGCATCAGTGAGGCTGTGGTACATGTCCATCAACATAAAAGTTCCTTGTTGCTTTTGGTAGAGTCACTACAAGTCCTTCTAAATCCTTAGTCAAAATTATTTGGCACCCTGAAAGTGAACAGAAAAGAAAAGCATTAAATCGTCATCAATATTATTATCATCCAATGATTGCTACAAATCAGAGTAGAAAGAAGTCAAAAATAATTTTTGTACCTAATCTTGAATTTTCTTGCAGAAATGGTGCCATATCCAGCATATCATCCTCTCTAAAAGAAATATGAAAAAAGAGAATATGATACAGCTAGCATCACAACTTAGGAACGTGGGACTCCTTGAAAAATTAACAGGGTGAATTCCTCTTAAAACCTTGCCTTGCACTTTACTTCTCACAATGTTGGGAAAATTTTGCCAATTCAGGAACACAGTTAAAATAAGATACTAAACATGAAAAATTTATGATAGGCAGCAATGATGGTAAAGTGGTGAGGCAGTCATCTTACACCAATGTGGTCTGGGTTTGTACACTAGAGTTAATCCCAGCTCATGTGGATAGTCTGAGTTTACTGCAAGTACATCTTTCTTAATCTGAGAGGTTTTTCTCCAGAGGCACTGATTTTCCAAAGAAACAAGTAGTTTAGACATGTGCATGATGCCCAAAGAAAAAAGTTGAGAGTGAACTCCTAAAGTACTCACTTTTCATCTGGTTCTGGTAGTTGATCAAAGTATTCTTCCTTCACATAAACATGACACGTTGAACACGCTAAAGACGCTTCACATGCACCTTGTTATGTGAACCAAGAAAAAACAAACAAAAAGACTTGACATTAATATTATTATAAATTTACACACGTCCCAATTAACTCTGGCTTTACTAGCTTTAAAAATACATGGGACAAAATTATGACACAAAATACTGGCATCAGCAAGACAAATATCTACAACTGTAGGCTATTACAGTCAACATAACTGTACAAAATAATCATTGTGAAAATGTGAAAGGTTTGAACCCAGGAGTCATTTCATAAGTACGTTGAGTATGATCATCCGGGTGAACATAGTCCTGAATAGGACTGTTGTTGTTGACAGTGACAGATGTTTCGACAACCTGTGCAGTAGTCATCTTCAGAGTCAATGTGAGTTGTATCATGTCAGTTAATGGTATTAACCTCTGGTTATTGACCTGATTGGTCAATTAAGTCACAAAGTTTTTGGTCATCTGTCATATCAGCCAGCACCAAAAGAAGTAAAACCCGCTTATACCAACATAAATGATTTCAGTCTAGAAGTAAATACAGCTATACTAGAGGCAATTTCTGGGCTAGGAGAAATAAATAATTTAGGGCCTTGAAAATAAAGTGAAAATTTTCTTAAACTAAAAGTAAGGAGATTGTGTTTTTCCTAGCAACTAGCAATGGTCCCCAAAGATGCCTCCTTACAAAACAAAGGTCCACAACTATGGTGCAGGTCCAACTCACCTTCCATGTCAATGCCATAGCGATGGGCCAGGTATAATAAGTTATCTCCTACTTTCCCTTTCAATACTTTGGGATTTCCATCTCGATCAATGACGGTAACATTCACTCTGTGACAGAAAATAATGTTTTAGCAGGGCTTCTAGCAACACCTGGAGGGCCATGGCAACCTTCTGGTGCCACTTTGAGAGACTGGTAAATCTACATATCATACCTACAGTATGGGCTGTACAACCTAAATTCATACCATAAACTGGCACCTATAAGCCCTGAGCTTATAACATCTTTGTCAGGGGTTTTAGGGGGGCTCATCAGAAATTTTGAATTACACCCCTAACAGAGACCAAAGGAGACCCTAAAGGAGACCAATTTGGGTGTGGTCCAGCCTTTTTTGAACCCTAAAAGAGACCATTTAAAACTTTGATTACATGAATCGAGTAAAAAAAAAATGAATTGAAAATATATAATTTTTGAATTTTCTTGACGTGCAACCCTAAAAGAGATCTTTAGGGCTAAATATAATGGCCTTCTTTCCAGAAAACCCCAAGTGAGACCAAAATCAGAAATTTACACCCCTAAGCGAGATGACGAGCATCCTTGCCCCTTTCATATGGGAGTCTCCCACAGGGTTTGGAGCTGACAAGAGCGATTAATTTAGGAAAATAAATTATTTTTCAGTTCTGATTTTATCAGGATGGCCATTAAGACAGAGAAGTAGGTTTAACACATTGAACTCACACTTCATCCAGTGACTTTGGATCTTGCATCTCATATTCTCCACTAAAGAGAGGCCCTGTCAAGGTTTTGTAATAAAAGAAAAGTTTCATAAGCTAGTGACAGCCAGCTACCGTAGTATGTTAAGTGAAAAAAAACAGGATGATAAACATTTTATTTTTCTTTACTTGGCCTAAAGCATAAAGAAATAATAACCAAAAATAATACATGTAAGCATAAAAAGCTTAATAACTCCCTCCCATATGACCATTTTGGGTTCACATATCATAACCTTTTTAACTAGATTGAAGGTTATCAGTATATTAGCCTCCTTGGTATAGTTACATTCAGTTACATTGCATAAATAAAAAATTTAAACGAGGACAATGTTATTATCATAAAAATGATTTCTCAAGCAATGTATGTTTATATTTTTATAAGATAATTAGAACGTTCCTTTGTGTCATAAGCTTAAAGGTTACATGTCTAAAAGTAGGTTAATGTAGTTTTTTTTATTATTTGAATTTTATTAATTAAGCTTAATTAATCGATAATTTATTTACTAAAGGTATTTTGTTTATTCATCTAAATGAGCAGCCTGCTCCAAACTCAGATAGGCTTTTAAGCTAGCATGCGAAACATTGTATTGCAACAAAATATATCACACTATTTTATTTGGTTGTTATTTAAGCTTATGATTTGCTATTTTAAAAACAAACCTGCACGTGTATGGAAACTGAGAATCTTTGGAGCAACCCTCAGAGAAAATGAAATCGAGGATTTCGGCACAACCTTCAAGCGGGTCCATAACTGTGCACTTCTCAGAATAGATAGCATTATGAGCAAACGTTACTTTAGCAAACATTGCTGTAATTCTCACTAAATTCTTACATAATCCTTCGTCATCTTTTCACCTGAAGAACTGGAGAGGCAAGGATGATGTTAGTCAGCGGTAGTTACCCAATAAGAAATGCGTAACAAATCTCTATTGACTTGGTAGCCGGGTCTTGGTAGTACGTGTAACCAAGCCTTCAGCGTGTGAAAAGCACACGTTCCTTTTCATGGGCTCACATTGAGCTGAACGCAGAAATTACCACGTCTTTTTCCCCAGTAAACAGCTCAAGATGACTACAGGGGACGAAAGACCCAGTACACACGTGATTCAAGTTACAAACATCGCGCAAAATGCCACAACTGATCAAATGAAAACTTTGTTTGGGTTTCTTGGAGAAATCGAGGAGATGCATCTATTTCCTGAGTAAGTTTACTGAATCATTGGATCAAAAGCTAGCTCAAAGTTTATGGAATAGATTTACTACAATAATTATGGTGTCGTGTTTTTGTGGAGCAGTAATGAAACTGGCAACCTGCTGCTTGAATTAAGTTTTTGCGGCAAGATGAGTTTATTGATTAATTTGTATGCCGAGGAATGAGATGTCAAAAATCAACGGTGAAAATTATTTTACCAGGCATATCTAATGTAACAAAAAGGAACAACATTTCAACCGAAGACAATCGTTCAAATCAATTCCATTAAATCGTTACAGCAATGAAACAAAATCGAACACGGAACCTGTTTGTGAGCTGTATCATCAAATTATTTAATTTTGTGTAGAAACCAAGTAATCACATGAAACAAATCAATGCTTTGGTAATCGATTAACAGCTTAAGTCAGCTTGGTCTAGCCAGGTCCATTTCTATAAGTGGAGACAGGATGGGGGGGATAGTTTACTTCCTTCTATGGGCTGTTTGGTGATGTGCCACTTAACAGGGTATACCTCTTGTCTCTGACTGTGAATCCTTGGATTCTTGGGTAAGGGTGTTTTATAAATGTCTGATAAATGTCTTGCCAAAATGACCATTTCCCTCTGGAAACAAGGTTGATTTTTCCTCAGAAACCTTACTGTCAAACTCAGAAAACCATGAACACCTGAAACATTTCAGGAATGTTGATTGTGTAGTGACCAATCACAATAAAGTTCAGGGCATGCGAGCAAAATCCATTCCATACAGGAACTTACAAACTCATGGGTTTTTGCATGTATGAATTTTTCAGAGATCCCATGGTCCATCTTGGCACTGCTACCCGAGTGTGTTTTGTCAAATTTAAAGATCCTTCCAGTGTTCATGTTGCTCAGCATCTAACTAACACAGTATTCATAGACAGAGCCCTTATAGTTGTACCAGTTCAAGATGGTGAGTTCATTGAAAGGGAGTATCAAAATATTGTATTTGAAATGTTAACACTCCCTCCTCATCCCCACCCCCACTAACAAATCAAGGGAGCCTCTCCTCCCCCTCATTTTTTTATGATTGTGCTCATTGACCGTAAAAATGTTCTGATGAAGCTTTGGTCTGTTACATGTATATTCAGATTTAGGAATAAAAGAATTACCGCAATTAAATAGCGTTCTTTTTTTAGACCAGTTTATTGTAAAAGGTTCTGAAAGTTCAATTTTGATTATTATTTTGATGTTTGGTAAATTATCAAGTCCTCATACAAAAGACATCTTTAATCTGAGTTTCCTTTTCTTCCGTCTTTTGTTTTCCTATGTTTACATGTATCCTTGTCAAAAGCTCTCCCCAAATTTAACAAAAGTGAGTTATGACACCACTACTTTTTCGTACAACTCTTTTCCGTTTAAAAGTGATTTTATGTGTTGTACACTGTTAGGGTTAATTGAAAATCTCTCCCTGCAAAGTGCTACAGAGTGACAGATTTTAAAAGGTTTTCATGTTGTGTTTTTGTCTCCTGTTTCTTTATCTTCCATTATTTGAGCAGCCGAGAAAACCTTAGGCTGGCACCATAGAGTGTATGCATTTAGGAAGTAAGTACATATGCTGTATTGTGTAGGTGCTGCCAGGCAAGGCATCTGAGACTTAATAATATTAAGGAAAGTAACTTGTTCCCTGCTGGTATGGTAAATTGGTAAATAACCATGCATCAGGTTTGTTATTCAATGCAGATTGAAGGAAAGCCTTGATAATGGGTTGTGGCCCCAGTATCCACAAACAAATTCTCCTGACCGATCTCTATACATTTCCTTACAGAATTAATTGAGAGAATTTGATAAAAGATCAAGGCATTCTCTCTTGGGTGATCACTTTATCAATTCTCATAACTTATCTCTTTGACTATGTATGGATATTGTGAGGAGATAATTGATGTTGGTCACTACTGGGACTTAAAGGGTTAAGTGTTTTTCTTGATAATATTGTTATTATTATTATTTTCTGCCAAACGTATGGCACACATACGACTATAAATGAGAAAACATGCACATCAATTTAAAATTGTATGAACATCATTCTTTTTCAAAGCCACTGGAAATTTGTCTTTTTCTGATGTCTTACCCTGCAACATGACTGTAATGTCCATAATATATGCTTCTTTTAGTTGCAGCCATATTTTATTGTCCTTTAATTTCATTTTAATCCTGCAGTTACGAATGTCACCACTGATTTTTACACAGTAAAGAAATTTGACTGCACAATTGACTTAGTCGGTGCACCATCTAAGCTTATTTTGTTTAATCAGGTACAATACCAAATGAATCTGAAGCAGTACAGTTGGCGGCACCTGCCAGCGCTGTTGCAGGAGGCTTTCCTGGATCATCAGGAGGTTTACTACCCACTCCTCCCATACCTGCACAGGTATGTACTACCCACCTCTCCCATAGCTCAACAGGTATTCTTTCCATGCCCCCCCCCCCTCCCCATGCATGCCTACAGCTGTATATGAGCACTCTAGAAACATACCACTTCAGAGAAAATAGTTACAGCTGTTTATAGGTATAAACCAACCCCCCCTGGACTGGCTGCTTACTTTGACAACTCAGCCGTCTACTTCAAAACTTTCTGACAACCCTGAGTATGATGTTAAAGTACAGCCTAGAGATTTCATACATGTATATTTACATCAGTGTAAAATTGTTCATTGTTTGGTCTGTAATTACATGAATGATAATGAAATTTATTATTGTCATATTGTTACAGGTTCCTATTGTTCCTGGTGTAGTTTCTACAGTCATTCCCGGGGTGAGATGTGTTTTTGTTTTAGTACATTTAAAACCCTCTACCTCTAAGACTAGGTAGAAGTACATGCAATCAAGGCCCTATACCCACAAATCTGAGTACTTTTGAAACCAGATGTTTTTTACATGAATTGGCCTTTTGTCCTCATTAAAACTAGTGAATCCACTCACCCAAACTGCCTCCAGAGCAGTTTAAGGTGCCGTCCACACAAATCCAGGTAAACAGATATGTGGTTTTAAAAATGTTTGGATTCATGTGGATGGGGCCTCAGATGACCTACCATCCCATCCTTGACTTGAAATAGAGCTGTACTGTGTTCCCATCTGATTTAGATGCTTATCTGTCAGAGATTTTTTAACCCCAAATTTATTATCTTACAGTTTTCACTACAACTCGAAAAATTTCTTGCATGCTCATGTTATTAATTTTGCTCTTATTTGATTTAGTTGGCGACAACTCTTACTTTACCAGCTCCTTTACCTCCCCCGCCACCACTGACAAATGTGGATCCCAGTAAAATTGATGAAATAAGGAGGACTGTTTATGTTGGTAACCTGGATACTACGGTAAGAGTGCAAAAATTTGAAGCTGTAGTTTTCATAGAGAGTTATAGTCTAGGCCCTTGCTCGACACTGAACTATTTTAGTGCCTCAAAAAAAAAAGAATGGCAGTGAATTTGAAGATTGCACAGAAGTATGATGCAAGACGAAGGAAGTAAGAAATCATTTTATTCCTTTTACAAATGTATGTAAGTGGGGGACTAAATGTGAAGTTAAACTGTTTGTCGTGTCTACATAGTTATCACAGGTGGTACAGACTATGTGTGCTGATTTTCCAAGTTGTAGAAAGGAAAGAAATGAGGAGTTTTAGTAATGTCCTGCCTGGTTTTCTGGAACTTGTAGGTTTTCCTGCAGGGCAAGTATCATTCTAAAATCATTTGCTCAGTTGGTACAGGTTTGGGCTAGTCATCTTGTAACAAAGTCATTCACTAAGGAAAGCCTGGGTGCTTTTCTAAAGAAGAAGCTTATTCAACCTTTATTTAAGCCCTGAAAATAACTAAACTTGTTTATTTCTCTACAGCTGTCAGCAGAACAACTCATGGCATTCTTCTCCGGCTGTGGTGAGATCCGTTATGTTCGAATGTCGGGAGATGATACTCAACCCACCAGGTATGACCTTCTCAAGTAACCAACTTCTATTTTCTCTTAACAACACCAATGCATAATTAAGAGGAAGGGTTATGAGAATTGAAAGTGATCACCAGAGGGAAAATGCTTTGATCTTGTATCAAATTCTCTTTATTGATTCTTTAAGGAAATGTATGGAGATCGGTCTGGACAATTTGTATGTAGTGAATTTATATGAGCATTTGTTATATTGAGGTTCTTTTTTATGTACATGTATTTTAGTATCACTGGGGTAAAGAAAATCATTAGTTTTATCAAGGACTTTGATTTATAGAGGTTTGTTATATTGAGGTTCCACTGTATCGAGAAAGCAAAAGTATCAAGTCTAAATGTGTTCAGTGTACAAACTTACTACTTTAGGACCTGTAAAAATGATCAAGATTTTCAATGGTAATTAGGGCATAGACCCACTATTTAGAGGGTTTTGGGATTGCCAGAGATTTGATTGTTTTATATCGTCTTTCTTGCTTAAAGATAAAAATCAACAAGTGCTAGATAATTGGTAAAAATGTTTCCCATGGATGTGGTATTTCTTTATTAGGTTTGCCTTTGTGGAGTTCTCTGATCCTGCGGCAGTGACCACAGCTTTGCAGTACAATGGCGTGATCTTTGGTGGCAAACCACTCAAGTAAGATTTTTTTTGTTATAACTGGTCACAAGAAATTGCAAAGCCATACTCATTATCTTGTTTATTTAATGGAATGGAGATGCAATAATATTATCTTTTACTCTGGGGGAAGGGGGTGTGTTTTTATGCTTATGGCACAAGGCAGTGTATGGTATTAAAGTCTTCCTTCATTCTCACAAGCATGGCCTATAAAAAGAAACCTATACAGTGTAGAAGTAAAAAAACACAATATGCTCTATATGTGAAATCTAAGCAAAATGGACATAAATACACAAAGTTTTCAGAGTGTGTGGTTAGGAAGGTCAGGCAAGGTGGACAGTAACAAATACCCACTGGCCACCTTCCATTTTAAGAGTCTTGAGTCTCTCTCAAGGCAAGGCACTCATCTCTCCAAACAAGATGCTCCTCTTGTGAGAAATGAGATTAGATTGGTAACTTACTTTTCAGTGGTACTGTAACCTTCATCCCAGTCTCAGATGCAGGTGTTGTGCAGTGGCAGATCCAGATTTTCAGATGAGGGGGGGTGGGGCCTGGTCATCCAGACCCTGAGATAAGGGGGAGCCCGGTCTGCAAAAAAAATTTTTCAGCCCTGCAGGCCTCAGTTTGGTCTAAAAGTAAGGGTCCCCCCTCCCCTGCATCTGCCACTGGTGTGTGTGGAAAGCATTCTCATATTGTTTCTACGTCACTTATCATTTGGAAGAAAAAACACTCATGAGGCTGAAGATTTGCTTGTGTCCTTGCGTCAATTCTCTGTCAAGACTTTGTTGCATTAATTTTGTTTGTTTGTTTCTAGAGTTAACCACTCCAAAAATGCCATTGTGAAGCCACCATCAAAAATAGATAAGGATCGGAAAGATAATGATAAGGCCATGCGACGCGTCAAAGAAGCATCCTCCTACATTGAAGATGAACTAGATCCAGGTATTCGTTTAAATTAATTATTTGGTTGATTTGAATCAGCTTTTTAATTTCCACATCAGACCTTTTCATTCAACATTCTCAAATCTAAGCAAGATGAAAACTGAGAAGTTTTCATTTTTGTGAGATGTTGACAAAATTAATTGCCACAGTAAGTGAGTCTACATGGTCACAATTCTAAAGATGGAACCTTTTTCAGTGCGTTTATGTTTGTTTCTTCTGCCGGATGGTACAGTTCTTCCAAGTAGTGAAATGGTTACTGGTCATTTCAATACAAAGTTGTTTTGATACAAGTCGTTTCAATTTTATTCAATCGAGGTGTAAATAGTTACACGTACTTGGCTTAAAGAACGAAGATATTCACCCCAAATGTTTTTCTTGTTCACTCGCAAACTATACTGTCTTGAAGAGAACAAAATTTTCGTGCAGTTTCACAGCTTGGGTTTGTATCGATACGACTTGTATTGAAACAACTTTGTATCGAAACGGCCGGTTTCGAGTGTAACCTTTAAATACGTTTACCAGCATCTAAGTTCTCCTTGCCCTTTTCTCCCCTCAAAAGAAGTCAAAATTCGTCAAAATTTCCAAATTTCATTTTGTAAAATGCTGGAAAACAAATAGTACCTTGTGAAAGTACAACCAAACAGGTTTGATTTGAATGGCCACACTGTAGGATGTCATTCACATACTCAAATTCTCAAATATGAAAGTCATGAAATCGTGATTTTTTATTTATCTTTTTTTGTTCTCAGCTGACAAATCAAGGTCTCGCTCTAGGTCACGCTCCAGACGAAGATCTTCATCAAGGTATAGAAGTTTTTATAGTGTTACATAAAAAGTTCTACACCTGTATACAACCTGAGCCAAATTCATGTTTGTGTTGTTAAACTGAGATATGTAAGGGTGCTTTCCAAAAATCGTAAGCGCCCTAAGTCTCTTTAATTTATAGGGCGTGTCTTTTTATCTTCAGTTTACGGGACATGTTTTTTTGATTCTTAGGTCAAAAAGGCGAAGGTCTCGTTCTCGTTCTGGGTCACGTCGAAGAAGACGGTCACGCACTCGCTCACCTTCCAGGTTAGTTTGAAAGAAAATTTATTGTAAGACTAGGCAGTAGCGATTTGAACTGACTACTGCCTCTTCGCTTGCCTTCTTATGTTTACCTCGGAGAAGAAATAAAAATCCACTCCTTGTTTACGCTAGCTTTCGACTAAGCTCTCCAGTCGAGGGATGTCGGAAACGTCACCACGCGCGATATGCACGCGCGTTTTCTCCCGTTTCACTTCGCTCGCAACTCCAAACTCCTAGCATGTTCTTCCCGTAGTGACCAAATATGCTGTTTATTGTTTATAGGGACAGATACAGGAGTCGACGCAGATCACGATCATCTTCAAGACCAAGAAGTAACCGTCGCTCTCGAAGCAGGTACAGTTAAAAATAAGTCTTCTTAGATGATCGACAGGCCTTATCGGATGGCCACAACATTTTACTGAAATTTTAAAGCGTCAACAGTACATTATTTCCTGTACACTACTATGTACAGTGAAACACGTAGATAAAGAACAAATCGGTTTAATCCTGCCCTGTTGTAGTCAGAAACCCGACAACCGGAGAGAGCAACTTCCATGTATTCATGTCACAGCGTTTTGACCGACCGGGTTACTTACAGAACGATTTTGGTGCAAATTTAGAAGTCCCACAAAATAGCCAGCAAAACCTGTAGACCTGAACAGGTATTTTGGGCCTTCAAATGACGTTTACTTTTCCCCTTTTGATATCTTATATTCCGAATGCGCTCATAGTGGGAGTGTACCTTCCGGGAAAAAAGTTCTCTAAAATTTATCTTAAAAATAAACCGGTCTGTGAAATCGTCATGGCATAGCCCTTCAGGTTTTGGAACACCTATTAGTAATGTAGTGCCTCTGGGTCTCCCGAGGTATAACGCAAATATCGTTGTTGTATTTCTTATTGTTGTGTACAGAGAAAGGAGGAAACCGCGTCGTTCAAGGTCTAGGGAAAAGCGTTCTAAATCACGAGACCGCCGCTCAAGATCACGTGATCGTTCACGTGATAAATCAAAGGAAAGAAAGAGGACTGCGTCACCTGAGAGGTCGCCATCGAAGGAGAAAAAGCCGAGTAAACAAAAATCTGAAGCTACTGAGAAGGACGAAGAGAAAGATGAAAAGAGTAGAGAGGAATCAGAAGAAAGGACAGAGAAGAGAAGGTCCAAGGACAAAGAAAAGGCTCGAGATAAAGAATCAGAAAGGGAAAGAGATCGAGAAAGGAGGAAAGAGAAGGAACGACAGCGGGAGAAAGAAAGGGAGAAAGAAAGAGAAAAACGAGAAAAAGAACGTGAACGGGAAAGGGAAAAACGTGAGCGTGAGGTAAAAGAACGTGAACGAGAACGGGAGAAAGAACGAGAACGAGAACGCGATAGAGATAGAGATAGGAGAAGATCAAGGAGTCATTCAAAGTCGCCATCACCAAAGAGGTAAGTTGTCCTACTGATCACAAGCATCATTTTCCACTTGTTTGTTCTTCAATTTTGGAGTGCAAGGCAATTAAACGTTAAGGCCCCGTTCAGAGCTGGGTAGATTTGCAAGTGCTGTGTGACCATTGTTTTCGAACTCTTACCAAATGCACTCTTACTTGAAACTTGTAGTAGCATTATTGAATATCCTGCGTTCGATATCTATCTTTTAACTTCTAAAGTGACTCCGAGGCTTTAGGATCAAAATTACAAAAGTTTCACGACTCTGTTATCTCGCAATTTCTAGAAGAGACTTGAGCACAAGGAAACTAAACCAAAATATAGAAAAATGACTAGAAATCCTCGATGTCAATATTAGAATTTTAATATATCGAACGTGGGCTATTAACAAACCTGTTTGGTTTATTGGAATCTTTGCATCTGTCAGAAATTGGCATCCATTTACCTTGTTTTTCTTTGAGGAACTTATCTTTTAACTCTGACCTCTTTCTAGAATTGGTGTCCTTCATACAAACTAAACTTGTTTTTGTTTTGTTATTTTCTTAACAAAACAGACATCATAAAAAGAAAAAGGAGAGAAAAGCAAGAGAGAAGAAATACAGCAGCTCACAAAGCGCTGACGAAGAAAGTGATAAGGAGAGAAACTTTGCAGGTAACAGTGTATTCTTGATTTGCAACCACTTGACAAGGCGGCCAATGTTGGTGGTGTGTTGGTGGTCAATACAATATAATTTTTTCTCGAAGAATTTACATGAAAATGGAGTTTAGTTCCCACCAACATGGCCGCCGTAACGTTCAGGCTGAGCACTTCAGCTTCTGTTGTGTACTGCATTTACAAGTAAACTGTGTAACGGCGGTCTAGTTCGTTGGGTAATATTGTCGTTAACGCGTCTTTATTGGCTAAGGAACGTAACGTTAGCGAGGAATGTAGTTGTAAGTGAAAAAAAACCACAGCTTCATTTGAAAAATGTCTCACAAAGCATTGTATCAAACAACAAAAATGAACTTTGAAGAACTTTTTAGTCTAACAAGTTTTCAAAAACCACAATTATTGCAGTCTGTTTTAATGATCCTCTTCTATATATTTACTGAGCAGTTTATACCTTCGTTTAATGTTTTGAGCAGTTATTTTTATGTTTCACTCAATGTTAAAGTGCGCTAATATGTTTGAATTTTGAGAAATTTCGTCACACAGCTCCTTTAAGCTTCCTTTGATTCTTGCCTTAGCAGATAGTGAGGAAGAAAAGGAGAAATCCAAGAGAAGTAAACGACATGGAAGTGTGGACGACCAGGATAGTGAAGGTTCGGATTACAAAAAAAGCAAGAAAAAGAAGAAGAAATATGCTGAGGAAGAAGATGATGAAATGTCTGATGGTGAAAAGAGAAGAGATGAAAGGGAAGAAAGAAGCAAAGAAGAAAAAAGCCGAGATGAAAGATACAGCGAAGAAAGAGAAGACAGAGATGATAGACGATCCAAGAAGAAATCACGAAGCTACAAGAAGAAGCCTGTCAGTGCAGGAGACTATGATAGTGATAGTGATTAGCGACATAAATAAAGCTTTAAAGTGTTGCGAAAGACGCCCTTGAGTTGCAATAGTTTGTTTCGGAAGTCCAGAAACCGAACGCTGAGTCAAACTGGCTTTGCAGAACAGTGTAAACGACTGATTGGTCCACAGCTTATACAAAGCTTTTGCAGTGTTGAAAAATGGAAGAACCTTCCAGATTAAAGCTTAAACAAAAATATTGTAGCGTAACGTTCATGAAAGTAAATTCAAACACCGGTGTTTTATACCCATAGACTCAAGTGTTCTGTAAAGTTCACAGATGTACGTCGAGAAATATTGTATTTGTATTTCCAAGCTTTGTCTTTCCTGTTGGCAGTTTACATTGTTTATCTCACTGTTCGTCGTTTTGAACGATGCCTTACCGATCACAGTTCGGGTTACATCTTAGATGTTACAATCTATTGTAATAATTAAACAACTGAGAGATGAGATGAAGAAGATGAAGCATAGGTTCAAGTTGAAGAGAACCGAGTGTTTGCGTTTGTCTTGAAGTACCATCATTTCCTTTCAAATTAGTGTCAGTTGAACATTTAGTTGACCCCCTTTCTCAGCGTAAAAAGTGGTTAATGTTATAATCTGCATGTTTCTTAACTTGTTTATCCCTCACACGATTCAATTCTGAAAATAATAAAGTTTTATAACATTCTTCTTTTACTCTTCTCAAACTCGTTAACAATTCATAAAGAAAATACAAAAGCAGTTAATGTTTAATCAGATGAAAAACTGTTCATTTATGCATCCTTATTTTCTCCTTCGAAAATCATTTTGTTTGAGAAGTAATATCAAGCATTCGACAGTGTTTTATCAGCAGATGAAACACCTCAAAGTTCGTCAAAAATACTGCGCTTCGCATTATATTTTCAACTCTCTTCTAATTGTTTCATCTGGTGATGAAACATTGCATCTCATGCTTGATATCTTACTTCTAAAATTCCCCCGCTCTTACATAGACCCCGGGGGGGAAACATCATCATCACCACCTGTTATCAGGGGTCCCTAATTGGTTATTTTGGCTAATTTGAAGGGCGGGATAAGTTCAGGGTTTAAAAGCAACATGGTAAGATTTGGGATCAAAAATATGCTGGGGATGAAGGATGCCTAAAATAGCTATCTGGATTATGGAATTGAGAGAAAATTTGGGTGGGCATTACGGGATTAATGAACCCCTTTGAGGAAAGGAGGAATTGGAGAATTGCGCTATGAATCAAAAGAATGTCTGCATGGGAGGCCATTCTGTTACAAACATTGATCCCAAAGATGGTAACCATGGTATCTTTCAGGCAATCTCTACCTTTATAATACAATTACCTTTTTATAATGGACAGTTCTTTTGTTCCCTAATGTAAATCAAACTTAATACAATCCTACATTTACAATACATACAACTCTAAATTATGCAGATACTGGGATTTGATAGCCTGAGAAAACAGCCAACATTTTGCGATGCCAACACTGGGGCCAATTTAATAAATCTTTTACAAGTGGAGCTATTGTTTTAGGGTCCGAAAACAATAGCTGCACTTGTAAAAGTCTTATTGACCCCTGGTTTCCCTGCGAAATGGCGTCTGAGAAGTGAGTGCAGAAATTCCATGCAGACGATGTGTCACTTCCCTGATCTGGGTAGTTCTTTTGATTGGTTGAAGTAAATTTCACTTAGGGCATGAACAATCAGAAGCACTACCCAGGGAAACCAGTGGTGGCATCGCAAAATGTCAGCTGTTTTCTCAGGCCAAGATTCAAGAGATCATAATTTGACTAATTCATACAAGTAGAATTTCTGAAAAATGCTGCAATTCATTGTAACCTGACCCCTGAAATTTTACACCCAACATCAGCACTTTTTGGCAAAAACTATCAAACTCAATCTGATGTTTTTGGTCTTCAAAGAGAAAAAGGGCAGACCACATAGAACAGGTGTTAGGCAAAATGACCCATCAGTTGCAACAGCACCAGAGCCGTAGCTAGTGGGGAGGCAACGGGTCAGCTGCACCCCCTCCCCCTGGACCTGTTGAACCAGACACATCAAGACAGTCTTTGGATGGATTTGTTTTCTTTAGACTCAGTTATTCTGATGATAGTGACTTGCAATTGTTTGCCATTTTCATACCCCAGGTCGATTTTTCGGAGACATCTCATGACAAGTGTTGAAAATAGCATTTCGGAGCCTCCAAATTTGAAAATTTCTGGGGGAGGATGCCCCCAGCACCCCCTACAAGGCTTGCGATAATGCGTCCCCTCTCCCCACCCATTACAAAAAACCTAGCTATGGCCGTGAGCACTAAAGCAGAGACATGGAGTTTCCATTTTATTTTACATCCTTTTCAAAATAAGGATGTTCACCTTAACACAAATCCAGTATCACACAAAGGTTTTATCCATAATTTATCCAGCTGCAAAAATATCAAAATCATTACAAACCTCATGGATGAAAATTATTAATAGCACTACCACCAAGAAGAAACTACAAATAGAAAATATAACTCAAAGGAAATTCCAAATTGTCAGTCAGTAAAGGACATGGAGTCTGAATTATTTAAACCAACTCGTGGTCAAAACAGGAGACAGTAGAATTCAGTTTCTAAGTCACCATTTCATTACCATGCATGCCAAAGGCATACAGCTCGTCTTTTTTTCTGGCTTAACAAAAGAAGTCGGGGTCGATTCTTATTGTTTTCCATCTCAAATATACCCCCCCTTTTTGGTTAATGTCCCATACCACATATTTTTTTTACTTTAGTTGTGTTACTTTTGAACAGTTGAAAGCCCAATCTGCAACAATGTATTTGTTTCACTTCATAAGAAACATACTGTTTACCAGACTTAGTCATTCACTGGCCAAAAAATATGCACCGTTATAAAAGAATTTGCTCATGAATTGTGTGACAAAACCCATGCATACACAACAATAAATGGGCGAGTTGTCAGCAGCCGTAATTTTTTCTAATGTCTAATGTTTCAAAGGGTACCCAAATGATTATTCCAAAATAAGTTTTAAAAATAACTTAAACTTTTTAAAATTAGTTGTAATTTATAAATAAAACTAATAATTTAAGATAAAATAGTTTTCTTTTGTTTTTCTTCCTGCCACTGTTCTTAATAATTGAATTGCAAGGAAGTTCAGATACTCAACCACATCACTTATACTGCAGAAGCTATATAACAGACATCTCTTTGGGGGAAGTGATTTTCCCCATGTTTGCATAATTTTCCTTAGCTTTAATGGAGAGCAAGACTAGTGTTAGAAGTTATTAAGCCTCAGAACTGATTATCATTAGCTGTGCTGGAAACAATCTGTTCGAATCTAAGCTGCTGGATCTCAACACACTAACGTCCAAATATATTAATTAAAGCTGTGATCTTCATTGGTGAAACTCACAATCACATTTGTCTGCGAAAACAGGTAAGATTTTGCGACGCCACCTGTGGCTTCACTAACCAAACCTGGGTAGTGACACATCTTCAAAGTGGAATTTTCTGCACTCATTCCTCAGATGTCATTTTGTGGGGAAACCTCAGGTGGTGTTACAAAATGTGGGCTGTTTTCTAAGGTTACGATCATATGAGTTCCATTGTTCTAGCTTCACTATGAAAACCACAGTTGTGAAAAACATATTTGGACATGACTTGTGTAACAACCCATGTTAAGTATCGAACTAGAAAGCTGACATATGACTCCTCGTGACTACAATATTTTTATACTATAATAAACTTTCATTTACTCTCCTGTATGGGGTACCCCCATTAAATCTAACTGGGTATTGAGCCACTTTACTCCTTTTTACTTGAAATGGCGATGTATATGCCGAGGGATGGATTTTGAATCCATGTAATCGTGGCGTGTACTTTTCAGTGCTTTTTAGAGGTCTATATTCAGGAAACACCATGAAAAACATGTGAGGAAAACTCCTGCCAAAGCCTACTCCATCCACATAGCTGTGTTTAAGAAGCCGTGGAGAATACACCTCACTGCATCGAGGACAATAGACTTTCACTGTTTCTTCCCCTGGTTTATCAGACATGCCAACTGGCAAAACGTTTGAGTTACTACAAAGAACTCGTGGACAATGGCCAAAATCACCTTGCAAGTACTTGTAAAGCATCTTATTGCAGCCTCGATCGCTCAAGATGAACCTTGCATGTATGAGACTGTACAGCTTCTCTGCAACTTTATTCAACGATTTTTCTTTTATTGTACATGTAGGCATTTTAATCGATCCATTGGCAATGCCTTTTGAGATTGTTTCACTTCTTAGAGGTTTATCCAGAATTATATCGAGAGCCTGTTCAAAGGGACAGACCTGTTCTTCAAGTCCTACGAGGTTGGAGAAGTCTTTGATGAAATCCTTGTCAACTTCGCAGAAGAAGTCATTTCCGAGTTCAGTGCAAAATCGATGGACCCAGGAGCTACTTGTAGAGTCATCCATGACGCGATTATCCAATAAAATTTTTCAGATTATCGCTTTCACTTGTTTAAAATAGTAATGGGATTCTTCACCCTTTTTCGGTTTCAAATGACACAGCACTCTGTAAATACAGAAAGCGGATGACGACAAACTGTAACAATATGAATAAAAAATTTGTCATTCGTCATCCGAAAATTTAAACAGGAAACACGGAACGGAACAAAGACATATCCCGTAATCCATTGTCGCGTTCGTTTGACGCCCTACGGGTGGGCGTGCTTCTATCAGAACTATCAGAACGCGCAACATTCGTCGTCTCCACAACAAAGTAGACTCACAAAAGGTTAAATTTTTCTAGAAATTTGATTCAAAAGGAAAATGAAACCACCATGTTCGCCGCCATTGTAAGCCAGCTGTTGTGCTTGAAGACTCCGCTGACCACAAAGCCCGTAATCACATGCAAAGTTCATGAAAAAGAACATTCTCGTTCTCAGAGCTTAGGGAAAAAGAATCTCAACAATTTCAGGAATGTTCTAAGTAACATTCGGGCGGGTGGCAATTTCCAAGAAAATGTGGTGCTAAAGAATTTATAGTTCACCGGAAATAAAAAGTATGCACTTGTTTGTAGAACTAAATTTTAAACTGGACAGACAGACTACGATCACCATGTGACGTACTACCACGTGATACAAAAGACATCAAGACAATGAACAATAGCACCACAGGAAAACCACTCTCTGCTTGTGTCATTTAGACTGAAATCTGTATTTAAGGTGGCTCGACTGGATTTTTTGGGGTTGATACCTTCCAACTTTGAGCATTAACTACGTCGGCATGAGTAAAGATATGGAAAAAAGGTTACAACAACTGTATTATATAAAGATGAAAATTTCTTATGATCTGGGTTTTATTGCAATCGGAGTCGCCATGGCAACGTAATGACGTAATTACGTTTTTCATGTATCTTTGTGTTTCTCTGTTCCAGGAGTTTTTTGATGAAATCGCTTAAGGGAGTATGTACCTGCTATAATTGCCTCCATTATGGTAAAGTTTGAACAAATTCTATGAGAGCGTTTTCGAAATATTTTGAAATGTAGTTTTAAGAATGATAAAAACAGTGAAATAGCATGCTACCTACACAATTCCCTAATATTTTAAGAAAATGATAAGCTTTGGGAACGAGGCTTCATCTCATAGTGGTTTGACTCCATTGAAAACTGCATACGAAAAAAGAGGGGAATTGCTCTGGGCGATCGCGAGTAACAAGAATTTTATTAACTTGCATTTAGCTGCTTTTGATACAGTTTTTGGACGTAATTTGGTCCATCCCTAAAAATTTCGCATTTTTCCAAAAACCGCTCGATAATTTTTTTTATAAATTCGACAATCCCGAGATCAATCGTCAAGAAATATTCCCTGCAAGTTTTAAGAACATTGAAAATAGGGAAGGCTTTTAAATAGGACCTCAAATATAACCAATTTTCCCCCTAGATTTTGTGTTTACAAGTGAGCGTCCTCATTATTCACTGGCATTGTTTTCAAGTTTCATATACACGTGCACATTTAGCAAAAAGATAGAATTTGCATCAGAAAGGACCGTCGGTTAAATCTTCGGGATATGCTAATTACCGGGTAAACAGATTAATGGTACATTATAACATCAGAGCAACTCTTTGTGATAGTTTAGGTGATGTTATAACCCGAGTAAGATAATTAAGTATTCCATCCTACGCGATGAGCCGTGACGTTCACCGTTTCGGCTCTCAGTGCTATCTGTGACGACAAGCCAACTATTAGCATATTCCTGATATTTCTTCGGAAAGTAATCGAGAGTTCTTTTTTATGCAAATTTATAGTTTTTGCTGGTTGTGCACGTGCATATGAAACTTGAAACAATGCCAGCTGAATGCAAGTTAATAAAATTCTTGTTACTCGCGATCGCCCAGAGCAATTCCCCTCTTTTTTTGGATGCAGTTTCCAATGGAGTCAAACCACTATGAGATGAAGCCTCGTTCCCAAAGCTTATCATTTTCTTAAAATATTAGCGAATTGTGTGGCTAGCATGCTATTTCACTGTTTTTATCATTCTTAAAACTACATTTCAAAATATTTCGAAAACGCTCTCATAGAATTTGTTCAAACTTTACCATAATGGAGGCAATTATAGTAGGTACATACTCCCTTAAGCGATTTCATCAAAAAACTCCTGGAACAGAGAAACACAAAGATACATGAAAAACGTAATTACGTCATTACGTTGCCATGGCGACTCCGATTGCAATAAAACCCAGATCATAAGAAATTTTCATCTTTATATAATACAGTTGTTGTAACCTTTTTTCCATATCTTTACTCATGCCGACGTAGTTAATGCTCAAAGTTGGGAGGTATCAACCCCAAAAAATCCAGTCGAGCCACCTTAAGAGTAAATTGTAGCCGCCGTAATGTTCATCTGTATTTATGCTATTAAGAACAAAAGATCGACGCTCAGATTTCAGTACTGACTGAACAACTGCCACACGGACGGAGGGTGGTCTGCATTTGATGACACAGTTGTTTCCGAGTACCATGTCAGGAGCCCATGACCATGTACCATGAAACCTCCACTGACAGCAGCAGACAGTACTGCCAATCAAGAACCTATCTCAACTCACTTCCTTCTCAGAGAGTTTGAGGTTTTAATGTCATCATTTTAAAGAAAATAATCAAAAACAGGAAAGGGCAAGTACCTAAGTGGAGGCTCGATAAAGACTACCTAATATGTCCAGGGGCTTGTCAGGCAATTTGTTTCTGGGACGGAGTGAAAAATTAAATCACATACAGTGTTCTGTTCTACCAGAGTAGACTAAATATTGTCGTGGGAAATTGACTGGTAATTGACTTTCTGCGCAGCCCCAGAAAATTGAAACAATATTACAATTAACATGGCAGCTAAACTGATTGTATATGGAAGTTGGCAAATGATATCGAAACTTCAGGATTTTCGCCTTACCGTCTAGGGTAAAGAACTTTTACTCGTCGACTCTGTTAAGGACCTGGGTGTAGTGTTTGATAGTAAACTCTCATTCAACGACCACATAATTAAAACAGCATCATCTTGTATGTCTGCCCTAGGGCAAATTAGCCGAGTTAAACATATATTTAGAAAAGACATACTTGTTACAGTAATTAATTCTCTCGTGTTTAGTAAGTTGTATTACTGCTCGTCCGTCTAGTCGAATACTTCTGCCAGCAATATACGCAAACTACAAGGAGTACAGAATTTCGCTGCTCGCATAGTTTCTGGGACAAGGAAGTTTGATCACGTATCTCCAGCCCTGAAAGACCTGAGATGGATATCAGTTAAGTCCGACCTGTATCTAAGAGACACCATCTTAGCCTATAAATCTATGACAGGTCAGGTACCAAACTACCTCAGTTCAAATTTTATCTCCAGAGGGAATATCAGCGGTCGGACGACCAGATTATCTTCCCAGCTTAATATACCGCTCAGTTTTAAAACCAAGTCGGGAAGAGATCTTTTTATTACAGAACTGTAACATGGTGGAATGCGTTAAAACCCCATTTTAAATTAAGTGAATCTCTCATCATTTTCAAACGTAAAATGAAAGCCTTCCTTTAAATCAATTTTTATTGTCATAAATTTATATGTAAATAGTTTCTTAATAGTTTATTGATAATCAATTTGTGATGTCATAAATTCTATATGCAAACAGTTTCTTTTCTTATTGTAGCTATTGAGCATGTGCGTAATTCTGGCCCCACCCAAGCTCTCGATTCGTGGCGCTGACCAAAAGGATCGCCTCTCCGGGTGCGAACATGAAGCAAGTATAACCAATCTTTAAATATAGTAAAGTGAAACTACAGCGTTTGCGCCTTATGCTGCTCACACCAAGGGCTCTGGGTCTGGTCCTCTGGCTAAAAGGATATTTGTCGGGAACAGGAGTGCAACATGTGGCTGATCATGGTCTAGTATAGGCAAAGGGTACCTCCATACGAAAAATTCCTAAAGCTACCCCGCCAGCCCTCTCTCCCTCTACTTAGTTTTGTTTTGTTTTGGGTATTTTTTCAAACTACCGGCTCAAAAACGGCGCACTGAACAATGTTGCGAATTCATATTTTTCTCCAAGTTGTTATTGTACTGATCCAGGTCTGCAACTGAGAGATCCGGCAACACTCATTGGTTTGTCGCTGTGGACCTGCTGATATTTTGTATATTTAATTTGACTAGGGTTTAAACTTGTTATGGCTAAAAGAGAAAAGACAAACCCATTACCCATTACACGTAATTTAACACTTATTTATCATGGTACCATTATTTTTGTTCAGTCTTAGTTAAAGAGCTAGATTAAGTTACGACAAGCCCCCTGACAAAAATCCTCAAAATACGTATCTCTCGCACGCTGTTAAATCCCTTCAAGTCAGGCTGTGTTTAGACTATTAGCTGAGCTAAAAGATTAAAATCTTTTTTAAAGCTTTGAGTTGGGAAGCACCTCACCCCTTAGATCCTCAATAGAGTACAGCTACCGTAAATCTCCTATAAAGCCCCCACTCTTATAAGCCCCCTTTTTCCAGGGGAAAAAATCAAGCTCTCACTCTCTTTTACACCCTCTACCCCTTAGTTCATAAATAAATGGCACGTTGTATTAACTAATCATGATTGCAACACTTCATGTAGACTGATCCGAAGAATTCCTCAGATTTACGTACTGTCTTCTGCTGCATGAATTCCAGACTCCTGTGCGTGAGCTTACCATTTTGCTTCTTAGTTCCATTTAGGGAATTGATAGCATCTTCTGTCTCATTAGGGTTGTTTGAAATGCATTTCAGCGCTCGGGGGGTACTCAACGAAGTTGTATACGAGGAGGCTACGCTCCGAGGTCCAACCCCTAACTTACCCTTTTATGTACAACTTTGATAGAAGAGGTGTCCCTCTCGTTTATACCTTCTATACTGACAAATTAGATTTTAGTACCTCTTTCACATCCTAACTTAGAACACTGCATCCTTTTTGACCGCTATAAATGTATCATCTCTTTCACTGAATTAAAACACTAAAGCAGGAAGTTTTCTTTTCTCTTTCACATCAATAAAATGCGTCTGTTACTAACCCTTTCCGACCGAAATAACAGATTTCCCTACCCTTTCAAAGACTTCAACTAATGAAATCACTACTCTTTTACAGTAACGCAAAGTAAAACTATGACAAAAGAGAGGTTAAATAGTATAAGCATCAAGTTTACGTTAAGTTGTACCACGTGACCAAGTTTCTCCTTTACTTGTCGTCTACTGTTCATTATTTCTACTCTTAAATTAGTCGTTTCATGAAAGTTTTTATCCATAAGAATTGTCTTGAGCTGTTTTTATCTGTTAATTTTCTATTTTGAGAAATTCTCAACTTGAATCTGACGTTTGCCGTTTGCCGTATATGTGAAACGCCGTCTGGAGCATAAACCCCAAAAAGATAAAGAAATCTCTATAGTCAGTTATAGTGCACGTGAGAATCACACCGCCAAACTCAATATTGAGGCCATTGGAGCAAGCCGAAAGATAGCGGGACTGCAAGCGTTTGAGCTTTTGTTTTCAGTTCCTATATTGTTTTTGACAAAGGTAAAGGATGAACTGATCTATGGTTTGAAAGAATAGTGAATCGATAAATGAATGGACGAATTAATGTACCGTTTTATTAAAGAAACGTTAATGGGTCAATAAATGAATAAAATAGCTTTGTTTCGTGATGGCCAGCTGAGTAAGGTATAAGCCTACAATCAAGTAGCTTCATAGGGGGCCGACACAGGGGGGCATTTTGTGATCTCCAAAGTAAGCCTTCTTTTTGCAAATCAGGTGTAGTGTTGATCCTCATCATACAGAAAAAAACATTTCACTGTTTTCTCGAGAAAACTGAACAATGTAATAATAGCCCGGGCATTGAAAGTATTTGGAAAGAGCATTTCGATTCAACGCTCGCATGATCATTTGTGTAACTGGACGCGGTGCAGTTATTGTTTATTCCGTTTCCAACGGCTGGCACTTCACTGAACTTCCTCATTAATCTTTCTGTAATTAATACTTCAAGCACCGACCAGCTAATACCTACCTGTTCATCCACTATGAATAGTACATTTGAGCCAAGATATTTAAGTTTCTGGCACTGTTAGTTAATATTTAGTTACAGTTTCTTTTGATCTCTGTAAATCCGGAAAAAATATACATTGAATTAGTCAGTTCCATGTGGCCTTTTTAGATGTAAACACTCAGAGGACAGAAAGGACTACTGTCTTTTGCGTGATTTTATCCTGTTCATTATTTTTTTCAACATTTACAATCGTTTTAATAGCACTAACAGTCCTTAGTAAGTAGTTTCAAACAATGCTGGCGTTTGCTACATTTTTCGAGGGCTATCGTCTCAGAAACAGAGACAACACATTAGTATGGTCAATTTTAGTTTTTTGCTAAGCTTTGAACATTCTAAACTGTTTTAATTTGTTTTTGTTTTTTGTTTTTTTTTAAATTTGTTTTTATAGTATTGCAAAAGAACGAAGGAGTTTTAAACTGAAGTAAAAATTACGGTATCCAAGCGCGGATCCACGGCACCGGTTTCCCATTGTTTTACGAAAATCGGTCTAATTTTTCATAAATAAATAACTTTAATAAAAACTTTCCAAGTTAAAATCTAGCCAGTATATATCATGTCTGAATGTCCCAGAAACGTTGGCGGAAAGGTGACTATAGGGAATTAAAATCAAAAACATTTCCCGGGAAAGAATGCCCCCGCCACCTCCTAGAAGCTTGCGCCCTTGGCGATCGTTTGGAAATCAGTCCCGTCTTATCTCAGATCCGCGCCTGGTACCAACATCAGTCTTAATAACAGTAACAAAGAATTATTGGTAACTGATCCAAATCTGAAACAAATAAAATTTTCATCATTCAGTTTTATATCAACTGTTCGTCAACCGAAATTCATCAGGGAAAGCCCTCATAACCCGTCACGGTTGAGTTAGGGACGTTGTTCCAGAGTCTGCCTATAACACTCTTCTTTCTCCTCTCCCGAGGAGGGAGTGAAGAGAGGAGGGGGGGGTGGCACTCAACAAAGTTATATATACGGGGAGGCTCTGCTCCAAGTTCCGGCCCAAGTTCTGTCAAAATTTCCATTTTTGACAGAAAAAAAATACCCCTTTCGTATACGTTATACATTGACAAATTGTACCCCTTTCACATACCTACGGCTAGCTTAAACCTTTGCACCCCTTTTAAGTGCTGAATAAAGATGAATAAATCACTAAAGCATAACTTGTTCTTGACCTTTTCACAGCCATAAAATGCATCTGTTAGCCCTTATGGGCCTTTTTGCAGACCAAAATGTCAGATTTCCCCACCCTTTCAGATGTACTCCAACTAGTGCTCCTGCGGTATCTAAATCATGCTGTTTAACAAAGACCAATAAACTGTCGAATAACAAAACAGCAAAGAATAAAGAGATCAGAGTATTCCCGATATTTCGAACGGTCAAGCCGTTCTTCTTCGAGGGATTTATTGAAGAAAAGGAAAGTCGTTACAAATATACAAATATAGTTAAAGAGCGCCCTCGGGTTTCACAGCTGGAGCCGAAATACAGATTGACTATTCATAGTAGACGCGCCCTTCCTCAACTCAAACGCGCTACTTTGTGAATTTTTACGTAAACCCGCAGTACGTCCAATGATCTATGCCCACCACGCAGATAAAATCCTTTGATCAGTGAAACACTCAAACCATGTCAGCTAAATATAAGGAGCCCATAAGTGCTGCATATCTATTAGCTTGTGTAAAATCAGGTGCCGGGTGATTGATTCCAACATAGGTCACCACATTAAGCGAGATGATTCGGCAATATTCTGTCATGGTCAGTTCAAGTATATAGTCAGGCTGTATTGGCTTAAAAAAAGACGTTCTTCAAAAACTCTTTATCGGAAGAATTAACCCTCTAAAGAAATCATTATTTATTAGCTCTAGGCTATTTCTAATGGTTTGTATTTTAGTATAATATATGCCAACAGTGCTTCTTGATAACTACTGGGATCAGAGAAATTAGATTGAAGATAAAATTTTAAAATTTGTCAGTGCCCTTGGCTTTAGATATTCCGGGATCAAAACTCCACTCAGACTACTCCACTCTAGGTACTTTAGTGAAGAACACTTGGAAAACTATGTGGATGAAGCTCAAAATGCATGCAACCCATTCACCAATAATATGTTCAGTTTTGTTTTTGTCTACAAAAGATATTTAGTTTTTTAAAATGCTTACGTTACCCAGAAGAAAAATCAAAGGCCTCACCCTTAACTCACCAACCAAATTAGTCATTATTTTTTTAGATCTTCATAACGTGAGGAAATCTATGGTGTAAGTAAAGAAAGCCCTTAGATAATCCTATGTTTACCTTCCTTTATCACTCTGATCTATTGTGCTTTCCCTCGAGGGGACTTATTTGTGGGAATATAATTACTTCAAGTTATTTTAAGCCATGAGTTTCTTTTCGCCTGTTTGTGTCACTGTGTAATCAATTAATCCTCAGTTTTTGTCTCGATGACCCGAGTGGGGTGGACGCATGTAATCTGTGTTTTGTCAGCTTAAAATAATTGTGTATCGGTGTATGTTTCCGCCTTTTAACCCCTCGTCACAAATTTCTTCTTTTCTTTTCTCCTTTAAGCATAGAGCCAAAAAGACACCGGCCCTACTTATCTAAGTTCACTGCTATAACCAAAGAAAGTTATCATATAACTCACTTCAGTTCGCTTTCATTGCACAAAGCAATTATCAGTATCTGCCGTTGGTTACTAAGTGGATGTTTGTTTTTATTATTTACTTCATTCTATAAAAAATATGAGAATATGTCAGTTGTACAATATTATGTCAGTATGTCAGTTGTACAATATTAATTAATACAAGGTGTTTAGACGAAAAAAACTACAGGTACATAAGGTTAGCAAACAAATTAAGAATGGAGAAGGGCACAGTTTAGTAAATCTAATTATGGCCCAACAAAAACTAAATCATTTAAACACAAATAGGTAGCAGATAACACAAAATTACGTAGTTTCAAAAGACGCGGCCATCATCATCGCTGACCGCTCAACGCTGATGACGCCTGCAGGTTTTCCCGGATGTCCCAGGTTGTTCCGGTCATTCCAGTTGTCCCCGATGTCTCGGTTGCCCCAGTTGTCACGATACATTGTCCCGGTTGTCCGGGCGGTTCTCCCGGTCGTGCCTGTTATCCCGGTTGTTCCTGTTTTCCCGGTCGTCCCCTTCGCCCGGGTTGTCGCGGTTGTCCCGGTCGTCCTAGCTGTGTGTGTTTATAGATCATGACGTGTTCTTTCAATATAAGTAAATCTGTTTTGGCCAGTATTCCCTCTTAGTTAGCCTAAACCTAGCTGAATTCCTGAACAGCAAACACATTATTGAGCAGAACACATGCAGAGTATATAGACGTGACCGTGTAATAGTGTATAAAATATAACTATTTATTCACTGAAGCACATATCTCTTTCAGATGGTTTTGTTTTAAATTAGGTCTTCTTATAATCACGCTATATTATGAGGTGCATTGGGTATTAGGAACTAAAAATAAACCATGTCTCGAGAAGAATACCTTGTGAGGTAAAGTGACAATTTACATTAAGCCTTTGTCTATGTCTTGGGTCATTTCGCAATCTTCCAAGGTACAAATTTGGCAATTTTTGAATAAAAACGGCACTAAGAAAGAGCAGGTGATTAAGCTTGCCTGTCACTGTTAGATTCTCGGTGGACTAACTTAAGAACATATAGCATTCGTTGCATGCCTTTTTTGACTTCCTAATCCGGACTACACCGTATAGAACTGAAAGCTTACTAGTTAACCCGTTCCCAAAACATTTTTTAATTAACCTTTTAGCTACTACAAGAGGTCAAAGTCAACCTTTCCAAATACATTTTTTTTAATATACTGAAAACAAATAGTGACGTGTAAAATTGCTGCTAAAGACGGTTGACTTTAATTGTCGCAACGTCCTGTTTCGTTCAGGGTATCAAAAGTTAAAACATATGCACAGTTTATTTATTTTGTACAGGTCTTCATCACTAAATCATACCGTGGAAAGGTTTGAAACGTCTAGTTTAAGATTAGAGTAGTTTCTGTTATTCAATACTACCAAATACAACTTCGGCATTAAATCTTTTTCCTAATTAAGTCAAGGTACGGGTCGAGAGCCGAGTTTCTAACTTAATCGGGCCCTTGACATCCGACTCAATGCGATGAAAGCTTTTGAGCAGAACTTTACCGTAAATGCTTTTACCATTGTTCAGTTTTCGTTTAAGAGGGAAACAGGGGTGGAAATTTACGAGCATTCGTTTCATTTTATTCTTAACACTTTCAGGCCAAGCAAGTAACAAACGAAAGAGAAGTGAGTCGATTAGTGAACGCCCCAGGTAACGCAGCACGAGGCGGTTCTAATTGACACCGTGCTGCGATAACTCGGTAGGAATTGTTTACAAAGCACCTAATTTACTCAACGCACTACATTATAGAAAACCCAGGTGGCAAATGGATCTAAAATGTGCAAAAAGAAGAAAACAATAAAAATATCTTCCTCCGTTTGGTATAATTTAGAGTAATGAGAAAACTGAGAGCCTCAGTGATATCCTCTCACGCCTTCCTCGGATCACGTCTCGTATTAAAATTTTTTATTTCTGAGAAGTTTTTTTCCTTCAGTTTGACTTACATGTTGTACTGAGCAGATCCGGTTTTTAAATTTAAAAATGAAAAGCCAGTTCAAGATCAAGGTGCAACCAGATACTCAAGCTGACCGTTCCGCGAACTTTACTTTGCCTTTTTTTTCTCTTTGCCCTTTGGCAAACTTTTGGAACCTATTTACACGTCTATAAAATAACAAAGTCCACTTGTGATATGAGAGGGGTCATGTATAGCTCTTCACCACCCCAAAAGCCATGGAAAGTTGACCTGAAGTTTCAATTGTTCTAAGTAAAGCAATACACCTCAGGCTATTTGCAGTATAATTGTTTCGGTTTTGAATTGCAGAGTTAAATGCATTCAAGCAGAAGATGGCTTATTAGGCCACGTTTTGTCATGTCACGAAGCTACCATCCGTCCATATCCATGGAGGTGAGCGAGCACTGCAATTAAGCTTACAACTGTCAGGTCGAATGTTTGCTGTCACGCTTAATGACATGCCTATTGTTTCCAATGACTGCCCGCCCCTTCAGATTAACTGTGCGCCTATTATGACTCGCGATAAACCAATCATAGGCTTGACCACTAACCTGAGCAGAGACCACAAAGCTCGGTGAGCTGAAGCTGACAAGGTTTAAAGATTGTCTGTTAGTGAGCTATGAAGGCCAGATGACCGTGGACGTCGTCTCTGCCAAAGTGAAAAAAACTGGAGTAGCAGCACAGTTGAAATCCCTTGTTAGGATGAACGCATGGCGTCGTACTATAACCTCGTGTGGGTTTTGCTGCTCGTTGTAAGTTGACCACTGACATGCACAGCCATCACGTTAGTCTATAAGCAGTTTATCACTTACAAATCATAACACATCTTGCTTCTCACTGCAGCTAACTGAGGCACCTCTCCAAAGTCATAATGCTTCTACGGACATCTCTCCATCGACAAGACCCTCCTGTGCGAAATACGCGGTAACAGACTTTCGAGATCTTTTTTGTGTGCGTTTGTTGATGTGTGCACTTAAATTCTTATAGATTACTGTCCTATTGTGTTTTCAAAAATAATTACGCTGTGCATATTCCATTTGTACTCGTGTTTATAGCTACAAGAGAACCTTAATTCCTTCTTGTGGTTGGTGAAGAGAGATCCACCAGCTTATTTCTTCGGAACGATACATGTGCCGTATACACGAGTATGGGATTATATTCCGTCAAACAGCAAGGATGCCTTCAGGACGAGCCAGTACGTCTATTTTGAACTTGATTTAACTAACAAGGCTACAGTGAATGCACTATGGAGATGTCAAATGCTACCCAAGGGAGGACTTCTTAAGGACGTGTTGCCGCGAAGTATTTATCGACGCCTCTACAGGCACTTACGATATATTAAAAAAATGATTCCGGTGTGGCTTAGAGACAAAGACGATGATTATCAGCAAGGAATGGCGCCGTACGCTGACAAGATATTTCAGCTTTTGACCAAAGACTGGCAACAAAAGCGACCTATATGGGTTATGCTGATGGTCAATTCTCTGACCAAAAGCGACATTAAAAACAGGGGCATTCCAGTGCTTGATCAGTACCTGGCGTCCGAGGCCTCCAGGAACGAAAAGTTCACCGGAGCTGTAGAAGAGGTGGAGGAACAATGTCGGCCGCTTAATTCTCTCAACGACACACAGGTTTGTAGAAAAAATTACATAATCCCGCAAAGCTGATCATGGGCAAATGTTTTTCAGACAGAATGCAGCTTACCGCTGACAAAAGTGGATTAAATGAATTGAAACTAACAACATTAAATATTTAGAGTTAAATTGCACGCGACATTTAATCAGTGAACATTTCATTGCCCTTTAGAACGCGCCTTCAAGGGCCTCATCCCGCGAGAATTTATGCGCGTCATTGAAGCGTGATACACGTTTTTAGGCTGTTTCCTTGATATTTTTCTTGCGTGAGCCGACTGTGGGGTATAATTCTATTACAACGCGTGATAATCTGTGTGTCCTCTTGGTGGTATCCCCTGTTTTGGGGGAAACCTGTAAAAACCGTATGGCATTGCATTAGCTTAGCAGCGAGATTTTGTTTTTTTAATGTGTGGACGCGTACAAAATGGTCATTGTGTTTATATTAGAGGTGTTGTGTGTATACGGCCGTCACAAACAGTGTTCACATCTTCTAAATCATGTTTTGTTAATAGGGCTTTTCACTGTAATTTTAATGTGAATTCCTGAAACGGTTTGTCAGGGTTTGATGGCAACGTGACACAAAACATCGGAAGGCTTTAGTTTCTCTACCTGGTACCTGATACTTAAGAGCTAAAATTAAATTCGCGTCTCTTCCTCTTTTACCGCAGAACGTGCTCTTTTAGTCAGTTTGTGGGTAAGAGTATACGTGCGTGATCAAATTACCTAGTCTCTTTCATGTGTTTTCTATGTTTAGGGTTATTGTTACGTAAAGCTAATAAGCTATAACCCTGTAATAAAAGCCATTGGCGAGATAAAACCGTGAGTAAACCTTGTTCGACTTGTGTCAATCAATTAAGTAAAGCGGATTCCACGCGTGTACGCCATTTTTCTTCATTACCACTGGGACATTCTTAAAGGCGGCTTTTCCTTTCGGTGTCCTCTGTTGGGCTCCGACTACAGTATCAGTTACAATGTTGTTTGATGCAGCTTTTATCGACTCTGATATGAAAACATCTCGCATCTTGGGTGTCATTAAAATTTCATTACAATCACGCCTTCTCTGTGAAAAGATTTCCTTGCCGCACTTGGGACTATCAGCTTAATTACTCTGTTACTGGGGGAACATGCACTGAAAATAGACCTGATCGACGATTTTAGCGCTAATACGATGAAATCCACGTAGCTTTTCAATGAGTGGCAGCGTGGTTCTTATGTCAACAAACTATTTTGTAGACAATAGTGTTAATTAAATCAAGAACATGTCCTCCGCCGCGACAGATCGAGAAAAGGCGTTTTGATTCACGTCATAAGGAACGATGGCAATCGGTTTTACCTCACCGCAGAGTGATTGAACTGATGCCCTTGCTAATCATAACGTCACTTTCTTGAAATACGCAATTGTGCTGGCGATAAAGAGAGTTGAATAGTTGTATTAAAAATGAGTCAAGAGAGCCGCAGACGAACAAACATTTTCCACTTGTACTGATCACCGTCCAATAAGTTTTCTCTGTCTCTGGCAACGTGTGAAGCGTTGCATCGTTTCTCTGGGGTAGATTTTGGAGCCCAAACTATGAACTTACACAATGAGTTTTCCTATTGTGCTCGCTAAGTCTGTTATTTATTCCATTAGCTTTATGTTCGTTGACTTAAGCGATAAAGGGCGGTTCTTTTTGATGTTTAAAATTAAAAGGTCTCTTGATCGGGAATCGTTCCGCCACTTGCACACAAATCTGGGCGAGACTTTTTTATAATACTATTTTGATAAAACCGGGGTTGAAGCTTATCTCAAATTAGTTTTATCTGTTGTTTTTGTTAAACAAGAAAATTGTTATTATGTTATGTCGAACAACAATAGCGTTTTTCAATAAGGTTTGATTTATAACGCAAAAAACAAATTGCGTGAAGGGCTTTTATCTCGAATGCGCTCTCTTGCTCCCCGCTCTTGTAACATTGTTTAAGTAAGAAAGATGAAAACCTCTCTCCCTAGGACATTATTGTTCAAGCACCACCTGCTTAAAATGTGGTTTTTCGTTTGCTTTCAAATTTTAAAAGAACGTTGTCGTGTGGCAACGCAGTGTCATAGAGAGATAGAGGAAAACAAGAAACAAAAAATAGGCCAAGAACACGATTTGGCTTTGTATTTAAGGCATTTGTATACGGGAAGCCCACGTATGACAAGAAATGTTTTTATGTTCCGAACTAACAAACATCATTTTGTTATGATTTCGTTTAAAGGCCTGTTAATGCGTTCATGGAATGATAAGGTAGTCTTAGAGCGCGCAAATGTGGCATTATAGTAACTGAATTGACCATATTTGCAAACTTGTTAACAAGAACCTAACTTGCCCTCTTTTGTAAGTTGAACCTCAGGGCATAAAACCCCGATAATTTAGTATATCGAGAAAGATAAAATGCGTAATCGATTCAATACATACATCTGCATTTTGAAGATAATCTTGAATTTTGAGAAATCAAACGAACGCGAAATTGTTTCCTCTTTCTAGACTTTGCTAGACTGCAAAACTATCACGTGCTATGATAACCAAACAACCTCAATTATACAGTTGTCTTATATCATTATCCTCAATGAACTTATGTCATTGATATACGGATTCCTTTCACGTTTTTAGGTGACTGCATGTTCTTGATTCATGGGTTTTGGTAAATTGGGTTTTAACTAACTATGAGTGTTACATTTATCCCAAATGAAGAAGTAGTCGCCGTCTTTTGTATTTTCTGGTCTGTCTCCCCATATATATACAAGAAATCAATGGAGATAATAGTCCAGAAAAGAGATAAGACTTCAGCAGTATCAGTAATCCACGTTTATTTGCGGTCTACCGATTTAATCTTTTTGTTAGCCAAGAGCCATTTCTCCTATAGCCGAAGCATGATTTGACAAAAATTATTTCGCATCTTTTCTTCAACGACAGTGAATTCTAGGGAAAAAAACTACACTACAGGGAAATTTTCATCCGTCAACGGTTTTTGATTTTATACTTAACAGCAAGCAAACTTGAAAATCATGGAAAAGACAGTTTGATGATCTCTCTGTGAGAAAAGACATAAAAAGGGGAAACATTTAGAACCATATTACCGTACCGCTATTTTAGGCGTCAGAATTTGAGGACGTGCATGGCTGCATTTTTTTACCTTCCGTCCTGACCCGTGTTCAATAAATTTAACATTATTTTTCAATTTACACGATGTGTCTCAATAGAGCTCAGAGTCCAAATTCAAAAAAAATTCTGATGTCTACCATTCAGCAGGTTGTTTCAAAGAAGTCCGAAAGTTTTTTTTGCAGAATTTTGTCTGTAAACTGTAAGCCATCCAACCCTAATTCACCACATTTCACCGCCATCAAAACAAACTTACGTTGCAGAAATTTAGTTAGAACGAGAAATTATAGAAGTGGGTTGTTTTTTTTGTTATTTTCAGTAAGTTTATGGCGTCAGACACACTTGATCCGGTTCATTACAGCGCGTTATAACGGTTTTTTAAGCCGCAAAGTCAATACGAGGGATCATTAAGTTGGTCATTCTACGTTCTCCAAATTTCTAAAATAGAAAGTCATAACTCAAAATTATCTCCTCTGTCTCATTCAGTAATTATTTAATGGAATAACATCATCTGATTTATTGCCCATACAGGCGCCTCACTTTCCAACCATGCGGCCCGCCTAAAAATAAATCTTCTAAAAATGTGTAAAAACCCCTCTTGCCTGCTAAAAGTGAGAAGAAGTGTTCATTTTGCTCGGTTTCTCCTACAGTAAATTACCAGGGGACGTGAAATGGAATGCTAACTTTCGAGTCTGTCTTTTTGTTTCTCGACATTTGGTCAAAAGTTTCTCAAAAATTTGGATCGTGAGTAAGCGTTAATGGCCTGGCAAGATTATCTGTTGTTTTGTTCTGGCTACAGACGGCTTCTGTAACCAACCCGCGGCCGCAAATCTTCTAAAGTGCTTAAAGTTTTCGGAACTTTATTCCCGCAATGTAATTTTACCCTCTCGGATTTGTTAGAGAATCATGCCAATGTCATGTGTTAACATTTGACTCTGTGGACGAAACCTTAAGGTGCAACCATTCAGCGCGGCAGATGAAGGAGGTCGCTCCAGTACTTTCACATGGTGTTTTTGTTTTTCAGCATTATACGAAAATAGATTTTTTTTACCGCATTTTTATGTGGGCACTCTTTAACTGAGAGCGAATACTTAAGTTGAGTGTTAACGCTAATCACAATGTATTTTTGGGCCACGTCCAGGGGTAATCGTGCAGATTCGAGAAGATGCGCCAAATGGGTCTATTAATTGATTGATTTTTTGTGACCGCGTGTAGTGAGTCGGCAAAAAAGTTAATGGACTACTGTCAGAGAAATTCTTGTCATACTTTTATTAAAATTATCTTTTCTCATAAAAAACGGCGCTTTTCGATGACACAGAGGTGAAGTTTTCAAGACAATTCTTGGACGAAAAGAGAACGTTTCTTTTACACTAGATATCATAATATTCCATGAAAAGATAACGAAACTCAGTCATCTTGCAATCCTTGCCTTCTTCCCGAAGTCAACCACAGCTTTTAAGAGTTAACGTTACATATGACAGAGATACTTCTAAACAAAAGGAGACACTTTCTGTTGTTGCAAATAAATCTCTGGGCTGCCGCGTTAGTCTGAGTTTTTAAAAGCAAGGGCGTGGTTTTCGAGGGCCTCAAAAACCAAGCCTTTACACTTCTCAACTTCTCAAGAGTAATGCCTCATTAGCAAGAACTTGTTTACAACTCTACAAGAGTATGCGGTAGAGTCGTACATGCAAGCATGTGAACCGCAAGACAAATAAAAGAAGTGTACTCCGCCCTCCAGATGAATTAATGACTGTATAAGTTCCGTCAGTTCAGAGGTTAAAGTTAACCCGTCACGTGCGAAATAACCTCGTAAACAATATGTTAACGATTTTTTTTTTTAGATACACAATAGGTACTTTTTCAACTTTTAAGAAAGACTTTTTCTTTGCGGTTGAGATATCCCGAATAGGATTATGTCCTTTTCCCTTGTTACGAGCTGCACGTCCCAATAAGCAACTTCTTGACAATCTGAATAATCGGCGCATTTGCAAACGAACGCGCCCGGCTCAAAAATACCTTAGTTTGTAAGCTTGTAATGTTATAACAGCTGTCCGGTACAGGGTGAAAATAACGTAATATAAAGTTTTCTCTTTTGCCTCTTCTCGTTGTAGGTTATTTTTGCTTTGAACCAAACACTAAACTTCCAAGAAAAGTTACGGGTTGGCAAGGCAACATTAGCATACACGACAGATGACTTAATAGATCACTACAACTGCGGTGATTTGAACACGGTGTTGTTTTCCACGCAAACAACGCGGCTGGCAAACACGAATTCTAACTCAACTCTTAAAGAACTGGAAATGCAGGCTACCAGAGACATTGATAAATACTTCAAGACTGAACTTATCTTCAAAAGAAATGAACTCATGGCAAAGAGAGTTATTGATCTGTTAAACAAACACCCGGAGCGGAATTTCTTTTTCGCGTTTGGCGCGGGTAAGTGCTTCATCAACATTCTTCACGAAAAGCAAAGACTCCCGTTGGCTACCTCAGCATCATGTGACATCTTACAATGTAACCGTTTCCCGCCAAGACTCTCCCGAAAGTTGCTCTTCAGAGTAAAATAATTCTGATACTTTGAGAAAACTTTATGCTAAAATTTAGCCAAGAATGTGAAACTTGGAGAAGCACACCAACTTGGCTGGTCTTGTCTTTGGTTGAGCTTTCATTCAAATGTGGGCTGCCAAAAGCTAGTTTCATCCACAAAGGCGCCATTCTCTTTCGGAACCTTTTAAACTCCTTAATGGTAGCAAATGTGAAAAATTCGCAAAATTTTAAATTGCTTTTGTAAACTCCAGAGAAATAAACAGAGGTTTCATTTGTTTGGCAACGCAACAGGATTGCGTCCACCCATTTAAAAGTAAGAGTGTCCTGCCCCCGTTATGTCTGTCGATTAAGTGTTACCTGTTGGTACTTTTGCAGGGCATTTTCTTGGAAATCACAGCATTATTGATATCATGAAACGCGAAGGATTTACAGTAGATCACTTAGGACCCAACCAGAAATTGCCAAGGTAAGAATTGTACAGTTTGTTCTGCAGTATCGATACTTCTTGCAATACCGTGTGACTGCGTTTTGTGATTGGCTAAAATATGTCCCGCTACTATTTTATCCAATCAGACGTAAACCCAACACCGAAGTTCGCCGACATTTCCCGCGCCATTTTCACGCCCTTGACACATGCAGGCTATAAGGAGAGGCCGTAATTTGCTCATATTGCGTCTAGCATTTCGGCGACTTTCATTTATAAAAGGCCTTATTCAAACATACTACATATTCGTGAGGGCGCGAGAATGAACAGGAAAAATATTCTCTGAATCTGTAATATATTTGTAAATCGCAGGAAAACGCCGATTTTATTAAGAGGATCGAATAATGGCGATTGAGATTTGTATTAACTACTGACTGATCTTTCTTTCTGCAAATGTTTTAGTTATACACCATCGATACCTCCTCATCTCAAGCCAAAGAGAAAACTAAGAAAGTGTCGCAAAAGACACAGAAAAAGATACTGTAGAAGAAAAAGGAAAAGAACGAATTTTCGTCGCGTAAAGCTTGTGCTTAAAGTCACGAACAATCCGACACAAAAAAGGTGAGTAGTTACTGTTGCACTTAGTTATCTTGCTTAATGTAACGAAGGCAAACTGTTGAATAACAATTGTCTGGTCATTATGATTTGTGGTTAAAAAAATTTGTGATAAATTTCTTTCCCGGAGATGTTACGAAAACTAACGATTGTCAATAAGCAATGTCAGTTCTGAAAATTAGCTAACGTAATTCAACATGCGTTCCAACATGCTTTTCTGAGATATGATAGATCATTTGGCAAAGTACAGGAGTATACGCGGCTGTTTTGAACGAATGGAAGTAATAAGAAATAAACTGCACTTGGCAGAGTACTTGCATGTGTAAGGTATAACAGCCTATTAGTTTATGTCAGGATATCCGTAGACGAAAGTTTCTCATCGTGTTTGATATATTGCATCAAACACGAGAAAAGTGTGTTTCTAGGATTTACAAACATTGAGTAGCTTGAAATACAGCCATCTTCTCGAGTCGGGAGTTTGCGCTTCGAAATCCAGGCTAATTTAAAGTTTCTTTATCTGACTTTCAAGCTTTTGGAAATCTAATGAAACATGCTTTCGCACGCTTGGCAAACCTTTCGCAAACCATGTATCGTTAGTTTATGAAGACACTCAAACGAAAGTCGATCTTAGTTTAATTTGTAACTGTTACGATCAGCCTTTCAGTTGACTTTCACGGTAAGAGACTTCCTCCAGTTACCGTTCACGAGTGAAGCGAGCGAGGAGCGCCAGACACGCGCGACGGGAGAAGGCGCCTTTCCCGTCGCGCGTGTCTCACGCTTCACGCCCGCCTCGTGCTTCGTTAGCTAGAAAAATGCGGGAAAATAGGGCCTGTTCTGCTGGCTATGTCGCTGCAAGATCTGTAGTGTATGAGAACCAAGGTTAATATCCTCTTTTACTCATTCTTTTTTTATCAGAGTCGATTCAAGTAAAAAGCAGGTAACCGTCAAAGAAGATCTTAGCAGTGGTACGTCCCTTCCTATTCTACCGACATCATCGGCCGTGAATATTAGAAGCAGACAAGTTTTAAACACAGCAACGCTACTGTGTCTCCTTCTGTGGTGTTTAATAAGAGAACTTTTATAAGAGCAATTAAATGCATACGTTCTGGAGAAACGCAATTACATGTAAAGAGGGATACGTCGAGCCTGACAAAGTTCCTCCCAGGCCAACAAGAGAAAAATTGTTCTGAGTGAATCTCGCCATCAGAGACAAAGAAGTGCGTCCGAAAAGTTGTGTATAACACACTGATGTGGATAACACATGGAAATACAGAGAACAATAAAAAGACATGAAAAAACACCTAACCTTTTTCTAGTCCGGTAGACAATTTTCGCCTATGTGAAGAATACGTTCAACAATAGAGAACTACATGGTTTAGCTGGTAGACCATTCCATATTGCGTTTGACCAACCAGGACAATAGGGAACTTAAGCACCAGACGTTCTTGATTCACGAACAGCATGGCTGGCCTCGCAGAACTGGATCGAGGACGCAGTTTGCGCGACAAATAAAAATCATTAGGCAAAACAACGTGAAACCATCACGAACGCCGACGGAATAATTCAGTTGATAATGTCTTTCAAAGATTTGCGTTAAGTTTTGTTTCTCTCTTACGAGGAAAACATGATTTCAGACGAGGAATTTCTACTTTTGTATGACGAAAACTCTTCTAAGAACACAGAATTTGAACCTCTGGTTTCAACGTGAGAACTCGCGTGTTTACTGTCCGTGACCGCATTGACATGCGCAGTGGCTATCATGCTGCAAAAATACTTCCGGTTGGCGTCCGTGGTTCTAACAACGTCTGGTGCTTAAGTTCCCTAATGTTTTTTCGACACAGACTTAAGCAAACTTAGGCCGGGTTCAAACGTCGCATTTCACATGTAAATGAGGGAGAACAATGGATTTTCCTCAATAGCATTAATTTCGGCACATGTGAAATGTGACGTTTGATCTGGGCCTTAGCCAAATTACAAATCATTCATGTAAATGATATTTCAAACACGGGAAATGTTTGATCTGACATCCAGGCACCAAAACTGGTTCAAAAGACTCCAGTTTAAGATATTAAAGTAAGAGAATTTCGTCAAAGAGGATCATTTAAGATTATTTAACTCACTTTTTCTAATTCAAAATGTTTTTCAGACCTTAAGTTGGATGTGTGATGGAAACTACATAACAATACTATAAATATTTATTTACAAGGACTCAAAGGAGTCAAAGATTACTAAACAAATTGATTTTCCTGATAACAAACCATTTATACTAAATCAATTCTACGACAACACAGCTGGCATGTTGAGAGGAAAACATCTATGGAGACAAGTTTTACATCTATACATAAACGTATTTGCTTGAAAGAGTTCACCCCAATTTTCTTTTAGATTCCAAAAGTCCTTCAAAACCCCCCAAAACATCTTTTATAAAGGAAGGCACAATACTTTCTGACAGTGAAGAAGTACTCTTTTTCTACAACTAAGAGAGGAAGAACTATTATCACTCTACATTTCTAGTTTGATATAACTATTCTTGGAATAATCATATCTGGAGTTCAAGGGCTCGATTAGATGAAACGTACCGGTAGTGCCAGATTTAACTGCTAGGATCTGACTTTCAAATAAAGAGTTTGACTGGGTTGAACCTCAAATAAATGTTAGAAGTTATGTCTGATGCCAGGTACCTCCCAAAATGCCTTGTTCTTACTTAGTGGAGTAGCACTAGTTTGTACTCTAATGGGCAGCACTTCTTCAAGTAAATACAAGTACTGGTAATGAAAGTTGTTTTCCACAGCATTTGTACAGGGTGTATGTATTACTTAGTTCAACTAATGCAGAAGCAATGTCACAAAAGTAAAGTTGTTTGGTCAGACTTGAGATCATAGCAAGATATTTATACATACATTTTGTGAATAAAATTGTGATTACAACACAAGTGAATGTCGTATTCAAAAAGCTGTACACAGTATTGTACCCCCAGTCTTGTAAGAGGGTGCTGAATGGTTCAGTTTTGAAAACTGACATGACAACTCAAGTTCAGCAGAGTTCCTCTGGGGTTGAGGTGGTTTAAGGGAAATGGTTTGTGACCACCAGAAAGTTAGCCTGAGAAAACAGCCAACATTTGGTGCTGCCACCCGACTGGTTTCCCAGGAAAAGAACATCCTAGGAATAGAGTGATTTTCGTATGACCTTGAAATGAAAACGTGCGAATAAAACAGAAAGAACAAACAAACACAAATTGAGTGATTTGATCGGCTTATCAATCGGATACAAACGCACGTGGCTTTTGGTTGGTTAAGTGAATGCTCAGATGAAAAAACTTAATGTCCAAGAACTTTCTAGTATCAATCGATCCTTCACTTTGACATCATACTGCAACACGATTGGCTAATTGAACAATGCCTTCTTCATAATTATTAGGGTTTTCTTGAGCGGAAAAACGAAGAGTCCATGTTTTGATCTTTTCATCCATTGGCTGATAAAACAAATAATGAACTTTGGATATTTTGAGAAACCATTCCCTTTTTTTTCAAGGTCAAAAAATCTCTTTAACTGCAGAAATTCCATACTTTTGATGATGTTCAACCTACCTCATCAATGGGGAAGGGGGGGGCTATTAAATGGAATGGCCCAAACTTGGGGTCTCATCAAATTCACTGAAAATTAAAATAATAAACATTTCTTTGGATCTGTCTCTCTTTTACACGTAACATCCACATCCAACAACAGGCCAAAACTTTTGACTAGTAAATGCAATATTATCATTCAGTATCCATCTGCCAGGGCTGCATCCGTAAGCCTTCCTGACTTACATTTGCTTAATGAACTGCCGATTAGTGTCCAGGTCGCATGTATAATCTTGAAAATCAAACAGCTTCTTGTACATGCAGTGCTGTCAATTCTCCCGGATAATCCGGGAGACTCCAGATTTTGAACTGTATCTCCCAGTCTCCGCTTAGATTACAGTCTGAAATCTCCCGGATGATCGGCGAAGCTTGCCATTTCTTCCGTAGACTTGACATTCTGACAATGAAATTTCAACTACTTTGCATTGTTTGGGCTATATTATGTTAACATCGAACGTTTCCTCATAAACTTCACTGTAATACAATAATGCGATTGGTAGAAAGTAAACCAATCACATCAAATGTTACAGTGCCAACAACATCTTTTCCGCTCGTTTTTGTCATCGCAAATTCGTGACGATCGGAGTCAACAAGTATTATCTGCACTATCGATGTTCCATGCGTTATGACGTCATGTATGATCCCTTCCCTATCAATTCTCAAATATTTGAAGACATGCGAGGTTTTGACAGCCCTGTACATGGTGGTTTTGTTAATCATTCAGTCTTCCATCACTAAGTCATTGCAGTTTTAAAGATGCTCATTCAAGAGAATTTAGGCTTAAGTCCATGGCGTAACTTTTCTCTGATTGTCCATAAGAAAGTCGACTTTTCTTTTCATCTCAGAGTTGTACAATTTCAGTGAGCTTTCATACTTCAACCGCCGCCTCTTAACAGTGGGCTTTTCGTAATAACGTTTCAGTTGGATGTCTTTTATGACCTTTTCATCCGTAAGGACACGCTGCAACGCTCTAAGAGCCTGGCTTGCTCCCCCTTCTCCAACCATAACAGTGCGAGCAAGAAACCTGTTGTGCGCCATATTGGATTCAGCGAACGCGCAACGCGACTACGCATGTCATCATTGCGATCTTGCTTGCCACTCTTCAATGCAGGCGCAGCACTGTCGTGGCAAAATGGTGGTAAGGGAATTTTCATTTTGTTACAAATTTGTCAGCATTTTTGTCATTTTTTCTGTAAGGTGTTTTACTATTTAGTCGATGATTAGCGTACTTGTCTGTCTTCAGGATCATTTCTGATAATCTTAGCTGCATTATAATCGTTGTCTAGTCAAAAATAGCTAATCACAGCTCTTTGTTTACATTTTGTCATCACTGATCTACAGCGTATAGCCTTACAATTTAAGGCGAATCTTGAAAACCTCACCAATGTAAGGCCAGACGAGGAGGATTTCCGTTGGTACTTAAAGGTAGGGCATCATAATTTGCCTAAAAAGATTCACAAACAGTCTAATATTTTGTTTTCGAATTAACAAATCAGTCTTGTCAAAAGCTTAAAAGGTAAGGTAATACACTTGTAAAAAAAGTCGATCTTCTTCGATCTTCTTTAATAAATTTGTTGAGCGAACACTTTTTAGAAAGTTCCCATGGCCCCAATTCTTACCTCTGTGGTAAATGGTTCTGGAGCCACAAATAAGCTCTCAGAAATCTCTATTTCAGTGGCCTCTCGATGAAAAAAACACCTGTTTTTTTTTTATTGCTCAGGGATATTGTATGGTTCGTTCATCTATTGTTACGTTTTCCAATATATAGAATAACTCATTCGGAGAGCTTTATGGTGCCCCAAATGGTAAATGTCAATTTTATCCCCCCTCCCCCCGCCCCCACCCCCACCGGATGAGTAGATTCCTGCCACCTCACTTTTTTGTCAGAGCCGTTTGAAAAAACCTTTCTTTCCCCCTCTCTTTGAAAATGGATTCCTTAATGGTTCATCTGCTGTGGACACTCATCCATAGGGGAGGCGGGGAGGGATAAGAATAAAAATGGTACGTCCTTTCCACAGGTACTTCACTGGAATAATCATAGACAACAAATCCAACTGGCAGGAGGCATACTTGTTGGAGGAGTTAAACCTGGCAGGGGGTGGGGGGGAAGTTGATTTTTGCTGGGTATGTGCCGCTGGCCTCTCAGAACCTGTACCCATTATACTGGTGGTCTATTCTGTGACCAAAAATAGACCCAACCTTAGTTACGTTTGGCAAAATGTAATTTTCACGATCCAGCTGTAAAATATACAAGGGATGGTACAGATCATTACAACTCCTGCCCCCCAGTTGTGTCCGCTAGAGGCTAAGAATGGCATTACATGACAGGTCATTAAGTGTACCAAATTTTTATGTTTCCTTTTTTTTCTATTCTCAAAGTTAATTGTTGTACTTTTTCCTTAGCTGCAATGTCAAAATTGTGGGGAAAATACCAAGGATTGGGTTTATATGTGTCTTGCAGTAAGTTAATTAACACCATGTAAAAGTAGTGCTGAAGAGGTTTCAGGTGAATTGTAACAATCTTTGATAGTATTAAATCCATAGAGTAAAAAGTTAGAACTGCCTTATACATCATGACAAACACTAGCACAGGAATGTACTGCTCGGTAGATTTTATTTTAATGGTCATTCACAAATTAGGGTTTCATGCACAGACTCAAGAGTTAGAGCCACCTAGTACAGTATAAGAAACGGCATCACAGGAAAGAACTGCTCAGTGGCTTTCATTCGAATGGTCACACTTCAGGATTTCTTCTACACACTCAAAAGTTAGAACCACCTTGTACAGCATCATATACAGTACAACAGGAAAGAACTGCTCAGTAGATTTTAGTTGAATGCATGGTCATGTCACAGGATTTCACTCGCAGACTTAAGTCAGTACTGTGTTGCATGTTTTTAATTTGCAGCTTTAATAATTATGATTGTACTCCTGGAATCCAACAAGTCCTTTTGTGATAAAACATACTGAATAAGCTGTATTGTTAATAGGAAGCTCAAGCAATAAAAGGAAGCAGAGGAAGTGCAAATTTTGTTTCAAAGTGTAAATTATGTGGAAGAGAGAACTCTATGGGTGAGAAAATGTAGCCAATGAATGACTAATATATATCCCCAGAGTACTTTACTTTGTTAATCAGTAGCAGAGAAAGAGAGAATACATTAATTTTAATTCAAAGTTTCATTGGTGCTCCAAAATTGGATGGATTGCTAATTACGGGAGATGTTGTATGATTAATGCCAACTCAATTTGATGTGATATCAAGTTAAATTTTTTTGCTGCCATTTAAGGGTTCATAAAATTAGCTTTTCTCCTAACTATAACGGAATTAATTCTACGATATAATTATATATTTTTTCTTTTGTTTTGTTTTTTTTTAATCAACAGATATTATCAAAGACAGCATAAAGGAGTATATGGTAATTTTAAGACTTGGCTATAATTTTCTCTTTTGTTTCTTTAATGAACCGATATAATCAAAGATAGCGTGAAGGAGTATACAATACTTTTAAGATCTGGCTGTCTTGTAGACACTTTCAATTTGTTTTAACATCATGGCATGTTCATTACAGGCTGAAGATAGCAACAGGTTTAAGACAATGGTGGCATTTGATTGCAGAGGTGTAGAACCCGTTGACTTTTCACCACGGGTGAGTCATTTATGCATGACATTTGTGATGAGGCACAGACTTGGCAAGTGTCACAACTTTGTCGTGAGTCTCACAATTTCATGACCAATCTCACACTCTCACAAGTTGACAACTGATTTCCCATGTGTTACCCACTTCTCACTTCTTTTCCCAGCTCCAGGTTCAGAATCTCTAATTTTTTGCCTTTTGGGGGTTAGCAAGTCTGAGATTGTTTCTGAAATTTTGCTCACCAGTTGTCTAATTACTGTTGTTTGTCCTCAGGGTGGATTTGTGGCTGAAGGTGTTGACACTGGAACTAAGTTCACAGATGTCAATTTAACAGAAAAGGTACATAATTTTAACCAAAGCTGACAGGCAAGTTAACTCTTGATTTAACACAAGCTTACATGAACTCTGAGGACTGTGATTCACAAGAACACTTAACTTATGGAGAAGAAAAATATCAAAGAAAAAATTATAGAAAAAAAAAAAACATTTCAGAAAGGTACCAGAATTGCCTTTTGTGGGCATGGCAAGGGATTCCAATAATAATTATTTTTACACAACAAATTAACTGGCTTTGACAAGTTTCAGTTATGACTAGGGTTAGATGCAATATGCTGGCATAATTTTGGACGTAACGCTTCAGTTGGAGCATGAAGTGTAATGCAGGCATAATGGAAATTTTCATCGCCGAGTGGTCAGAGCTTCAGTTTAACAATCTGGCATTCCCGGGTTCGAGTGCTGCTCTGACCAGTATCTGGATTTGTTTCCTGTTCATTCCAAATTCAAATCCTTGGCCACACTTTTAAATAGCCAACTGATTGCCTCCTGCCAGTTGTGCTTTTTTGGATTCGTAGTTTGTAAAAATTATTTCAGTGGAGTACCTATAAACCAGTTGAAAAACTAAGTGCACTTCCACTGTAAGTAAATCTTAAATTTTACTTTACTGTTTCCTTCATCTTATTGATAATAGATAGATAATAAACTTAGATCAAAATACACCCCCAAACAACTTTCCAATGCTTACTAGTCAAATAAATAATAGGCAAACCAGGGCTCAAAATTGTGACTGATATGGTTGCCAATGTGACTAACATTTTTATCCTTCACAACTAAAAATTCTGGTTAGTCACCACTTTGGCAACCAGATTTCCCTATGATTTACATTTAAATGAAAAGAGTAAAGGTGAAACTAACATTTTTTCTTATTTTGCTTTGCTCTCGCCATAAAAAATGTGCCAAATCACATAAACAAAGCCAGTTTACCTCCAAATTTGTACCGACTTCTGTCTGCGATATTTTCAAACAATCACATTTGACGGATCGTGCCAAACTATGAGCTGCGTCATTTACATTGTACAAATTGGCGACTATATTTCTCCAGTTGGTCACCAAAAGGCAACCTGAGTATCTTTTTAATTTCGAGCCCTGCAAACCAAATTATCATTGTGTTATCCTCAAGATACATCTCTACCCAGTGGTTAGCATTATCTAACAACTGAGGCCAAGACTACAACGAAAGACACTTAACAGTCTTCACTTTTCCTCTTAGGACTGGTCTGACTATGACGAGAAAGCAGCAGAAGCAGTTGGAATTTATGAAGTTACTCATCAGTTTCTTAAGTTACACTGATTGGACTGTTGTAAGGGAATGATGACCCCTCTACTACATGATCGGTGGTCATAGCCTACTACTTGGAAGCATTTAGATTATATCAGTTGAAAGAAGAGACTTCTATTTGCAACATTCCTAGTACTCTGTAAGATGAAATGTGGTGTGACTAAATTTTAAAGTTGTGTTTTAAATAACAGACAACACAGATGTGTTCAAAACATGTCTTAACAACGTTATTAATACAAGTCTTTTGATGTGCTTGTTTACAAAGGTTATAAACCTTTGCTTCCCAAAAAAGCAAACAAAGTAAAACAAAACAACACAAAAAAAAAAAGGTGAGAGAACTGAAGGAAGTTAAGGGAGAATTGATTGCATGGATGGCAAATTTTATTTTAAAGTACATGTACTGGTAACTGATGGTTCTTTAGTTCAATTTATATAAATTGTTCACTGAGAAACAATTCATAGGCAGACTATTGCCAATGGAAAGCCCAATAAAGATACTAATACCAATATCATGTTGATGTTAATGGTCTTCAACAATACTATTATATTCTTCACCAATACAGAAAAAGCATTGCATTAAATGGGTCGCGACCCGTTGCCAACAATAGTTGGGTGTGGGGCATGTGCCTGGAAAAACTGAGGAGGCTGCAAGCACACACTGAGGTAACCACAACAACCCTTTGGGTGGCAACCATCAGGCACAATCACACTGAGGACCTCAGTGGAGAGTTTCGTAGTTGCTTATCAAGACGCATCCAGAGGGAGGGAAGGAGGGCTGGGAGCAGATCAGTTAAAATGACTGCACCTGAAAAGCACTGTGAACAAACTGATGTCATTAAAAGAGCTGTTAAGTTACCGAGGCTCTGCAAATACCTCAAGACTGCCCAACATAATTATAATAATTCAGCCTCCTCAGGCGCTTTGTTTTTTGCATGGCAGAGGCGAGCGCAAAACGAGTGACTGGTGATGAACTGCAAGGAACCATGGGAAGGGTCTCCCAGAGACGTCTGGGTACGAGGCAGATAATAATCAGAGATAGGGACTGCTGACCAGCACTGTCTTATGTTTAATAATTAGCATGCTGTTCAAAAGTCAAGAAGCTGAACCTTTGCCTCAAGCAATCAAGTAAAACCTATTTCTTCTAAATGTATTTTATTAAATATCAGTTGTGTCTAAATGTAACATTCTTGACATTTGGAAGCTACGCTCTACACTAATTTTGTTTCCTTGTTTTAATACAGATTTTTTTCAGCAACTTAACCCTGATGTAGCATGTTTAAAAGAAAAGCAAACATGTAAACATGTTCACAGAGTTTTGCACAGAGGCTACTTCCAAGCTTCAAAAGATTAATTGAAAATAAAACTGAATAATATGCAGGATTTGTTCTAACTGTACAGGTCATCATCCTCATCATCATATAAGTTAGAATTATCAGCACCAGATCCGCCCTGTCCTCCTTCAGTTCCAGTGCCTCCACTCTGGCTTGGGAACCTAACAAAATGCATAGTTTCATACCATTAGGCCATCTGCACAATACCATCATTTTACTACAGTTGCATACTATGACCAGAATCCTTCAGGGTTTTTCTTTCTTGTGCAAATTAGGGCTTTTGTTTTTGAGACCTCACTGGGATTACCACATTAAAAATATGACAGGAAAAATGATTCTGATTGTACTGATCTTAAAAGAATCAACTTACCTGAAGTTTCCACCAAATCCTCGGCTCTGCTGAAGGGTCTGTGCAAACATCTCATATTTGCGGATGTCATTATCACTAACAGACCTGCGAGCAAATTTCATGGCTTCTTCGAAATGATCTCGTCTAATCTCTGGAACAGGATCTTCATCTTCCACTTCCTATATTGTTACAGTTCCTTTTGTTAGCGTCATAGATGAACACATGTCGAACACAGGTAATAATAATAAGAAATGGCAGGTTTTCACCTAGACCTGACAACAATTCAAGCTAAGGCGAGGAAAGGGAAGCCTGAAGGGAAGAGTAGACTGCAAAACAGTCAGTTTTTTCTCAAAATCAGTAAAGAAATCGGTAAAGCGTGCCGTAAGAGTCTCGCTCTCTGTTTTCAGCCTAGTTCCAGACCTTTTGTTTGACTACTCGCGCGTACTTGAATACGAAAAAATACGGACTGTTTTGCAGTCTAAGGGAAGAGTGATGTGTGAGATGAAGAAGGACAGGTTCTAGGGTTACCTTGACAATGAAGGACTTAAAAAAGTGTTGCTTTTAACCTTAAGATGGCTCTGTATGATTAAATAGATCTTTCCTGCATTTCTGTAAACAAAGGCACCAACTCGAGGCTCAAGTGGACACAATACAGTGATTTGTGTGAAATCGTCCACCTGAGCCTTGTCCTCATTTCTTTAAGTTTGCTCACTGGAGCGTAATGCGGGACAGGTTTACTCAATAGTCCCTACTTTACAATATCATACTGTATCATTTTGATAGACATAAGCATGCATGATTCATGAACCAAGAACTTTTAAATTCTGAGCCCAACATGATTATTTTCAGGAAAAAAAATACAATGCAAAGCAAACATTTAGTCATAAAAATGTCAAGACAATGTTATGTAAACATGTGTGTCTTCCAGATCACAAGAAAAATAAGCATGCATGATTCATGAACCAAGAACTTTTAAATTCTGAGCCCAACATGATTATTTTCAGGAAAAAAATGCAATGCAAAGCAAATTTAGTCATAACAATGTCCCGACAATGTTATGTAAACATGTGTGTCTTCCAGATGACAGGAAAAATAAATGTTTAGTAAAAGCTCTTACCATATCCAAATCTGGATTATCCTCTTTCTCTCTCTCTTTTCGAATTTCTGTCTCAATTGCTTCTCTGATAGCCAGTTTACATGCCTACAAGTCAGATGACATAAAAGTTTTCTGATACTGTGATACACCACCAACACTATCTAAAACATACTTAGGCAAATTTATATTACAGCATTTATATTAAATATGAAACACGTTCTATTGAAGAGGGGTTCAGTGATCTTCAGTGATAGATAGAAGCAAGTAATTGATTAAAAGGAATAGCCCAAAAAATGTACAATAAAAACTGAAAAATTACCCGTTGGCAGATTTCAGTTAAATCGGCACCACTGAAGCCTTGAGTAACCTTGGCCATGTAGCCCAATTCTACATCCTGTTGAATAAAACTTGCATTAAACTTTGCAAACATAATTTTCAATTTTAACATTAACAGCGTAATTAGAGTCACAACTTAAACGAGCGGCCAGTCAAAGAGTGCCACCAGAAAAAATTGTCATGAAATTGCTATAACCAGAACTTTTATTCCCCAAATGTAGTTTACTACAACTTTTTTTCTAAAATAACAGCATGCACGAAGTGTGTGCCAGCTACGATAGCTATGCAAGATTGCTAACACATACAAAACCCATGCAAGCCAAACAAGGACAACCCTAAGATCAAACAGCATGAAGCCCCATTCCCCACCTCCAGAAAAGATCTCCCTACATTGTGGGGTTTATGTATTTGGCCAGTTTTCACTTTCTGATGAAGTAACTGCCACCTCGTAGAACAATAACAGAAAATATTGAAAAGGGAAGTATTTGTAGAACAAACCTTTGCAATTGGCGATTTCCTTAAGCACGCCTTGAGAATGGAGACACGTGACTGGAGCAGATCAGAAGAAAGGTCATTAGTGAAATGAGATACATTACTTGGTCACCACTGAATTACAAGCAGCTTTTTCTGTGCTCATAAAACAAACAAACACATCATCTACAAACCTCTCCAGTGCTCTAGATGTACATGTCATGATGTTTTGTGTTGTGGTTACTCTAATCATACATTAACTTATATTATAATAAGTACACAAAATATTTAAAGAAAACTGTACCAACAATAAAACACAATCACAACACATCTTTCCTAACCTTGTCACTGACAATCTTACGCTAGTATATGGGTTTAATTTTGCCTGTAACAGGCTCATGCAGACAGAACTGACATAATCAATTTATTATAATATGCATCAATAATTGACTCACTGGTTCATCAGGAAGAGGAATGTAAATCAGTTGATCCAAACGACCAGGTCGCATGATGGCTGGATCAATAATGTCTGGCCTGCATAAAAACAACATACACTGTTAAAAAGAGTCACGTGTCATAATGATCTCTGCCCTAAAATGGTAAAACAAAGCTTGAGGAGGGGAAGTCCTTTCGTGTCCATGTACTCCCCAGCATCTATGGTGATCTCCCCACCCTATGAGGGTTGTCCAATATGAGACACTATGAATTTGTGAGAGCGCCCTGTTAAAAGGTATGACTTGTACAAGCCATGTAACTGGTGAAGTCACATTTGATTAGCGACACTTAGAATCTGGGAGGAAAGTTCTAGAGAAGGGGCCCTGTTAAGTGGTGCAACTCGTACGAGTCATGGAATTGAAGAAATAGCATCTCATTAGTGACACTTAGAATTTGTGAGCAAAGTTCTTGAGGGGGCCGTGTCAATCAGTATGACTCCTGGTGAAATCACATGTCATTAGCAACACTTAGAATTTGTGAGCAAAGTTGTAGTGGGGCCCTGTCAAGTGGTACAACTCAAGTGGAACGACTCGTACAATTCATGCAGTTAGTGAGGTCACATCCCACCTGTACGATGCCTATAGAACAAGGTCAACAAGAAATATTCATGGTGTGTGCGTTCTTGCTCACACACTAACTAGACTCTTTGTGATTCAGCCATTTTGTAGTTTCATGCATAGAATGTTTTTCGTTTAGGATGCTTTTAGAATGGTCGTACGAGTCGCACCACTTGACAGCACTCACTCTCTGCACTTGTCTAATGATATGCAGCCAAGTAATGTACCTTCACTTTGTTTCACTCAAATGTATAACATTCACCACTTGAGTCAATCACACAACGTAACCCTTTAAGCCCCAATATCCACATACAAATTCTCCAAACTGATCTTCATACATTTCCTTTAAGAATTAGTTGAGAGAATTTAATAAAACATCAAGGCATTTTCTCTTTCGTGATCATTTTTATATTCTCACAACCTTATCTTTTGGCAATGTATGGACATTGTTAGGAGAAAATTGCTGTTGGTCACTATTGGGACTTAAAGGGTTAATGACTCGTGCCACTTGAGTAGGCAAGAAATGATGAACAAACCTATTTGTAGCTCCAATGATAAAAACATTTTTCTTGACATTCATGCCGTCCATTTCAGTGAGCACCTGGTTGATAACACGATCGGCAGCTCCACCTAAATATTCAAGACAAATTTAACAATGTTATTTATTTGGAACATGTTGGAAAATTGACTTTTGCATTTTACAAAATATTGTGAAAAAGAACGAACCTCCATCTCCCACATTTCCTCCTCTGGCCTTGGCAATGGAGTCTAACTCATCAAAGAACAACACACAAGGGGCAGCACTTCGAGCCTGACAAAATTACAAACACAGAGAATTTCGCTCAACTTGTAATATAAATTATTCAAAGTATTAATGATGATAATATTAGTGTTTTGATTTAAAGAGTGTTCAAAGGAAAAAATAACAAACACTTAAACTGCTACTGATAAAATTATGTACATTTGTATATGCAAATCCAGTCATTGGGAAGTAAAAGCAGCATTTATCTTTCCACAAAAAAAACAGACTTGCAACTTGATTTTCCAAAGCTGTGAACCTGCACTCAACATATTTATAACTGGCAGGGGATTGTGCTTTGGGAAAGTAAGTTAATTACAATGTATAGTGGAACCCCACCTTAGGACACTCTGTGTTAGTGTATATGACTACCTTGTCATTACAATCAAATTCTTTTCACCTGAACCAGGGTGCAAACAAAGTCAGTTTTACAGCCTGCCATTCGGGCAAGCTGTAGCTAGCATGTACTAGCCCACAAGTCATTTCAACTAGCCCCAAAACCCTTTCTGACTAGCAGGGTTGATTACAATCATTCTGTAATTTGAATTTCCCCCCAAAATTCACTTGCCCATTGGGCAAGTTAAAAACAGAATTCACTAGCCCAAAAGCAAAATCCACTAGCCCCGGGCTATCGGACACGACTTTCTTCGCACGCTGCCTGAGGGTAAAAATCATTGAGTCATTTCATTATTTTGAAGACCCCGTTGATGTGACCAGGACTTTATGGTCCAATGGTGGTCGCATTAATGGGGTTTCACTGTAATATTTAACATGCTGGTAGTGAAAGTTACTAGACAACTTTAGATTCTAAGATATTTACACTGACATAATGATGATTTTTCTTGTACTGATTTTGGGCACACTTGGAGTTGAAGGATAAATAAATTAACACGCTGGTCTTTACTGTGCCTGTAAAGGAGATGTATTTTGCAGCGCGAACAAAGCCACTTTTTGTGGGACTAATGCTCTCCCACCATCTTCAACCTTGGGCATAACAGAGAACTGAGGCAGGTTAAAAACTGATTTCAAGGGAGAGATTGTTGGGTTTAAAATAGAGTAGGAAGGGGGGGAAAAGACTCTCTTCCCTGCCCCTACCCCTAACCTGTCCATCCTTGCTAAAGTTTTTTTTGCTCTCAAGATGATGGCCACGATCAATGTGCCTCTGAGCATTTAACAAAACACCTGCTCAGCAGGACATTACAGATAAAACCTCACCTTGTCAAACACATCACGAACATTTGCCTCTGACTCTCCAAACCACATGGTCAGCAGTTCAGGTCCTTTAATAGAAATAAAGTTGGCCTGACACTCATTTGCAATGGCTTTAGCCAAGAGTGTTTTACCGCAACCTGGAGGTCCATAAAACAGCACACCCTTGGATGGCATCATTCCAAACTTGAGGAACTTGTCTGGATGTTCTACAGGGTACTGCACCAGTTCTTGCAGTTCACGCTTGACATTTTCCAAGCCACCAATGTCGTCCCACGTTGTGGTCGGTACCTCTACCACGGTCTCACGCAGGGCTGACGGGTTGGACACGCCCATGGCATACTGTCAGGACAGAATGTATAGGATGTTTAGTGTCTGGCTAAACAAACAACATTGCAACCAGTCTTTCACCCTGGGAACCGAGCCTCTTTTTGTCTTCTTGAGTGAGGTGGAGAAAAGGAGTTTCTGCCTGAATCGACTCAAGCCTTTAAGGTTGCTCCAGCTGGCAGCCCAAACTTCTGGTCAATCTTGTTTTCAAACTGTTTTAGTCCCCAGGGTGGGTACTCCAGATTTCAAGAGACAGGAATAATCGAATAGGGGCAAAAATCAAAACCAAAATAAATCCCTAGGGCTTCAAACAAAACCCAAAAAAATTCCTGGGCCAAAATTTAACCCTCAAAAAATCCCATGCCGAATTTCCGTGCCATAAAAATTTCCAGAGGAACTATGCGGCTGGGATACGCAGGAACTATCATGAATCTTGATGTAAACAGCTCTTGCCTGTAGTTTGAGGACGCCTAACCTCTCATAAGCTCCTATAGTTTTTTATTACGTCTCCTTGTCACCTCTTTTTTCCACTTTTCCTATCTTATCTGTAATTAATATTCTCTTACTGTGTGGCATATAAAATAAAATAAATAAATAACTCCATGATCTTTTGTCAAATTTCCTCAACCAAATCTTTAAGTAATTGTATGGAAATCAGTTTGGAGAATTTGAATCTAGATATTTGGGCTAAAAGGGTTGAGTTGCACCTGACTATGTTTCTTAATAATTGTTTGATTCCTTGTCTGCAAATTAAGAGTCAATGGAAAGAAACAACACCAATGCACTGTTGTTTCCATTATGGGACAGATTTACAAGTTGGTTTTCCAAAGCGGTGAACCTGCTCAAACATAATTTAAAATTGGCAGGAGACTGTGCTTTGGGAAAGGTATTTTGCAATAATTGCAAACAAAGACAAGAGAGACATTGCTAATGCCACATGTGTGTAACAGAATTTAAAATGTACTTACCCTAAAGTCATCCATAGACACTGCTAATGAGTCCAAGACCTCCGCATCGATTTGCTCATCTTCCAAGTCAATTAAATCCATTTTTTCCCGAATCTGGAGAAAAACAATTTCATTAGAGATTTACTGCAAGGGTGCACAAACAAATCAAAAATCGACTCAGGTTCTGCAGCATGATCGAACAATATGAAACACCTGGGTTTGCCTGATTGTCATGGAGAAGCCGAAAAGGGCCATCCAAACTGCTTCACGTACACAAGCTTCACCTTCAAAATCAGCTGACTCAAAATAACTTACAACACTGTACTCTAATTATATTGTAAGGAGTTGAAAGGCACTGAATCTACATGTATGAAATCAAGGCTGGAGCCCAAACCTGGCTTGTTAGTACATGTAGTTTCCAATGTTAAACAATGAGTCACTATAGAGTAATTAATATAACTAATTTAACATTAATTTTAATGTTAATAAAGCCACAGATTTCAATGGGGTAGAAACTATACCTGTTGAAGAGCAGCTTCTGAACAGAGGGAGGCAACATCGGAACCAACATAACCGTGGGTTTCAGCTGCAATCTATGAAAAAAAAATCACAACAAGCAAATTCATCAGAGCACCACCACAACAAAATGCCGTTATTTCATGTTTACCCATTCAACTCTGGGGAAAATTGACTCCTGTGTTTCAAGTCTATGTTACACCTCAACGAAATCACCAAACATTGAACAATTTGCAATTTTTCATCAGAATCATATGTTCACTCATTCTATGGGCATAACACCAAGTACAATTACAAGACCTCCAGGGAATAAAGAGAAATGACAGTGTATTTCATTGTACAATAAAGTAAAAAAAAATAGTTTTATGATGATGATGATGATGATGATGATGATGATGATGATGATGATTGACAGCCCCATAGCATAGTCTTTGAAGCAGAAATTAACTGGTAACTTGTTTTGGACTAATAAGATATTAATTTGTAATATATTATGGTACATACCTGTTCAAGTTCAACATCATCAGCTAATTTCATGTTCTTTGTGTGGATTCGCAAGATTTCCAGACGACCAGTTGCATCAGGTATACCAATATCTACCTCCCTGTCAAACCGACCTGAAGCAGAAATACAGCTTACATTACAACAACAACAACAAGAATCTTTATTGTGCTCTTGATACAAAAGGAGTAAAATAATTTAAAGGAATTAATTGCGAAAAAAAAGAGAGCGAGCACAGCCACTCAGAAATAGAAAAAGCTAACAGTGCTGGGCAGACCAGTCCAGGAGCAATAGCATTTGAGGAGTAGCCTGAGGAAACAGTAGACATACGGTCAGGATTTTGAGAAAGAGGAGGCACACCACCTCTAAGAATTACCAGGAGAAGTCATCATCACAGTCAAAGACTCATTTATTGTGATGAGAGATAACTTACCAAATCTACGGAGAGCTGGATCTACACTGTTGGGTCTGTTAGTGGCTGCCATTACAATGACATGAGATCTCTGCTTTAGGCCATCCATCAACGTCAAGAGTTGGGAGACAATTCTCCTTTCCACCTCGCCGTGTGTCTGTCACAGGAATACAGTGGGATTGTACAGGGATTATTTAACTGAATACATGCAGTAAACATACATGTAAGTAACAATATTGAGTACAGATATCTCTTAAAAAGTTTTTACAAAGTTTTTTTAGATTACACTTTTTTATTTGATTTGTGTTACAATGTCCATGGACTGTGGTTATTACAGTCAATAGTTTAATGGCAAGTTGATGTACATTAGTATTAATCACCTTATCTCTCTTTGGTGCGATCGCATCAATCTCATCAATGAAAATAATGGCAGGTGAGTTTTTCTCTGCCTCTTCAAAAGCTGTTAAGATTAGAAAGAGAAAGCATTTGAATTGTTAAGAATCATTTAAAATAATTTATTCATAAAAAGGCAAGCCCATGAAATTGGACATACAACACAAGTTTTTTGAGTACAGTACCTTTCCTAAGATTACTTTCTGATTCACCAGCAAGTTTACTCATGATTTCTGGACCTAAAGGAAAAATTAAAAATAGAACAAGTACCGGTAAGTTTAAAATCTGACCAGCTGACCTAAATATTGAAAACTAGTCTGGTTCTAATATTCCAGCAAACAAAAATCTCACCATTAATTAAAAAGAAAAATGCTCCTGTCTCATTGGCAACAGCCCTGCAAAAAATTAATGCATTTAATTAAGCATAGTTGTCAAATTAATTAACAAACGTTAATCATTGAACAAGGTTACTGCAAGAGCACTTCTTTCTTGCAACAACAAAGACAAATGTTTCATTTGCAGCTACACAATTTGTAAGAGCACATGTTGACATGCAAGTATTACAAATCTAATGAGAACAATGATATTAAATACTTTTCACTCATGTTACATGCACTGACTACTAGCAGTAAAAATGGAGACCTACCTTGCCATGAGTGTTTTTCCAGTTCCAGGGGGGCCATACAGAAGAATACCACGAGGAGGCTATAACAGTCAAGACAAAATCAAAGGTCAAGCATCCGTGAAATACTTGTGTGATTAAGTACTAAGTGCTAATTTTTTGGAAATACTTTGCTTCAAAAAGGCTACAATTGGACACAAAGCTGGCTATTCTGTATTCGTTTTAGTTCTGCAGTAATATTATTTTGGGATCAAACAACTTTTAATAATAAGTTGCAAATACAAGGAATGGAAGAACACAAAAATATAAGGGATATTGTTTTTGGACAATTAGGGAGACCTCATGTTGTTGTTCAAAATTTATACTAAAATGTACTTGCTTTTTTCATTTACTTCTGATCACCCTACCTTCACTCCAATAGCCCTGAACAACTGGGGATGTCTGAGTGGTAGTTCCACCATCTGAAGGAGACCAATTCAAAACACAGTTTGAATAACATAGGACCCACTAATATCACAAAGAGGCTATGGTTAAGAGCCTCAGGGATGTCACTGAGATTTTAACTTGCCGGGTGCATGCAATTGGTTGGCAAGGAACTGAACAGCCAGGGCTGTCAATAGGGGTCGGTAGCCGGCTAAAACCACCAGCTAGTTAGCCATCCTTAGCTGGCTCCCCCTCTACCCTAACTGCTAACAAAAAATAAGCACCATCGAATAAAATTGTAAAACATCCGATTCCCAGTTTTGAATGACATTGAACGCATATTTAAATAGGCTTAGATTTGTGAAAAGTTCAAACCATGCGATGTTGTGGATCAATGGCATTGTTCCCAGTGTATTCTCATGAAACAACATGGCGTCCATGGTGGAAAATACCTCTTGGAAACCCCTAGAAATGCCATTTCTGAGACTCTAAAATTCCAAAATGTCCCTAGATGCCTCGACCCTTAAGAACTTGTGCCTTTGGTGCGAGTTCCAAAACTGCCTACTATTCATTATCAGCCTGCTAATCAAAAACTTTTTGACAGCCCTGAACAGCTAGGAAGTTCTTTTGATTCTATTTTGATGATCATGCTTGTAGAGCCACTAGGTGAAATCCCTGACAAGTTTCCACTATATATGTACGTGTATGTGAGAAACAAGAGGAGATAACGTCAAAACAAGAAAATTACTGAAATGAAGGCCATGGAAATTGAGATTTAGTGTGATACATCTGCTACTAGGGGAAATAAAAAATTTCAGATCTAATTGAGAGAACTGTAGCTAGGACAGGTGACTGTCTGCACTTGCCTCCTTAATTTGAGCCAACTGTTTTCTGCAGCCTCCAATGTCATCATAACCAACTTCATTCAATGACTCCTCTTCCTCCTAAAGCCCAATATAATCTATCATTCATTAACACATCTAAACAAAACAAACCCTAAACTTAAATTACCAATTGTGCCTGGCAACTTACTTTCGCCTTTGAGTAAAAAGAAAAGGTTAAGCTGTGGACAAACTTATATAGAACGTGCCCTGGATTTCAAAGGTCAGGGATGTCACTAAGATTTCAAGTTGCCCGGTAAATGCAACAAGTAGGCACGAAATAAAACCGCTAGGGATTACAATTCTTTTAGTGCTATGTTTCCTCTATTTTCCTATGGAAGTCGCGGGGGCCACATTAATAGTAGCCTGGGGAAATCCATGGCCCCTACCTCTTAATTACAGCCCCAGAACTTTTTAAACATAGCATACATTGTATTATGTGATCTGAATTGTGTAGAAGCAGTAAAACATGATTAATAAGGTGGATGGGTGTTGTTACGGGGAAGAAATCAGAGGACCAATTTTCGTTGATAAACTTTGCTGTGTACAAATTCCTGCACAGGGAAAGCAATGAGAACTGTGTGTGATAACATATCAAACACAGGAATTTGACCATGCAACGTTACTGCAGAACAATTTGTGACAAAAGACATGGTGTCATTTAGTTTTGAAGCAGGCATAGCATCAACGTGTTTGCCTATAACATTTTAATGCCTGTGTATGATCTCTACTTTGGTTAACTGGCATAATAACCCATAACATCAAGGGAGTTCACCTGCAGCAGGCATTACAGCTTGAACTAACAGCACTGGCTCAAAGAGCCTCCCATGCAGTTGTTCTAGCTCTTAGGAATGTGTGACGAAGCCCTAAAGCATTTTTGTGGGAGGCTATATGGCTCAAATTACTGTTACTTATTATTTTGCCATTCAGAAGAAAGCTGAGACTGACCTCTCTTTTGACTGGTTCTCCTTCACAGTGAATCACAGTATCAGGTGCAACTATACAGTACGGTGTTGGATCAGTCTCGATAACCTTGAACTCAACAGCTCTCATACCACCACGCACAAGAAACAGATCACCTGAAACAATCATTGCAAAATGATCCGTTATTTATAACACAGTTAACTTACCGGTATGTGGGTAGACACGGTTGTAACACATACATGTATTGTAAGTGGTTAGCTAGTCACATCTGAATTTCTCTCAGCCAAGTCTGTACATTATTTATCATGCAAAAAAAGCAGCTTTGAAAAAGTTATTTTTTCATATTAATTTTACTAAAGAGCACAGAAAGGGACACATGATTTAACACCCTGAGTGATTCTTCATCTAATGTCAATGTCTCTTTTTTTATATTCCACAGGAAGAAAGAATACTTACCTTTCCTGATTGGTCTGTAGGCCTCCAAGAAATAAGGCTTTAAATAGACATCAAACAAATTGCTGTGGAGATAACATTTTGACATCAGCCATGAAAATCCTATCTTTGATCTTATTATCTCATTGCGTTCGACGTTAGGAGAACGCGTCGTAATCTTTGGGGATCCTGTGGTCGATGGGATACCTGTGCATGCCAGGCGTGAAGATTCGAGATTTTTGGTTACTTGGACGGGCGATGTTCAAAATCTGCGCCATTTTGAATAATTATTAAGCGCGCGCACGAATTTTAAGCCCAATAGCCGGCCAAAGAAATTGCGGGCTCACCTGGTGGACATGCGCACACAACTATTTTTTACGTCATAAGCAATTGTCATATGGCAATCACGTGCATCACTGGTTCCATCAAGGTCAACTAGATGATTACACGGGGAATATTTGAGTTCGGCAAAAGAATGAACTTTGGAGTTGTTTTCTAAGCGGGTTTTATCACTGAGCTGATGATTCTGCTAAACTTTTCGGTCAATGCCGTTCAAATCGAGCTGGAACTTCGTGAGAAACACACAAATAAAGACCAGGTAACATTTGTGCCGTGAGAAGTTTACCCGTGCGTTTGAGTCTATTTACATATTTGTAGTTTAACCTCTTTCATGCACGAAAAAGTAAGCTTGAGCGTATCAGTGCAGTTTGTTACAACTGTAATGCTTTATTCACGTCTGATATCTCTACGCGGGTAATTTTGCATGATAAGTATCTCGCTCGCTGAAGCAAGCTAAGTTTAAAACATGTTGAACTGACCTACATGAACGTAAAATAATCATGAGATGAAAAGTTTGCACAATGGCAAAAGATTCTGTCCGGTTCTCTGACATCAGTAATCTAGCAGAAACCTAATATGTTTCCGTCGCTCCTATGATCATTGATTTCACTTCAAGTTGTGTCACGCAAGAAGCCAAGACTTTTAACCTTCAAGGCTACCATTTTTGAAGTTTGTAGTGACATGTTTATCTTTTTAACAACAAAGAACTTTTACGATCTACTTTACATTTTTATCGACCATGCTTGAGGGAGAGTAAGACATTTTAAGAGTAGAGAGTTAATGAGTGAGATATTTTGAAGCCGTATACGCGAAGAACATTTTTTACGAAAAGAATGTTTACCTTTTAATTCATGATCTCTTCCATGATTTTGAAATCAAGCTTGACGACACAAAAGCTAATCTGGAGCTAAGAAAACTCGAACGCACTTATTGATCTATGATTACTACTAGTTATAAGCATCGTAAAACAAAACAGTGCGCTACAAACCCTGTTAGGCCCTCTATTGTGTCGTCAATAGGTAACACATGAATCCTCTTGCCGTACTTGACTTCAGGACATGCTTGGACACTGTGACAAAAAAAGGAAAATGAGTATTACGGAGAGGAGAAGTGTGACGTCACATTATCATGGTAGCAACATTTCTGGATCACAACAATAGCGGGCGATGGTGACGGCAACAAGGACAGCAAAAAAGCAATAGGTTTATATTAGTGAAACAACAACTTTGCACGTGCATCACACTTTTTAATATCAAGTTTACTAAGACACTTAGTCCTCCATGAGTGACCATCTTCCATAAGTAACCAACCAACTTTTTCCTAGTCAAAGCCCCACAGTTGAGACCTCTTGTGAACAATCACCACTCATAATCAACCACTTTTGGAGGTGATGATTTTAACCCTTTGAACCCTAATATCAAATTATTGTTAATCTCATTTCTTGTCCCTATATACTTTCAATAGAAGTATGGGGAGAATTTGTTGAAGTATCAATTAGGTTTATCTTTCCTGATCATGCCCTCAATTCTCCTGACCAGTTTGTTTTATAAAGCACTGATATTATAAGGAGAAATTTTATGCTGATCATTCTTAGGGCTTGGAGGGTTAACCCCTTGAAAGTGATCACTTGACACAGAGTCTGATCTCTCCACTCACTTCAGGTATCTACATGTACTAAGTATTTGTAGTATGTGAAGAACTTTTACTGACAACATAGAACTACACCGAGACTTAGAAATCCATGAATAAATTCTTTACCAAAAGTATATACATGTAAATGTACTGTATCTAATGAGAGATCCCCTGTCATCCAATTCCCAAAGCGATCACCTTCCATAAGCACTTCTGCATCTTAACATTATTTTAGGTGGACAATTAAACCCCAGGTTTGTCTGTATGTACATGTATATAAGTACCTGACAATGTCACCAAGTCTCACACGAAGGTTTCTCCTCACAACCCGATTCATGCGTATTCTGTCATCAGGTACTGACTCGTCAGACAGCACAATACAGACCTAACAAAAAACCTTGCATTAGTAACATTGACTACATGTACTCTCATATAAAACACATTCACCAAATACTATCGTACATCTCTATTCATTCATGGACTTCAGACCTGTACATGTTCAGTTCGTCGTAGAAGACAAAACTTCTCCCAGTTTATGAAAAGTTTCATAAAGATAATTCAAGATAACTTAGTGATCTCTCAAAATGCTATTATTCACCCAGGCTTTAGTAGTGCCATGTTAAGTATTAAATTCAAGATCTGTGTATGAGAAGAAGTTTCAGTAAGTACGTAGTGGATTGGGATGTTAGGGTGAGATCATCTACTCCATGTTTATACGAAAATCTTCGTCCATTTAAATTAAGTGACCTAATGAGATCTCTAAGAGTTTGAATAAAATACATGTTATGTGGTTAAACTATTGAGTTTCATTGTTTACTACAATGACAAAGTAATAAGTTCACAATAAAAGCAGTGCTTTTCTTGGAAATGACTAATTTATTTTTAGCCAATCAGCACTTGACACAAGACAAAACCTGTCAAATGAGGAGATAAAGTAACAACAAAGTTGTACAGATTTCTCCTGCATGCTGGGCAATTTAAATGTGCAGAGAGTAAAGATATTTCGTTAAAAAAAAATCGATGGGCTTGAACAAAAATAGCGACAAATTTCTCGTTTAACATTACGTAAGTACAGTAACGTCCAGCATACAGCAGTAGTAGTTTCTAGATATGCTGTATCATAAAGTTTACTTACGGTATCTCGTCTCTTTTTTCCTTTAATGAGAACTGTATCACCACGGAAGAGCTGTAATTCTTCCATTTTCGCCTGTGGAAGGAAAGTACAAAAAGAAAGTGAAAATGCATGTAAAGTGAAAGGGAACAAAAGCTCCACAGGCAAAACTTATCACCAATACTATGATTTTCAACAAACCTGAGACATAGATACCACAGAATTGTCATCGTTTACGGCCTCTTCCACTAACAAACGGTTTGGCTTTGCTTTGTTCTTTAAGATAGCCGTGGCGAGTTCTTCTCTGTAACACAAGTCAATTAACAGGAAGTCAGACTACGTTAACCAGCGTTAACATTCATTTTTGATCACGGACGAAAATGAAAATCGCTTGGGCAAAAAGTTGACAAAAAAGCTCAAACATTTGGTACTAGGATGAATTTCGAAGTCTAAATAGTCAACTGGATAATAATTGATATTTTCACGATGTAATCGAAAAGCTAAGAGCTAAGTAAAAGATCACAACTTTTGAGCGATTCACCACAATGCATAATCAATCGTGTCACCTTGTCCCTCAGAATACATGTTTTTAGTTCTTGTAACTGTGAAATTCAAACAAGAAATCCGGACACGGGACTCAGAAAAGTACAAATCAACTACTTAACAAGATTATGAATGTAGACTTACTGATGCGCCATGGTTTTTACGGCAGAAATGTAAAGTGCAACCGGTCTAAAAATCTTTTCTGCTGACTGACTGCTGACTAACTTCTCACTGCGCACGTGCATAGAGATGACGTTTCTTGTCCCCAAGCTTCCTATCTGTCGGAATTGAACGGTTGTGCCCAGTTTTCCAAACAATTCATGGCCAACATGGCGGACGGCGGAAGCATGTGAAACATGTTTGCTGTATGTTGAATACGATGGTGAGATATTGTTCGCGGTAGTCTCAGTTTAAGAAATTTTTCCGAGTTTCAGTTAACGTATGTGTACAAAAATGACCCTGGCGAGGAATGTCCATTGGTGTTTATAATCATGAGTGGCTTTTTCTTAAGCATACTATTTCTCCCAGCTTTCTAATTTTAATTTGCCCTTTAAAATTACTTTAGCTTCATGAAAGTTTAAGCTATCAATACTAATACTAGATTTAACATTTATTTCTGATTAGTAATCTTAAACCAATCTAAACATAATTATCTTGACTATATATCTTTTCAGTGATTACCCCCCTATCCTTGTGAGCAATTGCAAGTTTGCAATTAAATTTTTATTGCAATATATTTAAGTTGAAATGAAAGAAAACTTAAGCTGGCCTGAATTTAATGGCCAGTGACCTTCCTGTGATGTAGCTGCTGATCCTGCCTAATACTATATATTCTGACGTTTAGAAAAATGTGCTGCCAGGTGCAGCATAGCCTGAGTAAACAGCAGACATTTTGGTCCACTGGTGGTTTCCAGGTGAAATGATGTCTGAGAAATGAGTGCAGCAATTCCATACAGATGATGCATCACTACTCAGATCTGGGTACTGCTTCTAATTGGTTGAAGCAATTCTCCCATGCGGCACAACCAATCAGAAGCACCACCCATATCTAGGTGGTCAACACTCTACGTTGCGACCATTTTGGTTGCCATGGCACCTAAATCTTAGGAGCTGGCGACTTGATTTTTAAAAAAGTCTCCCTAAACCAAAAGAGTTGGTTGACAAATGGCGACCAAGCAAAAACTTTAACTTGGAGGGTTGGACTGGTGAAGCGTCATCAGTATGGAATTTCTGTGCTCATTTCTCAGATGTCATCTTGCAAGGAAACCAGTGGTGGTGTTGCAGAATGTTGCCTGTTTTCTCAGGCTAGCAGCAACAGCCATTACAGGTTTTTACGATTGCTCGCATGCCTGCAGGTTGAACTCAAGTCAATTTCTCAGGCTACCTTGTGGTTAAGACTATGATTGCCTCTGTTACCAGTGACTTCTGTTCTCATATCAAAACAGTATCCTAGGCAGCACTGGAAGTTATTTCATAGGTAGGCTGACAGCAATATATGAGAACCAGGGTTTACAGAAAGACATTCCCAAAATGTTTATCAGTTTTGCAGTCAATGATTTTTTATACTGGTTATTAATCTTTTGTTTTAACTCTAGATCAAAGACTCATTTCTAAATGGAAGGTGAACAAAATGAGCATGATGATGGTGATGCTACCCAAGATCAGGGGGATAACGAAGAGAGATTATTAATAGATATTGATGGCGAGGAACGTGTTAGCGGTGATGGTGAAGAGGATAAGGGAGAAGGCAATAAATTACCAAACGCGCAGGCAATTGTAACAGGGGACAGTGGATCTGTTAGTTCAGAGAGTTCAGAAAATGAGAGAAGCAGACCACCACAAGTCAACTGTCCTGAGTATATTGTAAGTATGGTTGCAATGATAGGGACCTTAAGGTAGGCCGCTTCCATGTACTGGAAGGGATAAAATAACTATAGCTATCCCTTTGCTGGAAATAAACATTGACTGCCTCTTTCCCTGGTGAAATGGCTGGGCTATAGCTAGCAGGTAGTGTAATGATGCCATTACCACATTTATCAGGGAAATCATGGTCGCGTGTTATATAACTATATGGAAAACGTCTTTGCCTACCCATACCTGTGGGTGAGAATGGTTTATCTAACGTCCCCAATAAAAAATAAGGTAGATTATTCATCCCATTAACTCTGCAGGAGTAATGACTTTAGCACAGAATTGACCGAAAAAAGCCGTTTATCTCTGACATAGCCCTTTTAAGTACCAAAAATGCTAAAGATTGTTACAAGCATATAAGTGAAGAGGTCTCACCTGTTCTTCAGATTTTGTGCCTGGATTTGTCACCAGAAACCAAGTCAATGTCCTTTCAGTGTAAGAGTGTTCCAGACAGGTATGTCAGTATCCCTAACACATAATTATACAAGTATTCTTTTCCTTTAGGTTATTATGGTCACTTTGGGTTCATTATTATGCGTGTATTTAAAGCATACAGTGAATGCACGAAGTACAATGACTGATATCAACAAGCTTATGAGATATTCATAACTGGATAAAAGATGAGCACATAATTTAGAGTGTTCACATGCATGTGGCATGGAGACTACGAACAAAATGTTTATGAAAAAGTAGCAAACAGGCTTTGAATCAAATCCTGTTTCAGCAATTTTTAAATCAATAAAAATAAGGAAATCTTTAGAAATTTCAACCAAATTTAATACCAAAACTCTTTGTACATTTTTTTGTAACGTATAACGCCAGTTATAAGACAAATGGAGTTACAGGGGTCAAATAATAAAGCCAAAAAGGCGACTAAATCAATGAATTCACATCAAAAAACACAGGAATACATCAAAGGTATTAGTCTCCTTCACTTATTTTAAAGAAGAAAACGTCAAAATGGTATTTAGCATTTGCAGACCTCAGTATTTCATTTCACATACAGCGTATCAAAGGTCACCTTTAAAGTGAAAACAACTCTCTTGTGAGAAAGAGAGGATATTACATGGCCGCGCGGAGATACAAAATTTCTCTTCGAATGTTGAAAAATACACAAGAAAAGAAGTTTTGTATCTCCAAGCGGCCATGTAATGTTCTATTTATTATATACACACCAATGAAATACCAAACCATTTCACTCTGATAGTTTTTCGGTGTGAAAGGTGCGATTTATTCTGTAGCCATAGCAACAGTGATATTTTCACATGTGAAGATATCAAGTTTTCACGCGAAAGCTCACCTGGTATTTCATTGGTGTGTATATAATAAAGTAAATTACATTCCACCCTCATAATGGGAGCTTTGGATGCCTGTGGTGCAAGTTAAGAGAAAATCTGTCTGTTGTTTTTCCATTCAACAAATATGATCTACAACTGTAACTGTAACTGTTACAACTGTACTGTAACTACTGCAGCTTGCTTGGGGGTCTCATGTGGAATAAACTATCATAGAGATCAGGTTGGACTAACAAAATGTAAAATGAGTCAGGCCCAATTGGATTCACAATCACCTCAAGAATGGTTTAGTTTTGCACAGTATTTTGGTCTCAAGGGTCCCTACCCAGCTTAAAATAGAAAGATCTTTAGCATCTCTCATATAATTAATACTGTATTGTACTATGATAAGCGCCCAGGCCCTTATTTAAAATTATAGCTACCGCTGTAAAATGAGGGTTACTCATTGGAAGGTGGGAGGTTAATCAAAGGGCCGAAGTTTAAGCATAATGGCGTTTGTTTACTATCATAGCCGAGTGGGTTGGGTGCTTATTTGGGGGAGGGAGCTTATTAGAGCATGGGTACCTCAATTCAAGGAAACACATTAGGCCATTTATACGAGGAAAAATAAGATGCGTCTTACATAAGACGCGTCTTAAATAAGACGCGAACTGTACCATTTATGCGAGCATGTCTTATTGAAGATGAGAACAGCTCGTATAAATGGTTCGCGTCTTATTTCTGTTCTTGACTTGTTTTCATGTGAATGTTGCCCGTAACAACGGCAATCCAACGTGGCGCGCCAAAAATTAACGCGTGCCTACTATGCATTCGTGTCTTATATAAGACGCGAAGGTCATTTATACGAGGTTTTTCTCGTCTTAGCTAAGACGCGTCTTATCTAAGAACAGGTGTTAAGGGCTGTTCTAAAAGAAGACGCGTCTTAGCTAAGCCGCGTCTTATTTTAGACAAAATGTGCCATTTATACAGAAAGTTCGCGTCTTATTTAAGATGCGTCCTATGTAAGCCGCGTCTTATTTTAGACAAAATGTGCCATTTATACAGAAAGTTCGCGTCTTATTTAAGATGCGTCCTATGTAAGCCGCGTCTTATTTTAGACAAAATGTGCCATTTATACAGAAAGTTCGCGTCTTATTTAAGATCGTCCTATGTAAGCTTGGCGTCTTATTTTAGACAAAATGTGCCATTTATACAGAAAGTTCGCGTCTTATTTAAGATCGTCCTATGTAAGCCAGCGTCTTATTTTTAGACAAAATGTGCCATTTATACAGAAAGTTCGGCGTCTTATTTAAGATCGTCCTATGTAAGCCTTGGCGTCTTATTTTAGACAAAATGTGCCATTTATACAGAAAGTTCGCGTCTTATTTAAGATGCGTCCTATGTAAGCCGCGTCTTATTTTAGACAAAATGTGCCATTTATACAGAAAGTTCGCGTCTTATTTAAGATGCGTCCTATGTAAGCCGCGTCTTATTTTAGACAAAATGTGCCATTTATACAGAAAGTTCGCGTCTTATTTAAGATGCGTCCTATGTAAGCCGCGTCTTATTTTAGACAAAATGTGCCATTTATACAGAAAGTTCGCGTCTTATTTAAGATGCGTCCTATGTAAGCCGCGTCTTATTTTAGACAAAATGTGCCATTTATACAGAAAGTTCGCGTCTTATTTAAGATCGTCCTATGTAAACCAGCGTCTTATTTTAGACAAAATGTGCCATTTATACAGAAAGTTCGCGTCTTATTTAAGATCGTCCTATGTAACCAGCGTCTTATTTTAGACAAAATGTGCCATTTATACAGAAAGTTCGCGTCTTATTTAAGATCGTCCTATGTAAGCAAAGGCGTCTTATTTTAGACAAAATGTGCCATTTATACAGAAAGTTCGCGTCTTATTTAAGATGCGTCCTATGTAAGCCGCATCTTATTTTAGACAAAATGTGCCATTTATACAGAAAGTTCGCGTCTTATTTAAGATGCGTCCTATGTAAGCCGCGTCTTATTTTAGACAAAATGTGCCATTTATACAGAAAGTTCGCGTCTTATTTAAGATGCGTCCTATGTAAGACGCGTCTTATTTTTCCTCGCATAAATGGCTCTATTGTTTTGTATTCTATTATTTGATGAATTATCAATGAAATAAGGTGTACAGTGTACTCATATTAATTATGATTTCGTAGGTCAATATTTCAACTTGTCCAGAGATCAGCAGGGATCTTTGTGAAAACCAAGTCAAAAATGAATCCCCATCACCAGTTTTCCATCATGGTTCTAGATGATAAGGCTTCTTGGGTAAGCTCTCTAACATATTCGGTTTTCTACGGTAACCATGGATTTGCAAAGTTGAAGCAATTTTTCCATGTGCATGTAAGGGCCACGCCCTGCATTTCATCTACAATGAAAGGCACTCAAAATAATGATTTGTGTCATTTCTTCACAGTGGCAGATCCAGGGGGAGGGGCTGGGGTGGTCTGAACCCCCCTTATCAGAGACAATTCAAAAATTTATGCTGGACTTTGTTTAATGACCAAATTTCATTTGCAGCTCTGTGAGATAGTGACATGAGTGCTTGTAATTAATACTTATTTGCATTTTACCTTTAAGGTATTAGAAAGCTACTTTGATCACTAATAGCTGACACTTTTTGCTTTTAGTACAAACACTTCACTAGTGATGTGGAAGTCATCTGCAGCACATTGAATCGGCTGAGTCCTGAGGATACGATTTTATCGCAAAGTCAATTTGGTATCTTTTTGAAAGTAATACAAACTTGAGAAATGGAGCATTTCCAGCTGAAGGGCTTGCTAGGTTGAATTGAGCTACATGTACCCCAAAAGTGTGGTTTTCCACTGGCTGAGGAACGAAGGAGTATAGGTTCAAGTCTGTGGGAGGTCTTCAGGTCACAGATGGCATTTCAGAGTTCAGTTATTTTTGTTGCCTTCTGCCGTTGCCTGACCTGCCCTGCCCACCTGCCATTTAAGTGTTTTCAGGGTTGTTGTAGGATCTTAAGTTGTGCCTTATTTCTGGTTATTCTTATATCTAGGATTAGTTTCATGTCAGCCATTTAATTAGCTCTCTTTCTGTGCTGTAACACTAACGAATTGTGATGTTGATATAATAGAGTTTGGGCTGCATGGCCGGCTTCACATGGCTCCCAGTTGTGTGTGAGAAAAAGTTATATTGTAGATCATGCAGTTCTTGTTGATGTTTAGTCATTACATTTGCCACTTTAACATTGTCCATGATACACCTTGTTTGACTCCCAACATTGATTGCATTAACCACCCTTTCAAATTTCCACTGGGCATTATAGTTATCCCAAGAGAAATTCAAGACAAAGCTTATGCAAAATTTTGTAGGGCAAACAAGGTGTATTATGGGCATAGCAATAGTAGCGAGCGTTTTCTTTTGTGATAATGCATATATATGTAACCGTTCGAAATTAAATGCAGTTCAATTCAATTTAATGTTGTTAACAACAAGGAGCTGTAGTCTTGTTAGCGGCATTTTGACATGTTTTTGATGGTGTCTGGTCAGCGTCTATTCTAGCACAGCGTGCAAAGAAAGTAGTGTCTGATAGCCCGGGGCTACTAGATTTTGCTATTGGGCTAGTGAATTCTGTTATCAACTTGCCCAATGGGCAACTGAAGTTTTTTGAGGAATACTAATTACAGAAGAAATGTGAAATCAATCTGCTCATCAAAACGTTTTTGGGGCTAGATGAAATGATGTTTGGGCTAGTAAATGTTAGCTTCAGCTTGTCCGAATGGCAAGCTGTAAAAATGACTTTCTTTGCACCCTGTAGCATATTGTAACGCTTGAACTGTTTACATGTTTGTGGAGCATCAGGGTAGGCCACACAAAATTCTATTGAATCCTTTAAATTGTCTTGTGAATTGTGTCCATTTTAAAGAACCTTGACTTTTCCTTAGATATGTGCGACCTCTTTGAAGCAATGTAAGTAATAATATTAAGAGGGTGGATGGAAAAAGTCCTAAGTACATGAAACTTGTAATATTATTTTTTCAAATTCTCCCTTCATTTTACAGGAAATGAAATAAAATGTGTAGGGAGAATCTAAACTTGCGTCAGAAGATACTGTTACTGGCTGTTTCCCAGTCACTCATTCGTTATTTAAGTCTTTTTTTCTGAATAATTTTTTCAGTGTCAGGTAGTACATTGTTAATCTTAGGCATGTTCTTCTCCTTCTTATCAGCAAGGAAAACATTAGTTTACCAGAAGTAGAAGACATCTTGCTTCCTCCTCCTTGCGTGTTTCGACTTATTTTAGTGTATGGACGCTCGCTGTGCATGCCCAAATTGTCTCCAGAAGGCAAGCAGGTTTGTTTATGTCTTTGTTCTGCCAAATGTTTTGTCTTTAAGCAGGAAGTAGATGTTTATGAATCTACTACTTAACACATTTGTCCCTGAACTGGGCGTAAAGGCCAATGCAGATCCACATCCATTGAAACCCTTATGATGTAATCAGTTTTAACAGTCAGGACAACGTTGTCATCTAAAGCCCCATGCAAACAGATGGAACATTTTTGGAGGTTACTGTACATGTTGCATCCGTTTGGACACCCAGTGTTGCATGTTGCTGCCTGTTGTTGTGTGTTGTTGGGAGTTGTTGCACAAAGCTTGAAATGGTTGAACATTTGAAGCCAACAACTCCCAATATTTCTTTTGTTCCATGATTGCCAAAGCATAGCGCAACAATGTTGGATCCGTTTGCACACTACTGCCAACACGGACAAAACAACTCTCAACATTGTTGGGCCAAAACAGCTTGATTACCTTTTTGGCAAACTTACTTGAGAATAATGCTTTACAGGAAATTTAGGAAAATTGAGCCTTTGCTATTCAAAATAATAATTATTTTATTAATAATTATTATTTATAAAATCAACATTTCCGTGTTTAATTTGTTTCAGATATTGTCATCACTTCTGGTGTCGCCATATTTCTTTCTTGATGTATTGTACGTTCATGAGCTACCATCTGAGCTTAACCTTTGCAAAGTGAGTAGTATTGAATGTTACCATAAAATTTTCAAAACAGGTTTTTTAACTTATCAGGTTTAGGATTAAATGAAAGAATAATCTAATATGGGGTGGATTCATTTGCAACATACCCGTATAGCTGTTGCATTTGCCTGTTGGAATTTTTTACTGTTTTTAGGTTACAAACATCAGGGGCACCCAACGGCAATTTTCATGAAAATACCTGTTCGGAAGACGATTTGAGATCTAGAATTTTCGGAGCATTTGCTCTAAAATTTCTTGCTTGCCTGCCTCTCCTAGGATTTTCGAACATCTACAAAATGGTATAATTACCCATTTTTAAGGGATTTTGACCCTAAAAAAGGCCACCTAGAATTTTCGGGAGCCTTTTCCTGGCTGAAATTTTCGAGAAGGTAAGTTTTTATCCCTATAATTTTCGGATCACTAGACTTTCATCTAGGAAATCCGAACAGATGAAAAGTTTTTAGGGTATAAAAATATGCCTATATCTACCGTTTGAATAATAAAAAAAAGTTCAACAGTGCTATGTTAAGTGGTTTTGAACTATATCCTCGTTGGGTGCCCCTGAAACATGAATTAAGCATACATGTACATGTACATGCAAAAATCCTCAGCTCGCATATAGCTCGGCTAATCGAGGTGGGCAGAGGAAAAAATAAAGTAAATCACTAGCAAGAGATTGAGGATCCACAAGAAGATTGACGGAAGTTATTACAATACAATATAACAAAATTACAAACTTATTTTAAATTTCGTGTCATCTTGCTAAGGTTTTTGGTGTCAAAATAAGTATCCTCCAGGAGAATAATGTAAAGAAGCCTTAAATTTGGGTTTAGGGAGTTCTCGGACACTTTGAGGAATACTTTTCCACTGAGTGTGATTTTCCTCGGGTCCCCTCATAATTCTGACAATAATGATAAAAATTATAATCATCGTCATCATCAGCTTTATTTCTATAACGCCATTTCTGCTAATTAAATGACCTAAAAGGGCTACGGAAAGATTCTATGGCTGCCAAAAAGACTAAAGTCGAGAAAATTTTCTAGTTTTTTGATTGATTCATACTTAAAAGAAAGTGTATTTAGAGCGGTTTAAAGAGATGAAAATTTCTAAACTAAGTACATGTATATGAAAGGGGCACCATTTGTCAATGTAAGGTATACAAAAGAGGTACCTTTTCCGTCAAAAATGGTACTTAACTCAGCACAAATTGATGAGCTTGGGAACTAGTGCCTCAAAGATTAGCGGGGTGCCAGATGCCATAGGCGCTGGGAGGTATCCATGGCAACCCTGGAGTGCGGGAACCACCCAAACGAGCGCCCACTAACAGGCACCGTCACACTGAAATTCAGTGGAAATAACTTACAGCTGTACCTGAAAAGATACTTACCCTCGCAACCAAATGCAAAAGAGGGAGGGAGGAGAGAGCGCAAGAATCCACAATGATTCGCAATAGCTAAGCTTTTGATCCGCAAAGATCAGCTGATAACACTGCATATGTAAAGCAATGAACCTTGAAACCCTGTGAAACCTCTAGAGGCCACCCCGAAGGTCATGTGCTGCAGATGAGAAGGACTGTTGGCTGCATTTGCTCAAATTTAACTTTACTTGAATGATATTTAGCCACACTATAAAAGGGTAAGAGGTTGGACCTCAGTGCGGATCTTCCCCGTATAAAACTTTGTTGAGTATACCCCCGGCCGGGTAACTCCCTGATCCTTTTACCTGCTTCCTCTGCAGGAAGTCTATGATTACTTCTGTGACATGGATGAAGAAGAAGAAGGCTACATCCTAGAGGTGTCACGCAGTACTACACGTTTGTTTGACCACATGGCTGCGTTACTTGCCCATCCTTTGCAAAGACCAAAACAGCGTGACACGTTCTACAAACTAACGCCAAGGGAAGAGACAGAGTCTATCGTGTAGTAGAGGCCTGCGTTCACTGAAAATGATGAGATTGGCGGGGGAATAGAAAATAAACGTTATAATGAACTTAGCTATGCATATTAAACCGATAACGCTATCTAGGGGAAGGGTACCTATGAATAACGGCGCCTGCTTTCGAAGTGAAGATGTCAACGGAATGAAAATCGAGGGGACGTCTTCACGTGTGTTTCTTAGCGAATTTTTTTCCAATGGAAGGAAAGGGAAAGACGAGCAGAAATCAAGATTAAACTTCATGTATTCATGTTACTGAGATGCGCCTCACAGAGAGAAATGAGGGGTGATGAGGTTTGAGATGGGGCCAGCCTGCAAGAAGTGGCGCTATTTTTCGCGTTTTTCATTTAAACATGAAGCGAACGTGGAGCGCGAGACACGCGCGACGGGGGGAAGGAAGGCGCGGCAAACTCAACGCGTTACGTTCCGGAGGCTAATGCGGGGCGGGCAACGTCTTCGCCGGACGTCAGGTGCTCCTCGTCCTTTGAATTATAGCTGGAAAAATAAGTGTGGGAGAACAGGGTGTGGATGTCCGGGAGAATGGGGACGGGTTGGGTACGGGAGGTGGGAGTAGAAAAGTTCTAAAGTGGTGGGAAGCGAGAGAAATAGGGGGAATTACGCAATATTTCGCAGTCGAAAAAGGGCTAAAATGGAGGAAGGCAAGCAAAAAGGCCCGGGAGCTGGGGATGTAAGATACGGGAGGCAGGAGGTTTGGATCGGCTCCTGATTTTTGTTATAGAGGTTTACTTTTTAGAAAGAGGGGAGTGATTAATTTGGGAATGAGTTGTGGCGAAGACCACCCATGTCAGAAAGATAGGTGCACCCCTATGTTTTTAGTAAAAGGAAAATAAAAATCGGGGTTTTACCTATATTCCGAATTTTACGGTATTGTACGAGTTGTTGTCTGAAGCTTTTATTCTCCGTAGTCGTTTTTGTAATTATTTTTTGTGAAAGTAGATACAAAAACGTTTTAGCACTCAATTACCGGTTAATCTAATTACGTCGTATTTTAGATTTACCTAGTAACCCTTTGTGATCAACATGTTATCTCCTTTATGATATCATTGCAGTGGCGGATCTAGGGGAGGGGCCTGGGGGGCCCGCCCCCCCCTTATTTTTTGACCAAAATATAGCGAATGATTCGCAAAGATACAGTGTGTTGATTTTTGAACAATTCCTGTGAGTAGGATGTGAAATGTGCGTAGAGCAGTATAAAGAAAGTGTAAGTTAATATTACGGCCTAAAATGGTAAGGTGCTAATGATCTTGTAAACGAGTAATTAACAGTGGCTCTTAGTTACAGATGTACACAGGAAAATATATCACTTTGTAAACAAATTGCCCTGTTGATCTCGAGATATTGTTCATCGACAATTATACGCACTAACTATGAGCCGTAAAAAGTTAGTGGAGAGAAAGTTGGCTTGCGAAACCATCCACAATGTTTCAGTTAGCAAAGTGGGCCAAGTTATTTTAAAGAAAAACCCTCAGGAAACAAGGGTTCTGATAGACAAGCTGGAAGGGCTTGAGATACATAAACGAAGGTGGAAGAATGAGTTCTGTGGCAAAGTTTATGACGCCAGAGAAGAATTCAAACAAACTCGAATCACCTCGTTTGTTAGATCAACTAGTATATCTCAAGGAACAAAAAAAAGCATGACCACGAATTTTACCCAACCGCAGAGAGTTTATACGGCTAGAAAGAGAATCGGTCGAACTAAACTTTACAAACAACCGGATGAAAACCAAGAAACAGAAGCAACGAGTCGCAAAGAACCTTCACAAAATAGCGCCAAAACAGTAAATGTTCCTAAAACCACTTTGAAGAAGAAAACTCTGGCTACTGATGTAAAAATTTATCTAAATGATAAATTGATGAATGCAGAAAGTGAGCTCGAGACAGTGACAGAAGTGGAGAAAGGGAGAGAAAAAAGCGGCTCGATCACCCCTGATTGCATGACACCATTTATTCGGCACTCCTTCATGGACTGCCCAAACCGGTCAAACCGGTCAGCCAGTCCTGGTGACGTCAGTCAGTCCGGAAAGAGATGTCTGACTTGTGCATTGGTGGTTGCAAAAACACAGCTCGACACTCTGCAAAAGGAAGGAAGTAATCAGGTTGCTGTTCAGGAAATTACAGATTCCGATAAAAAGGAAGATAGTCAGTCAAAGGCTTCTCGTCAAGGAAGTGGCCATCCAAGATCAAGAATGTCGATCAAAAAAATTTCTGATAGCGTGCTCACGCGATCATGCTTTGTTCCTTCTCTTTCCAACCCTTTTGAAGCTCAGAAGCATGCCCGTATTTGGAAAGCTCGTGTGGACGAAATCGTTTGTAAACGAAGAGCAGTCAGCGGCATTTTGAAGAGAGAAAAAGTTACCAACCTTTTGAGGAAGAATTCAGAGTGGAGCAGTCCAAGCTTTTTGCCATCTCCTGTGAAAGACGCACGATTTCTTGGGCTTCAGTCTTTGTTAGTTCCTGTTACAAACAACATGGGAGCATATAACGGAAAAGATGAACGTTCGTGAAGAACGCTTTCAGCGAAGAGAGAAACGCGCCGACCTCTTTTCTCGAGCTAGAAAGAGAGAGGATCCTGGGAACGAGGTTGGTGACGCGCAATAGGCCATTTTCGGAATTGTCTCAAGCCTCGGTTTCAGAGTGAGGCTAAGTGCGAAGCTATTGATTTGAAAATGATTTTTGATTCTCATGCAAATAAAACTCATTTTAAAATAGAACTTAGGTGTTTCCTTGGGCTTAAAAGTTCTTAATGGTTCTATCAATCAAGGTTTTGATTAACCCCAATTTGTAGGTAAAGGGGCAGAAACTCGGATAACTGGTGAGCAAACTTGTGGAAGTATTTTCCGGTAAACGGTGGTCACACTTAGGTGTCGGTCGCTGTTGTTGATTAGAACATCTAGGAAAGGTAGAACATGGTCAGTTTCCCGCTTCATGTTAAAGTGTATATTAGGGTGTTGATTCTTGATGTAATTGAAGAAAAGGGTCGCATCCTGTTCTGAGTGGAAAAGACAAAATGGGCTAACTTGAACCAAAGTCGATTTCTCATGGACTTCCTTTAGGCATTTACTGTAATTTTACCTTCGGTAACTCGAACCCTCGATAACTCGAACCTCCCGCTAACTCGAAGTAATTTTTGTTTCCCTTCAGGCAATTTCCAAATAAGTTTACCCTCTATAACTCGAACCATGTTCTAAGCGTGTGACAAGTCGAAAAAAAAATCGTGTTCTAAAGTCTGAAACATTGAATTTATTTATAAACAACGTTGTCAATTCTTTGTCTTGACTTTTATTCAAAGTATCATCCTTATCTTTAACCACTTTAAACATTTAATTTTGTAAATAATGTAGTTTGAATAGTGTATGTTATCTTTAATGTATCATAAATTTCTGTATATTGTTGTTGTATTTGTATGTGGTTAATGGCAAAAGTAAAATGAAAATGAAATAAATTATCACGATTACTGGTCACGCATGACGGAGGAACGTTGTCCCGGGTAGGCCACTTATCCCTAGCAGAGCGTTTACAAGGCCGGTAAGGAAACCTCTTGCTCAAGGCCGGTAGGGAAACCTTAGCACTCAGTGTATGCCTGTTTGCTATCAGCCTATTTTAAAGATACCGTAAATCTGCATTCATTTCGTGTAGGCAGTGAAAGTCAAATTAGTATCATCTGCGTACATTCGTGTAGTAGTATCATCCATAATATTACTAAGATCATGCACATATATATTCATAAAAATTAAACGTCCACATTCATTATTATGTAAATACAAATTTCCGGCAAAACCCCTTCACAATTCAGAATTCTAATATACTAATTAAAAACTAAATATATGTCCACGATAGAAAACTATTTACAATTGTGAATAATTTAAGAGTGGGAAAAGAAAAATCAAGCATTACTAAGAAAAAAAACTATCAAAAATCTAGGCCCAAAATTATGAGTGCAGATGTAGACCAGCTACAGCAAAAGTGAAGTCTTCTGAGACCTCACGTGATTTGAATGAATATCTAGAACCTCTGACGCATCTGTGTACAGTCGTTAATATAGCAAATGAGAGCTGTATTCGAAGCCAGGAAATAACGCTGGCGTAGGGTTCATCGTTCTAAGTCGAAAGCTTATTTGCGAGAGTTCTTAAAAAGTTCTGACAGTCGAGTCCCATGCCCCCGTTTGTACCAAACATCAGTGGTGTAAAGGTTCCCGTCTCTACATCCATCACTCTCTGGTTGTATTGAACCCTGTGTACACCACATCTTAGAATGGATTTCTCGGAGGGTACCCCGTTTATCTATACAATCTGAAATCTGTTACCGTATTTATTCAATTAACCGCCCTGGGCGCTTATTAAATTTTTGGACCTTGAGAGTGGCGCTTATTCGAGGTGGGCGCTTATTCGAGGCTGGGCGCTTATTAAATTTTCAACATTTTCAGCAAGTGTAGTATGTGTATTTTGCAACAAAACAATGAATGGTAATAACAAGAAGCAAAGATGTAACAAAGCAAGGTTCCTGTAAAATACTTTGAAGAAAACTCCGTCTTCGGGAAAGTCTCTTATTAGTACTTATTCAGTTTAAGGGGTGGTCGCTAATTTGAGTTTGAGCGGGAGTGGGAGGAAGGTGTGGTGGGGTGAGCGCTTATTCGAGGCTGGGCGCTTATTAACTTTTTCTGCCCTTAGGATGGGCGCTAATTCGAGGTTGGGCGCTTATTCGAATAAATACGGTAAATAGATAATATTTGCCGTTCTAAGGGATGGCCACGAACTCCAGTGTAGTCCAATTTTGTCATTAGAAGCTCATGATCTACTGTATCAAAGGCTTAAAGATACCGGAAATCTACACGCATATCCTGTTGTATTTTAGGAATACTGCAAACAGTGGAAGTCGAATAAGTGTCATCTCGCTGCGTACATTCGTGTGGTAGCATACTCCATCATATCACTAAGATCATGCATTTTCATATACTAGGGGTACCTTCCGTAAAAGTGCCAACAAGGCGAATTTGTTTAACTTTAGTGGAATGTGCCTAATCGTTCTTCGCGATTTGTCCCCCCCCCCCCCGCCCCCAACCCCCCGTGCTAATTTCTGAAATAGCCCTTTTGCAAACAAGAAATCATAAGCTTGTTCACCTGTTAGGTCATCAGCAACAACTCAACAAACGCAGTCCATAGTCCACAACCAACAGAGTTACACTGGACCACCCGGCCTCGAACCTCAAGGAGTTAATGCAAGACCGTGACGTCACTGCCCAAATATGGACAAAAAAGAGGGCTACGCAGATTTAACAAATTTTCTTTTCATTGCGCAGCATTATGAATCTGCCGCCAAGGCATCCTTGCTTCGTAGCTCAGATGCCTCATTGGCAATTAGGAACAAAAGTGACCCAAGTCTTGAACGTAGGGAAACACCATATCTTGGAACAGATTTCTCGCAGAGTACCCCGTTTATGTGTAGGACCTGAAATCTTTTAATTGGAAAAGATTTAGACCTTTTAAATCTTTTAATTGGAAAAGATTTAAACCATTCTAAGGGATGGGCACGAACTCAAATATACTCTTGTTTTGTCTGTAGAAGCTCGTGATTTACTGTATCAAACGCGCTCTTAAGATCCAACTTCGATAATCCGTACGCTGTCTATATAAAAACACCATTGCTTGGTAAGAACAGGAAGGGCGGTAACTGTTACGTGAAGAGATCTAAAGCTGAATTGACGTGGATCTAACTGAATTATGTTATTTAAAACTAAATAGAGGTAGAATTGCTTGTAGACAAGCTTTTCAAGGACCCTGGATAGTGGTTGATTTAACCGATATTGGTCTATAATTATTTGGATATTTACGTTCACCTGCTTTGAATCAAGGAAAACCTTTGCCAAGTTCCAGTCATCTGGAAGTTCTAGACTTTTAAGAGAAAGGTTTAACAAATCAGTTGTCTGTAAATAAGTGGAGCAGCCAATTGGCCACTCCAGAAAATACCATAACATACCATAATGCTTTTTGATTGTCGCCCCAAAGTTTTGCATAAACATTGTCTTCAGTTTCTCTTGGGAGTTAAAATGGCCCCAAGAGAAACTGAAAACAATGCTTATGCAAAATTTTGGGGTGACAAACAAAGAACATTATGGTATGTTATGGTATTTCTGGAGTGGTCAATTGAGGATTTTTCACCATTAAAAAATGTTAAAAATGAATAATTTAATAATAATAATAATAATAATTTCATCACTTATATTGCGCAGGTATTCATAA